TAAAATATATTCATTTTGTTTTGTCTCCCCCATAATCTGTGGTTGTTAGGGTAGCGACTCATTGTTTCATCCGCATAAAAAACCAGCACAGCCGGGCTCTCGTGATCGCATATGCCATACGACATCGCATTATTTGTGTGAGGGCTGCTATACATCCTAGATGTTTAGAGCAAGGAAGGTGGTCTCTTGGAGGCCCACTCCCTAGCTTTCGTCCTAGAGACGACCTCAGGTGATGCTGTCCCGTGGTAGGGGGTGGCCTAATATAGGTCCATGCGCTGTTCCTTCCCTCGGGGTCTTCGAGCCCATGTGTACCATCGGTTTAGAATCAAGCTTTTCCAGTTGCTCTAGCCGGACCATCCGTATCCACTAACCCCCTTCAAATTCCGAAGTTTTGCTTTCGATCCTTTGACATTCGTAAATAGTACACTAACTGCATGAAGGCCATTAGTAGGACTTCCGTGACAGAAACTACAGACTTGTGGCCGTATAAAAGCATTTCCAATAAGAAACACAGTTGTGCATATCTTCGGTCATACCAGGACATATGGGTAGTAGATAAAAAATTGAACTAAACGGTCGAATTAAGTGCAATTCGTTTGATAGAAAATACATGGAATCCGGAATCATTCAAAAGTAAATAAAACCATTACTAGTTTATACATGATCAGATTATACTCTAAAGAATTAAAAGAAAGATTTAGTTAAAAGGACTAATTTTATTAGTAATTTGCATGTCAATGACGAACCTATAAAATTTAATAAAGAGGAATTGAAGCCTCACACAGATGAAGCAATTTCAAGCTAGTGGGTTGTCAAAAATGGAAATCTTGCTCTGGATTGTCTCTAATTCTCCGATGAGTTACTTTCATTATCTTAAAATGAAGATCCTTTTGACAATTACCAATATTACTATTGTTTAAGCTTAGATATAGAATCTTCGTGGACACTAAGAGATAGCTGAAACAAACTCGTATAAAAATGTTTTTGCCAAACTACGAAAAAGATGACTTATAGAACAGCGAGATAAGTAGAAATAATTCTAATTAGTGGACTACACTTTTCATTTACTTCCGTTGTACTGCAATAGAACAAAAATCCTCCCGAATTACTGCTTTATTCAGAAATTAAATGCTCTATCACAGTGCTAACAGTTGGACCAATATTGCATATTCAGAGAAGGATGTATCTTTAATATCATTCATTACTTTAACTGTGACAGTTTAAATTTTGTTCTCAGCTCTCATAGTATCATGTTCAGATTGTTCATTAGTAGTCACTGTGTTGAACAACTTTGAACGTAATTGTCAGACTGCTAAATTCACTTCGGTATAAATTTACCTAGTCCATAATCAAAACTGAAGATGATAGACTAAAATTAATAATAACAGTTAATCAAATATAAAATATGATGTGAGTTTTAGGAAATCAATCAATTACTCACTTAACACACTGTTTTACTCAAACGACAATCATTTGAAGAAAACTATTCGCTAAGTTATTTAGTTGATTATTAAGTCTCTTTAAATTCACTGAAGTAGTTATCCTCACTGTTTGATTTCAGTTACAGAATAATTAGAAACCAAGAAAAACTATATGCCTGCCACTTCTTAATACATATGTTACTTGATTTTCAGAATTATTTCTAATCAATATTGTTTGATTGTACAGTGAAATATTGTAGTGAATAGTTTAAGAATCGGTATACTATATCATATTTGTAATTCATTTTACATCATACACTGATTGAACACAGTTTTTTATTCATCATTTTGCAAACATAATTTACTAAAGAAAGACTGACTTCGAGAGGTAAATCCAGGAGTTCTAGTGAGAAGCAGTGACCAGTGGAGTTCAAACCACGTCTGTTGTGAGATAGGAAATCAATGAAGACAATTGGTGAACGGTTGCTCAACTTCATGGATTGGTTGGAGTTAGACATAAACACCATCGGATGCCGGCTCAGTGGCCTATCGGTTAGGTGCTCTGGCGCGAGACTGGTAGGTCCTGGGTTTGAATCTCGCGAGGCGAGGTCGTGGATGCGCGCTGTTGAGGAGTCCCACAATAGGACGAAACGGCCGTTCAGTGCTTCCAGCTTTTCCCTGGTGGTCTAGCTTCAATTGGCTCACGCTTTCAACTATGAAAATACTAAATCTCCACAAAAACCCTTTCTGATAATAAAGAAAAATAAGTTTGGATTTGTTCATTAATTCTGTTGTATATTTCAATCTTGAAATTTAAAGCGAAGACAATAATTACAGTTATTCGATCTGTTAGCTTTTGTTAAATGAACCATCGTTTAAAAGAGTGATAAACTATTTCTTATTCATAGATCAACCAAATAATGCTGATACTCAGGAAGTGGAAATGACGAAACCTATATTTCCTATGTTTTATCTCGCATGAAAGTAGAAGACATGTACTGTTGAGATATCTTAAACTACAAATAAATAGCCATTCATAGCTCTTTTTCAGTTTGATGTATTTCTAGATAAATGAAAACATTTTGATATGTAAACTGTGATTAAACTGATTTGTGAAACATTAAAACAAAATAGCTAAGATTTTAAAATTGGTTACATTTTAGCTGTAAAACATTTAATATTGTTCTAAATAAGTTTCTTCAGGGTAATATATTTAATTTATGTCTCTTCTGTGATAATTTTATATCATCGTACTTGCAACAGAAGTAGGTTCATAGTTATCAAATGTTTGAACTAAATGATAATTGTTGTATACATTAATGGACACTTAATTTTAATTACAATAGAATGTTGTCATGTCTATCAACGTTTAATTTCTTATTGGAGTAATGGTCCATTCATATCTACTAGAGTACGTTTTGGACCAATTTGGGGATCGCTTGTGGGTACATTGGATACAACAAACATAGCCAATATAGCATAGTAATTTGCTAAAACGTTTTGAAATCACTGTGTCCAGTCAAAGATTGTTTCAACTACCGAAAGAGATCAAATATCATAAAAGTATAATTCAAAGCGATATATTGCCTCGTCACATGTGTTACTCTATTCTACACAATGGCGATTTTCATATTTTAAATACCAGAGTACCTTAATTTACTTGATAGTTATTAGTGTTATGCATTTGTAAAGACTGATGATTTTGTTTTACAATATACATCTCAAACTGACCTTAATTAGACATCTAAGGTCTTTTCGTGGTGTGAACTATAAAAAATACTTAATAATAATGACAAAACTAATCAAAAAATTTGGCACAATTCAATTAACGTTGTATTTCATTAAATTCATCTACAATCATATGTCCAAGGGACTCTTGGTGATTTGGGATAAATTAGTGTCAATGTCATGTGTGCATCCCCCTGAGAATATAAATTATTAACGAGAACATATGTATCTTCACCAAGCTAAAACAATTTTTTCATAGCTAGTTAATGTAAGAAAAATTGGAATGTTTATTTCAAATTACGCAGTGTGATCACTAAATAGTCATAAGTAAACCAAGTTATTTAACTTTAAAGTACTCTGATTCCTATGTCATGGTTAAAGATGGGATATATTCTTTTCATCTACTATCCCACCTCCAAGATACATAATTCATTTGGAACTAGTCCCTGAACTTATCAAGCATAGTATAACAGAAATATTAATATTTTAAAACACTTTTTTGGCTTTTATTTGAACCATATGTGATTTCTTTATGTTAATGCTATCAAATCTATCTTAAATCTTGTGTTTTCTTGTCTTTAAATATAGCAAACAATGTGAACATCTGTCTAACGAATTAAAACAGCCGAGGCTCAATTATGTTTCCTATTTTAACATTCATACATTGTACTAATTGTGAACAAATAATATTTATCAGGTTTTTTGTGTGGAGATTTAGTATTTTCTTAGTTGAAAGCGTGAGTCAATTGAAGCTAGACCACCATGGAAAACCTGGAGATATTTTCTGGAGTTCTAGTGAGAAGTAGTGACCAGTGGAGTTTAATTGTGTCTGTTGGAAGATATCAACTCACTGAAGACATTGGTGAATGGTTGCTCAACTTCGTGGATTGGTTAGAATTAGACATAAACACCTTCGAATGCCGTCTCAGTGATCTATCGATTATGTACTCTGACGTGAAACTGATAGGTTCTGGGTCCGAATCTCGCGAGGCGAGGTCGTCGATGCGCACTGCTGAGGAGTCTCACAATAGGACGAAACGACCATCCAGTGCTTCCAGCATTTCCATGTTGTTGGTCTAGCTTCAATTGACTTACGCTTTCAACTATGAAAATAATATTTATTAAGAATACTTAAAATGTAAATACAATATTTAATATACAAAAAAATACAATCCTGTCAGCAACTGAAATGTTACAAACATTTTATTCATTCATATATTGATTGGTCATCTATCATTGATTGTAAAAATCAACTTTAGGATTGATTATTTATATTAACTTTTTGAAAATGTTTTACCATTATATAAATATATGTAATTGGTTAATAATAAATTAAAACGAATACTCTTGATTTAAAAAAAATTTTTATGTCTAGATTCATTCATTTATTCATTATTTAATTCTGTATAAAAATTAAGATTTACATATTATGGATAATATTGTGATCAAAACAAAAACAACAATTTTTTGTATCTAAGACATTGTTTTAAGTCTACCTATAATCATTGTTCAATTTTGTTTTTTTCTCCCTTGACAATTATGATCATCCTTCTTATGAATAAATTAGTGTTTTTCATTAAAATCGATTTTATTTAAATTATATCATTAAAACAAAAAAAAATAAACAAATTAACTCATTCCTATTTTTAAAATTATTTCTTGATCAAATATTAACAAAAGTTTCTTGATAACATATAACGATAATAATTATAATGTTTGTTTAAAACAAAAATACAAAAAATCATTTATGAACAGGTAATTTGAAATATTCAATATACATATTCATATATGAGAATTATATGATCAAATTATTTTTCACTCTTCTTATATATATGAATTCATTTGTTATCAATGTCAAAGCAAGCATTCAATGAATTTTTAGCTGGTGCTATTGGAGGTAAATATTATTTAATAGATGAATATTATTATTACTACCACTTTTGTTATATCGATTGAGTGTGTATGTGCCCTGTTTTATAATATGAGCAGATGATCCCTGCCAATCAGAGAGGAGTGAATTATCGATCAGAGCAATGATACACAAATGTATGAGCAGTCTTGAATACTTATCTGCCCAACCCAGCCAGTTAAATCCAGAACGCCATTAACAGCCTCCGTGGTATGAATCATTACATTTCAAGCATACTGAGTTTATATACAAAACAGACTGACCATATCGTACCATAAAATAGAAAATAACATGTGTACAAGATTTAGCCAAATGTGACTGTGAATGTGGGAGGCAGTAATTAATAGACTAGGGATAACTCAAGAATGGTAAATTATATAATAATATTTCATAGGTCAAAATAAAGCTTATAATAAAAGGAACATGATTATTTATAGTTAAGTTACTTAGCAATTACACAATAGGAAATATACATATCAGATTGGTCCATAAATAGTCCTCAGAGTTACCATTCATAATTCTTCACGGGATCTAACACTATGCTTAACTGCAATCAGATAAATTGAAATTTATTTACTATTTCAATATTATACAACCATAGATTTTGAATGGAAATCACTATAGATGATATTAAAATCGAATATATATATATATATATATATATATATATATAGACAGAGAGAGAGAGAGGATACCATCTTCTTATATACAAATATGCTGTTCTATTAATAAATAGTATTTATACAAACTGTCTATAAAAACTTAACAAAAGTTTTGATTAGTTACAAGAACCAATTAATCAATAATTCGATGTATTATTGATAATTTTTATGTAATCTGGAAATTGATTTTATTCAAAAATCGATAACCACCAAAAATTTACAAAAATGAAGAAACCTAAGTTAACATTTTCAATCACCCAGTGATATATTTTAGTAAATTGTTTTGTTATTCGGAAAAAGAAAACATATCAGTAATTCAAATTTGATAAAAATTGGTTCCATAATCTTATGAATCTGTGTTCATAATAATAATAATAATTTGTCTGACGATTTGATATTGAATCCACATTTTTTAACTACATGTGTAGAGTCAGTTACTATGTTAAACCGATATATCTTATTCTAGCTTCTGCATAGGCCAATCTATCCATTCTTCTTGAATCACGTTTTGACCTTAATTATTCACTTATCAACCCTTAGTGTTTTTATATGAGCGTATATATGTGTACACCTTGTCCTATTCATCACATGTTTGTAGCTTATTCTTGTGTGACTATAAATATTGTTTAATGTTTGATTCACTCGAGTTGGTTCACTTGCCTTCTGCAATCTGCTTCATTCTTTCCTATTTGTTTCGTCTCCCTGGTTACCTGTTCAAATCACTGAGTGCATGAAATATATATATATTCAAAATCCATTTTCGTATTTGGCTTATTTAATTCCGTTATATTCACTAACGCGGATTAAGTCGATAAGTGTATATGAGGATTGACAACATGTATATTTTAATGACATTCATATGATAGAACTGGTGTCAGATGTCGGGTCACTAAACATGATCATATTATTTGTCAGTGATTAGTTATTGTAATTACTGCTGATCATGAACACAACTTGATTATAAATCCAAAAGTAATTTGTAAATTTTAGTTTTCTTTCTGGTAATTAAATCTATTTTTATAAGCAAATAGTAATATGGTTCAAGAATTCTCTGTATTATTTTGCAATTCATTTAGTATTGAGCAATGCACCGTATAATTATATCACTTACTTCATTGATCTGACCAATGACCATCAGTTAAAATATGAAAAAATAAACCGAAAAGAGAAAATTCTTAAACTCATCGATAGTATGATTTAGGATTTTTGATTGGGATAAATATAGTGACTGATTAATTACATGTAAGTTTATATGAAACACTATTCATATTCAAAGTAATAGCTCCAAACTATCTTTGTGTGTGTGTGTGTGTGTAGTTACCTGTTTATAGTGAACTTATAACTCTGATAATTGAATAACTTGATGCATTACATATTATCTGTAAACTCCAAAAAATTCTCTTTGTCAACTCTGTGTTGTATCTTCATTCTTCAATGACTTTAATCTTTTTTTCTTTCAAAGAATTGAAAATACAAAATATGATCTTTAAGAAGAAAAATATATATTGTACATAAAGATAAATTATTTAACGCTACTTATGAACAACTATTAACGGATTACAATTGAGCGAATCTTCTTTATTAGCAAAAAGAAAATCAGTTGTACAACTTAGTGTAAGGATGGCTCGTTGGTGAACTCAAAGAAGCCTCAAGAAGCCCAGAAACAGCCGAAGACGTTCCATCCAATCACCGCTAGAGAAAAATTCTAGAATGTCGATGTGTAGCTTCCCTATCGGATGAATAAGAAAGACCCCCTATGTACATATTAGCTGTCCGAAGTGATGATTTACTTTCAGCCAAAATCTATAAATACATGAGATTTTCGGACTATAGTTGGCACTGTTTGGAATAACATTCCTTCTACTTGTCTTCTGATTTTGCGACTTGGGAAGGTTCTATTAGTCGAGTGCTCAAGTAATACGCGACATACTAAGAATATAAATTCGAGATATAAAAAATAGATAATGTAGTAATCCCCACAATCTCACGCATAGGAATACTACTAATAGTTCATAATGTACAACAATGTAACACTGTTTGATTTTCATTATTTTCTTTTTTATTTACTTGAATATTGTCAATCATTTTTTGATGTGTGTAATTCGCCTTCATGAAAAATGAGTCTTAAACTAGAATTATTAAGTGTACGATATGTTTTTCACAATGGTTGGTTAGTAAAAGGCTTAATGTGAAAAAAAACAACCTTATCTGTTTCAATAATAAAACATTTTGTTCTATGATCTAATGGGTGTATTTAAATTAATTAACTACGAAATCCATCATCCAGAAGATACAAGTTTTTGCTAACAGTTTTCTACGCAAGATACTTCAGATTCGATGGCCAGACACTGTCAGCAACATTCTGCTGTGGGAGAGAACAAATCAGATTCCAGCGGAGGAAGAAATCAGGAAAAAGCGCTAGAAGTGGATTGGACATACATTGAGGAAATCACCCCACTGCGTCATAAGGCAAGCCCTCACATGGAATGCTGAAGGCCAAACGAAAAGAGGAAGACCAAAGAACAGATAACACCGAGAAATGCAGACAGACATGAGAAGAATGAACAAAAATTGGATGGAACTAGGAAAGAAGGCCCAGGACACAGTGGGTTGGAGGATGCTGGTCGACGGCCTACGCTCCATCGGGAGTAACAGGCGTAAGTGATATATATATAATATCAGTATTAGGACGAGAATGGAGTAAAACTAAGTATAATTTCATAGGCAATTTACATTTAATCATATAAATGTAATAGAATTGTAAAATGTTTCTTTTTTTCACAAAAACCTCAATAAGGATTAGCTGGTTTAACTGTCGGTCATCCATTGGATACGATCAAAGTTGTTTTGCAAAGTTCGTCGAGAAATTTAACATTTAAAGAAGCAACTGATTTGATTCTTGAAACGGGCCTAGTAAGTTTAAAATGAGTTTAACGAGTTATTTGGTTTTTAGAAAAAATTAATCATTACCACGTAAGAATTTAGTGTTTCGTGACTGAGCTGAAAGATATCCAGTAAGATTGTGCATTTGATGGTGAATAAATCATCTCTTGATTATTGGTCATATGTTTAACAACTAAATACGATGGTATAATTTAGTAACAATAACTAACCATTGATAACTATTTATGTCAGTTGACCCGTACAAAGTTGTCCAGTTTTGATTAGTTTGCTTCAAAGGCCGTATTAATTAGTTGCCTGTTAATGTAATAACAAGTAAACAATTGCACGTCTTTCTTTCACCTAACTAAAGTGGTGCTGAATATATAAAATACCTAATTTCTTTTGAGTAGTGGACAATATGATTAGTTGTGAAGCTGTTTTGTTATTTTTTTACAACGTACTACTATGATAGAGATGAATACATGAAGTTTGGTCAGCTAAATAAATGTCTTCATGTATCGCAATTTAGTCTAGTCAATGTATCCATTTAGTGTTGTTTGTTTAAATCTTCCCATCTATGTGTTAGGACTGCAACTGGTCATCGATGGGAAGATTCAAACAAACAACACTAAATGAATTTAAACTTCACCCCATCGCACAAGAAAGTGGCTATCAGGACTCAGTGGCCGAGTGGATAACGCGATGGCGTTTGAAGCGAGGGTACTGGGTTTGAGTCCCAGAGTGAACATCAACTCTGAGATGCAGGTACATCCAGTTGACGAGTCCCAAATAGGACGAAACGCGCGTCCTGGATTCCACTGCTAGCCACTATCCATCTCTGCTTAGTCAATGTATCGTTTAAAGAGATTAACTATTTTAAATTGTGTATACCGTGTTTTTCTTTTTTTTAACATTAGAGGCAATTTTTTACTGGACTTGCAATCCCGTTTTATTCATATGGATTTATCAATGCCGTGATATTTACTGCATACAAAGAGTCATTGAGTATATTTGATGCAACTGGTCAGTCTCCATTAGCAAATGCTATGGCCGGTGCTGTATCAGGAGCTGTACAATTAGTACCAGCTGTTCCAGTAGAAGTTATTAAAATACGACAACAATCTATGGCAAGTCATCCGGGTAAACTGGTATATTTATGCTAATGCTTTATATTCAAAAATATGTATTTGAAATTTTCAAGTCATTTTTAATCATCAAACATAATTATTTCGCGGCATAGTAGGTTGTGAATAATTTAAAGTCTGGAGTTTTATATTACTGACTGTCCTTAGTTAGACAACCAATAAAAATAAGGAAGCTCTGGGTTGATGTCTTATCCTCGTACGATAATCCACAGTAATGAACATTCATACTCTCACCAGGGATTAAAATAAGACCTCAACGTCTTCTGGTCAGCTCTTAACATTTTTATATTTATAAAAGGAACAAATACTTGGGATTCGTTTGATATGGCCGTTATTATGGGAGCGGTGATATTGTCTGGTTTGATTACTGAATAATTTGCTCAATATCTTTAGAATTGATGACCTGATTTGCCAATAACCCAGTGACCGATGAACAATGACTGAGATCTTAATACCTATTGTTCCTTGAGGCGCTTCCAACTCAGTGTCAAAGCAGAAGACAAGTTAGAAAGCATTTCTATGATTCTAACTCATACGATAATATGTAATAAATTCCTGATAGCACAACAGTTTAAATACAAAATTACAATGTGTGCATAACTACATTATAGATTAGAAAGAACTAAGTAATTGGTCCGTAATTAATTAATAATAACTTTGTAAGTATACATATTTACTGTTTATTTATTTGCTTTTCAGGTGAAAAACAACTGACTGCTCGAAAATGTATTCATACTATTTTACGTATGCAAGGATTTACTGGATTATATTCAGGAACAGTTATTCAAGCATTTCGTGATATTCCAGGAATGACTGCTTATTTTTATGCTTATTCTGAATCAATAAAAATAGGAAAATACATTGGTTTGTCAACATTTTGGTCTGCTTTTATTGGTGGTGCAATAAGTGGAACATTATCTTGGTGTATTTCAATGCCATTTGTAAGTTAATAAAAATGGTTATGCAGCTATAGATAATTTTAATTCCCCATTACTGATATTAGGGATAGTAATTAGTCATTCCCTATTGGTATAAGTTTATCTTGAGTGGATCGTCTAGATATTGTTATTTTCCTGTAAGTTTTGGTAAAATTATATTATCCTCAATAGTGGTATATAGGATGTGAGTTTTGTTCTATTTAAGACTCGTTACTATACTGTACTTATATTCTGGTCTTGATGTTCATATTGTTATTTGAACCTTGTACCTATCATTTCAAACTCCGCCTGTAGCTCTTCCGGAGGCTACCGCCGGTCTCAAGCCTGGATAAAGAAGGAAGGTTGAGCATGGGGTTAGCGACCCCATCCCGTAGAAAAACTAACTCGCTAAAAAACGCTAACCAGAAAAAAGTTCAACACGTGCCAATAATCTTGCTCGTCTACATGCTTCTCTTTGTTCTTCATTTGGTAATGCATCAAATTAATCACCTATCATTTCAAACCTCATTGAGTTATATATTAAGCCACTTAGTTCACATAAACACTAATTTGTTCAATAGTTATAGGTTTATATACGTAAGGATCCTAAATAGGATGAAAAGTACGTTCTCCATCCTACTGCTAACCACAATCTAACTTCGTTAAGGATAATTATGTATGTTTATAAAACAAAAAAAATTATATAAACTAAATCTATAATCGATAAGTTTTGTAGACTGAATAAAGAATAACCCTATAAATAAAACTAAATATTATAAATATAATAAAATAATCAAAACATAAATTATTATTTTTTTTACTACTTCCGGTTATATAAAATGTACAGAATTGTTATGTCATTCAATCAGAAAATTCGAAATAGTTTACATTCAAGTGATGTAAAATTATTTAAAAAAAATAAAAACATTATTGAATATACTTAGTTTTGTTTGCTTGGATCTGAGATGCAGATACATCCAGCTGATGGGTCCCAATAGGATGAAACGCGCGTCCTGGATTCCACTGCTAGCCACTATCTATCTTTGCTTACAATTATTGAATATAATTTGAAAATAATTCATTGATAATTGAATAATTAATTGATAGGTGAAATGATCAAAATAAAATTTATCGGGAAAAATAACGAAAAAAATTATATATAGTTGAAATCATGAAGTGACTGGAGCTAGACCACCATGGAAAACCTTGAAGCACTGGATGACCATTTCGTCCTATTGCGGGACCCCTCAGCAGTGCGCATCCACGATCTCACCTCGCGAGATTCGAACCTAGGACCTATTAGTCTCGCGCGCGAGCTCTTAACCACTAGACTACTGAGTCAGCATCCAACGGTGCTAATGTCTAACTTCAACCAATTAAATTAATTAATTAAATATTAATTGAATTTTCATAAAACATATAGTCTTTTGTAAATAGAAAGTAAAATTAGTTTGATAAAAAATGCGAAACAATCTTTCGATTTTTTGTTGTGATGAGAAAGAAAAAAACGAAACTATCATAAAGTAGACCCAAGAAAACCTATACAAAATTGAATTTAGATTACTTATTTTTTTGTAGTGACCATTAGATCAATGCCAAATAGTTGACATTTTTCAGTTATCAGTTTTAAACTAGAACTGATTTTATGGTAGTTTGATTACCTTGAATGTCTGTGGTTAGTAAATTCTTAATGATTCACGATACTGACTACACATAGAGGATGTGGTTTGAAAGGAGGAATAGAATGTATAAGATGACTTTCTATAGATAGGCAGAAATCGAATGCATTTAAAACCCCAAGACTGATTTCTAGATGCCTCTAACTGGTAATTCTACAGCTTCCATCTAGATAGTCCGCATCTACCTCCAAGGTATACTTCAATGATCAGTGTTTTCATGGATTGATCTCAAGACTTTGTTTGGATTCCCCCAGTTTTCTTCCAATCTAGTCTTATACTGGCTAGCAGTGTGCTTCAAAGTAGGTAATATTGTTTAAATAAAGCATGTTTTAGGCATCTTGGTCAACAGATTGTATAGTATTTGACTTATTATATAAATCAGTTGAATATTTTGTTGTAAAGCGAAATAATATCTATTAGAAGTCATTTATGAAGATTATACAATCTAGAGTTAGCTTTCATAACGGGCTGATATCAACTACATAATTATTCTATACCAGGTTTCACTGACAGTGGTAATTCGGTGGTTTTTAATAGTTCTCTAGGAAATTTCAATCGTCGATTAAGACTTGTTTCTAAATACGTTAATTCGTTAAATTATGATGGATACGCTTGTTTAGGCTGTTATATACATCTTTGAACTAGTTAGATATCAATTATTTAGAAAAAACCTTATTTTCGCACATGTCCCTACTTTTTACTCGACAAATCCTCACCAAAACTACTCCATAGATCTTAATTATTAATCCATCATTATTTATTTATAATTTTAGGATGTAATAAAAACAAGACAACAAGCTGGTAATGGAATCACAATTTCAAATGTTCTAAATACCTTGTTAAAAGAAAAAAGCTACAGAATATTTTTTCGTGGATTTAACGTTGTTATCACTAGAGCATTTGTAGTTAATGCATGTACATTCGCTGTCTACGAAACAGTTTATGAGCATCTTAAAAAATATTAGTGATATTCGAATTCGTTTTATTTTTGCTGTTTAATGAGATTGTTTTTAAATATATAGTTTGGAATATCATTCATTTAAAAGATTAATTATTCAGATTGTTAGTTCAAAAGATATGATTTATTATTTACCGATAAAGTGATTGATATAAATTGAAGTAGCAAGAAGCATAATGTCATGGATTACTAAAAATATAATATAATAAACAGTCGCTATTTTGCAAACTAACTGTTTGTTGTATGGTTATCAGAATTTAGTGAGATAGTCTGTAATTTTCATGTCAAATACATTCGATTGTCCCCAGTCGTGTTCTTGTTCATTACAGTTCCTCATCGAGTTACTTAGTGGCACACCATCCATCAATACTTCTGATTAATTGTATTCTCTCAATTAAAACAGCGATTCTGTTGGTTTCTCTTTAACATTCTCTCTTTTATCAAAATAAAAATGCTTTAGAAATTATCATTTCATTTTGTTTCATTGAAATTAGCAAGGAGATAGGATAAAAAACTTATCAGGACATTTAAATTTTTAAGTGTAGTAAAAACTGTAATTTACTCGAGAACAGTAAGTGTTTTGGCAACAGGAAAATATAAGTGATTCAAACATTTACAATGTCAGGATTGAATCCCCCGTTCAACTGCACCAGTCATCAATCAGTGACAAAAGTCGGGAAACAATGTTTCAGTTGTTTGAAGTCTCTTCTTAGTTCGATTCTGGAGAGAAATTCATCTAAATAGTTAAATATAATCTTGGCATTATAGCTGATATCGTTTCTTGATGAAAACTCTAACTTCAAACTCTAAACCTTGATTCTAATTCTTTAAACTAGTTTATAAGTTGAAACTATAATTTATGGATGACATTTTAGCGATACTCGTGTTCTTCAGAATGTCCATCTACTTACTAAGGCTAAATGGGGGTTGTAAACCAGTACGAGGAATCCGGATTATGATTTACTATTGATGGTTAGGGTTGGAAATTAGACTAAGGGTTTCCACCACAAAATGACATCTGGCATAATGCCAAAATCATATTTAGCTATGTAAATGAATGAATTTCTCTCCAAAATTTAAGACCTGTTATCTTAGCTCTGATCGGTACGTCCATGAATTGAAATTTCACCACTTATAACTCCCTTTAGATACTAGTAGGTTGGTGAATTTCCTCAACGTCACTCTACCACCACTCGAAGATCATCTATAAATAATAGTCTTATGATTTCAATTAGGTACTGACACAAACGTATTGAAGTAATCATCGATCTGTTTGAATTTAATCCAAGTTTATCCTCTTTAGTGAATTTATTTATATCGGTTTCAAGTACAAAGTAAACTAAATCTTATTAAACAGAAATACTTCATTAGGAACCTGACGTTCTATGTGGATTTTTACAATGTACCAAACCATCAATTTAATCAAGTTGTTCAATTATTTCTAATGAAAAACAAATTTATAACGATAATTTTTTTTACTAAACTATATCACTTCATAAACTGAAGAGTAGTTATCAATTGAATGCTTTATTTTGATTTTATGGAAAGTTATTTGATTATCACGATAATTTTCATCATAGGTTCACACAGATATCCTGTAATATAATAGGAGTGAAATAGAACACATACGCACTGGAAAATAACATCAAAATTTAAGGGCAGAGAAAAACAGAATGAAATCGAACAATTTTTAATAATTCATAAAAAAGAAAACATTGAAAAATGTTGAATGAAATCATTGGACTTTATCTTTTTGAAATTCAGATAGATAATTATCAAATGCACACAAATACTCACAAAGACATCAGTATACAAATGCAGAATTTTCCAGTAATATATGAAGTTCAATAATAAGCAAATCTAGATATGAGAGATTAAAAATAAGTAATTGAAACTTTACTCTTATTCATATTTTTTGGGGTTGGGGGGTAGGTGTGTATATAGTTCAATAATAATAATAGTCATTATAATTATCGTCACATATTGATAAAAATAAAAACGGACAATTTGTTGATTATTTTTATTTGTTTAATGAAAAGAAGCAAAGAACGTTGAAGCCAAGATGAGAAAACAACATAAGTTAGACGAAACAAAACAGAAAAAATACAAAACACCTATACTGTAATTTGATGGATAAGTTGGAAATTCTAAAAAATTAAAAAAACAAACAAAGAGTGATAACGATGAATATGAAAGCACAATGGTAATTGTAGATTTATTTTTGTTTTAAAGTCATTTTTTCTATTTCACACAAAAAAATATTTTGTCAGGAATAGAATGATTGAAAAATTTCTTCAGTAAACATATATCTATTAATTTTCTTAAGACAAACCACGGTGTAGATCAGTTCTTTCTAATGAAAAAAGAAAGCGTATAGAAATGTAAACACTCAAGGTATCTTCAATTTAAACACAATATACACACATAAATTGGTTAAATGCACAAATTGAATTTCATGCAAATGAAGTTATTCCCACAAAAAAAAAGAATCAATGATTATAAGGTTTAAAAATGTAACTTCCGGAAATATTACACAAATTATAGATTCAAACAAATGAATTCAAAATTCACTCGGATGTATTAAAATAAACATTAAGTTAAGATTATGTTAGCAAATGTGTAATACATGGTTAGTATATTCTTCTCTTGAAATAATCAATTAGAAAAACAAAAAATAATCAATCAACAAAGTTTTCAAGCTTAATAGATAAACTCTGATGAACACATAAAAGTAATTTAGTTAGAAAAGCATATAGTTCTATATTGAAATCTATTCAGTTATACATAAAGTAGATAAAATGGTTAACTACTTATTCACAAGTAATGAAAGTAAAGAGATAAGGAGGAAGTATGAAGGGAAAGGAAAAAGGAATGAATGATTTTTTCTTTTGTAAACAAACCTTCCTTTGTTTTTAATCAACACTTGGAACCATGGAAAAAATGTGTAAAGATGATTTCTGTTCATTTGTCTTGTATTTAATATCAGTAAACAAGTAACAGTGAATAAATAATTAAAGTCAATTAAATTAATATGCTGTGTGTACAAAGCAAGTATTACATTTCAATTGATTGAGGAGATCTGTTCATTATCTATCCAGAAGGTTTACTAAGAAGAGAATTAAATAAATACAAGTAGAGTTTATCAATTTACTGTAGAACAAAAATATTTAAATATTATAATACCCCTATGGATATTTAATAAACAGTTCATATATATATAAACACGAACTATTTCAGTATATAGAAATCCCTTACACTGTAAAAGTAATTCATATTTGGTTTAATTAAAATTTTCAAATTAACAGTAATAAATAGATATTTTTAAAAACTTCTCATGGATTGAAGTTATATCGTTTTCTGGGCTTGCATTTTGATTATTCGGAAAGGTTGAATTTTTTTATGCAAGAAGTTATAATTATCAATACGAAATTGACCTTCACACGATAACTCATACATTTTCACTAGTATTCCTGGATCAGTTGGTTGTCAAGCGCATTTGTAGCATCAAAACCTTTTGATTGGACATTTCATCAGTCAATCTCTTTTTAGTTTAAGAAAACAGCTCAAAAGTATGAGCGACAAATATTCCACGTTATGATTCAATGCACACGTTTGTGCATGATAAATGTTAAAAATTACTATTTATAATCAACTAACTGTATTATTGCTATGTGAATAAAGGTTAGAGAAAAAGTCTCAGTGTATAAAAGTTATAGGCTCCGGTAGACGATACATGTCAGTGAATATCTGCCCTCGATCACTTTCGACTTTCGAAAAAGTGTTGTCCAATAAAAGCATTACAATTCAAATTATGCAGGACTTTGTTCTGACTCACTCCAAACATTTAATGTTAGGACAAAATGCACTGTAATTTCTTGTCATGTAGATCTGTGACCACATTGAAGATTGAATTGAATAAATCCATTCAACACTAAGGGTTCCAAAATATTAGATCCGAAGCTAATGTTTATTAACTGTTTATTAACGATTACGTTAATACATTGGTATCTGATATTTACACATATTTAGAAAATCTAACTTTGCTGCATCTCTTGAGCAGTGTGAATTTTTTTTCATGTTCAAGAATTGTCATCATTGATTTATGTCAATGTTAATAAAAGCTTACTTTCTACAAGTGGATGATGACTTTTAAACATATCGTCTTCAGAAAAACACTGTAAATACTAAAACTTCTATAGTTGATTAAATAGACAAACGATTAGGTTGAGATTTCTTCAATTCTTTATTCCAAAGGAAAAATAGAGCAATATTCAAGTTATCAGAGATGGATAGTGGCTAGCAGTGGAATCCAGGACGCGCGTTTCGTCCTATTTGGGACTCGTCAACTGGATGTACCTGCATCTCAGAGTTGATGTTCACTCTGGGACTCAAACCAAGTACCTTCGCTTCAAACGCCATCGCGTTATCCACTCGGACACTGAGTCTTGAATTAAAGCTATATCAAGGCAATACACACAGTATGCACATATGCCAATTAGAGACTGACCAGTTGCAGTCCTAACAAATCGATGGGAAGATTCAAGCAAACAATACTGAATGAATTCAATATTCAAGTAGTTGGTAGAAGCAAATACTTTGTAATATCTGTCTGTCATTAATCATCATTTTAAACACTATACAGTTCGATCCATATATTTTAAAATGTGTCAAGGTAAAAGATCATTGAACATAGCTACGACATACATTTGTGATTGGTGAGTATGATTTCAATTTTATTTCGTCCATTTTTATAAAATATTGAAATACATATATATAAACAGTAACAATTTACTGTAATATTTCTTCGTAAATAGTAGTGGAATAAAGAACATGCCCTTTTCGGGATTTTTTAGTTAATTCCATCTAAATTTCTTACCATAAACCTACTTTTAACAGACATCACGTCCTATTGAAAACTGATCAATGAGGTATCGTGCCAGAGTTAATATTTTCATGATAGACTAATTTATTTAGTTTCACGAATCAAAAAGTGAGAGATAAGGTGACACAAAATGTTCTATTTCATCAACTTTAATGTATTTGTAACAATTTATAGGCTATATTCAAGGTTCAAAAGATGAAGAGTAAATCGTGCTAGAATAAATGCTTACCTTTATTATATGATCAAAACTGCTGACATTTGACCCAGATCTTCCTGTAGAACAGAAATATTTAGAATTTAAATCTTGTTGATCTTTTGTTGTCGAGCCAATAGTAGGGAAATTTGATTTTAGTTCCACAGAATCATTATTTGATAGAACACATGGAACATTGACCAAAGTAATCGGTGATATTGAACTAGTTCCATCTCTGTGCTCACTGTTTATAGACGGGTCTATATTAGTAGATGCAGTAGTTACAGTACATGTAATGGAAGCAGTGACAGAAACAGTTGATACTTCATTTATAGGGCCATGCACACTAGATAAACTTAAGGAGGAATCACTAGAAAGATTACTAACTCGGCCTGTATTTCCTAAGCCTAAAACTGGTGTATACGAAGTTCTTAAATCTTCTCCTGGTAAATGTGAATCAATTAGGACTTCAAGAAAGTTCACAAATAACTGGGCAGTATCGGCGTTCTGATTCGCCTGAAATGAAATTAGAAAAGAAATGAAGCTATTAAACAACTTTGATGAACCCTACTTGAAACTTAGTTGATTATGAAATTAATGATGTTAATATGTAACCTTAAAATCAATCAATACGAGATTTATCAAGTGACTGATTACGTTGATGTGGAATTTTTGTGCAACAGAGAATTAGTATTCATTTTCGCACAGTGAAGTAACTCAGAAGCAAGTAATAATTATATAATGATACTAACGGTTATTATTAGCAGCTTACAGCTGAAGAGGAAATTAGGAAAAGACGTTGGAAGTGGATAGGACATACATTAAGAAAATCACCAAACTGAATCACGAGGCAATCCCTAACTTGGAATCCGGAAGGAAAGCGGAAAAGAGGAAGGCCAAAGAACACATTACGCCGGGAAATAGAATCAGATATGAAAAGGATGAATAACAACTGGAAAGGATTTCCCGGGACAGGGTTGGATGGAGAGTACTGGTGTGTAACCTATGCTCCTCCACGAGGGGTAACAAGCGTAAGTAACGCAGTAAGTAACTGTTATTATTGCTAAAACTAATTGACGTATGATAGTGAAACTGAAATATTATTGATCACTGAGCGTAAATCAAGAGAGACAACCTGCTGAATATTGAAATATATGATTTCCTTTCCTCTCATTGATTTCTACTCCGAACGCACTGATACTGATTGCTTGTTATTGCATTCAATAAAGTATTGCCTAGTCTATACTTTGGTTCTCTATTCTGGGTCGTGAATCCTGAATCTGACATAACATGACTAGTCTTATTATATTATCAACGTATTATTGTAGTATACTCGCGCGCGCGAGAAATATTTTAAACCATCCATCATATCACTATTATAATCGGTTATACGAATTCAAACAATGTGAATGTGACAATATTTTGCAGTAAACTATACAGTTAACATGATCAATGTAAAGGCATTCCATTTATGATTTTAGAATGATTTATCTTTCTCAATCTAAGAAATATTGAGTAAGTTAACAATGATAGTTACAAAGCAGAATGTATTTAACAGTTATTATAGTTTAATTCATTGCTTTGATGTGAAAGGGTTTGGGTTGAAAATTACTGTTATAATAAATTTTTTACTACGTCTATTTAGCAATATAAACCATTTAAATTGTAACTCAGTTAATTTGCCAATAGTGATGATAGAGAAACAATAGTCGCTCCTTTTCTATTCATTCACTATGCTCTCTAAAAGAAAATGAGTCTTACAGTACCATGAACGAATCCTTTTATTTTTGAAGCGAAAAAAAACAATATGTAAATGAAAAACAACTTAATTATCTATGAATAATTATAAGATGGACTAATTAATAAACATACCTTGGAAAAGTGCCCGGAAAATCTCCATAGACCACCAAAACCGATACCTTGGAATGCAAAGCGAAAGTATAAAATTTAATTTGAGGTAATAAAAGCAATTGGAAACAGCAATATGACTAATAAGCAAGGAAATGTTTGCTAGCTGTACAATGATGTTTATAGTTATCTAGCATACCTAAGTCTGTAATCTAAGAGATAAATGTTAAATCGTCTAAAAATAAGATCAACTGTGTGTTCAAGTATCTAAACAGCTTACACAACTGTCTGAAGGATTTTATGAAACAGTTAGAGAAAAATGGATGATAGATGGAAGAAAATTGTTCTGTTGAATAATGTTAACAAAAGGTCAATAAGGGAATAAATGAACATTATAGTTTTCAAAATTAAAAGGGATATATTATTTTCTGATGGTAATTAAATGAAGCCTTGAATAAAATCGTTTTGGAATGCATAAATCAGGCCTGTTATGTATAAAAATGTAACGTAATTAAGTTACTATGTGAAAAAGTCTAGGAAATTCTTCAGTAGGGAAAGTAGGGTGGAATATGATTTAGAAGGTAATAACTTTGAATGGCCTATTTAAAAACGTAACACGAATTCAAAAGAAAATTCACGAATACATATGTACATAATACTTGGAAACTAGGAATTAATAGAAAACTGTTTTGTCCAATTCCGTGATAGAAACTATTTCCCATTTGTATAAAATCTTCACACGAACACTACAGAGAATAATAATCATGTGCTAACTACAGACTAGATTTCATATGAATTTTCTGAAATTCTAACGGGGTGCCGTAATCTGCGTATTCACTTCAGTGGAAAGGGAGACATCAGTTTACTGATTTTAGTGAATAAAGAATGTAATATATTTAAAGTTGACTAAAACCAATAATAAGTATCGTTGGTATCAGTGGTTAAAATGAATCTTATCCACCAAAAGATCAAAAGATTATAGCTTCAAACTCCTGTTTAGATTGGCTAGTTCTTATTTCAATAGTTCTTCAGATGATATTAATTTGCGGTGAAAACTTTTCATATCGTATAAAATCTTGATGTAAATAAATCTGCCCAAACTCAAGACTTCATACTAAATAGCACATGCTGGTAAACTGAATAACTCAGTGATCGCGTCACTTGTAGCGACACTGAGTGATTTTGATTCTATCATTTTAGAGATCGCAGATACACCTTAGTGATATGTTCGATCCTCAAGAAACCTAATTTCAAGGTTTCTAGTCGATTGCTTTCCACTATCTAATACTTGAATACAATGTACCATAATATCAACTTACTTGAACTAGTGACAATACTACAACTTGACCGATTGAATACAGTTAGTACTAAGGATAAATAATATGGCATTAGTTAACAGTCTCTGTTAAATCAACGTGTATCTTTGAATCTTTACAAAAAACACTGTATTAAAGATCAGCAAATCTTCGAAGAATTGCAACTTAAACGTGAATTTAAAACGTAACGAAGGGTTTAGTCCTATCTTCCATTACATTAATAAAGCAGATTACACATAACTGGGGTACAAACAAGGTTAAGCACAAACAAATAGAAAATTTTCTACTTTGAGAAAGATTTAAAGTAAACAGTTATAGTTTTCTGTAAACTTTAAAAAATCTATAAATTAAGCATTAATACAGACAAAAAGTCTTATTATTTTATTCAATTTATCGTTTTACAGTGATATCTAGATGAGTAAAGATGAAATAGTATAATTGAGATATTTTTTTATAGAAACAAAGCCAATTATAATGAGATAACAATGTAACACAATTTTCTCAATGGTCTAGATTGTTTTTTTATTCTTTGAGATTCTTATAGTAAATCAAGATTTCTGTTTGGAATTGAACCTAGTCAACATATAAAACAAATAAGATTGTATCTATTTTCTTTATATAGTTGAAATCATGAGTCAATTGAAGCAAGACCACCATGGAAAACCTGGAAGCACTGGATGACCGTTTCATCCTATTGTGGGACTCCTCAGCAGTGCGCATCCACGATCCCGCCTCGCGAGATTCGAACCCAGGACCTATCAGTCTTCTGATAATATCAATTTATTAAAAAAATGTTTTAATGACAAACGCATAGATATAAAATAGAATAAAAATATACAAATAATGATAACTTACTTTGTAAATAATGTAATTGTTGTACAGATGTTTCACCATTACTAATCATATTCTGTATGATACTTTGAACAGCACTTAAAATTTTTTGATCATGACAATGTGTTAAAACATAATTAATTTTTGAATCCAATAAACTATGTCTATATCAAATATTTTATTTAAATAAACAGAAACAAAAATGAATAGAAAGTGTTTTAATCTTGTAAAAATAGGAATAATGATTTGCTTTCAAGTGGGTAATTGGCATTTTATTAAAAGTTTATCATCTATAGGATCATATTTTTCCATTGTTTTTATGAACTGCATCAGAATTAGTAGGGTTGATATCAAAAAACATCTCAAGTATGGAATTTTCATTCGGGGATGACTATATGTTATGTAAGGAAGAGTTGTACACGAACGCTTATTCACTTTTCTTTATACTATGCATAAATCTATTCTGGCAAACTTAATCCATATGACACATAGGCTATGGAAATAAAAGAAATGAAGTTTTAGGCATTCAACTGTATGTGTATTCGAAAGATCACTCGGATGTAGATTGGATCATCGAATGAAAATCTTTATTATTCAACTCATTAAAGACAAAATATCTACTATATAACTCTACAATATAATCAGCTCACGTATTTCAGTCATTGAAATTTGATTATACTTTAAAATTAAAGTATGGTTATTTTAATAACCATATGATTGCTGAATACAAGGAACATTAAGTATCTTGTTGAAATTATTATTGCCCATGAAGTATATTAATCTAGAGTTCTTAGATTATTTTTATTAGTAGTAGGGCCAAAATAACTGTTTCAATGTATGAAAAAAGTCTGAGCAAATATGTGTATTTAATAACATTTTATTCTTATGCAATCTCTTGTACACCTTATATATAAGAAGGCATATACCGCCTTTATATCTAAATATTATTTGACGAAGAACGTGACTTTAAATAGCTTTCTTCTATCGCATGAATAAGTGTATGCATAATATTTGTAATACTTTGTATTAAATACCATTTGGTGCGGAAGAAACAAGGAGTGGTAGTCAATTCGTGACCAAGCTCTGCAAAATGAAAATTACTTGTATTTGACTAGAATTTGTAAGCTCATTGAAGTCATCTAGATGAAATCTTAGGGAATATACAACACACTGGCTTGAGTCACCAGTACAGTATAGCTTGGAATCAAAAACATTGATCACGCTGTAATACTATTTTGTATTTATATCTAACTAATAGGATGCATTAATGAAAGTAATAAAAACAATTTTGACTATAAATTCACTTGGTATTGTTTGGTTGAATCTTCTTATTGGTGATCGAGATTGCAATTGATCAGTCTCTTATTGGCATACGTGCATGTTGCCTCGATATAGCCTTAATTCACAAGCATTATGAGCAGAGATGGAGATCCTGATCACCAATGGGAAGATTCAAACAAACAATACCAAGGTAATTTAAACTTCACCCCATCGCACAAGAAAGTGGCTATCAGGACTCAGTAACTAAGCGGATAACGCGATGGCGTTTGAAGCGAAAGGTACTGGGTTCGAGTCCCAGAATGAACAACAACTCGGATGCAGACACATTCAGCAGATGAGTCCCAAATAGGACGAAACGAGCGTCCTGGATTCCACTGCTAGCCACTATCCATCTCTGCCTACAGTTTTGACTATGTTTCAATGTAAAATGTATTTCTTCAAAAGCTACCATTTTATTATATTTTGAGAATTATGAGTAACAGATTGAACCAATTGATTACAAATGATAACCGACAAACCAACGAGCATAGGTAAACTATGGAAGAAAGATATTGTCATTATTTTAGTTTTAATTAAACACTAAAACTATATTTAAGCTTCAGTTTTGAGGCTATTTGTAAACTGTTCTCTGACTGGATTATGTGTTTCTTTATAAATGATTTAGGTAAATATGAATCTTATTCATTTGAATGATCGAGTGGTAACTGATAGAAAGTTGCTTTTTGGGTCGCATGATTTAGCTGTTTATGTTTACTTGTCGATTAAGTGAATTTCATTGTAGGAAAGAACATTGTTTAAATTACATTTGCATCTATAGTGCAAACATTTTGAGTTATCTCAAAAAATGTGGCCAGAAATTCCGTTAAAAGAATCCTCAATCGATTAATTTTTGGTTTTGTTGCTTTGCTTACTCACACGTGCATGGTTTTTGATCGTACACAAATATGGTAGAAAAAATATTCAGGTTTATTTAAAGAAAATTTACAAACAGCTGGGTCTGTTATTAAAGTTTAAAGAGCATCATATTATTTTAGTAAGATGGTTCTACTTACATGACAGGAAATACTCGAGGAAAAACCATAGAAGCATCTGCTAAAAATTCATATAGTACTCTTGACTCGTTCTCATCAGTGGTATAACGTACCAAAGTCGTCTTATAGTTGAAAATACAAAAAAAGTTACAGTTGACTAATATTGATTGAATTCATTTAAGTCACTTAATATAACCAGCCATAACAAAATCATGAAAAACAATGTTAACTTCCGTGGTTTCTATGTTTTATCTTTGTCAAAATCTGTTTGTATTTATAAACTATCGGGTACAGCTTAAACTAAAATTAATTTCACTGTGGTGTATGTTTGTTTATCATTTTGAAGTTGTACAGTTATTCAGACTGTTATTGACACGCAACACTGGTCACTTTGACTCTTGTTCATATTATACCTCTTTAATAATTTTTAGAAAAAATTTTATGGCAATTAGTTCATCAGTTTTATGGACTCATTGAAAGATACAGTTCAAACAATCAATAACTAGAAAAAAAGTTTTGGGACTAATTATTATTATCATTATTAATAGCTTTATTTAATATTATGTTACTGGTACAGTATAAAATTCTCAGAACAAAGTATTTCAACAAGTTTCCTTTTCTTATTACTGAATCAGTCCTGACGATTAATAGTGACATCTTGTTGTGATATTGAGCATTCGTCTTGATAACCACTTACTCAGGATTCTTGAATTGTAGTCATACCACAATTACGATAAATGCTTAGACTTAGTGGGAAATGAATACAGTCCACCTTGCCAATTAGTGATTTCCGGTTAGCAGTTCAGGAATCGATCTGATTAATGTTCATTCTTTTAAATGTATTTTGTTAGCTACCATGATATCTGTAATTGTACTTTTATTGTAATTTGTACAGGGAAAGGTCGTAAACTTTTCATAAACGCTATTGCATGGGTTACGCGATTAACAGATATAATTATATGTTAAAAAAAAACAAAAATCAGAAAATTTTTTGAAATATCCAGATGACAGGAACAGATAACCCAGATACTTAAGCAAACCACCAGAAGCGACGACAAACTACGAAGTGGATGTTCCATATATCTGATGAACTACTAATTCTTTCCCTACTACTAATATTTTTTGGAAGTAGAAATATTCATTTTGGTGGGAATCACGACGACTTTACATACCCTTATACATAAATCACAGACAGCTGTTTGCACGAATCTCACTGGTCAGTTCTCACAATTAACGGAAATTCCTGCCTGAATGATTGAAAAACGCCAATACCATTTTCAATAAAATGGAAGGAGGTCTATAATTAATTCATATCAATAAAAATAACTAAAAAAAATTTTTGACAAGTTTCAACATATAATGGTAATACTTAATTGATTGTTAATGTGTCATATACTGTCAACCAACATCAAAGTCAGAATCTTCAAAAGGAACGTCAAGTCAGTTAGTTTTACTGGACGGAGATGAAACTTGGAGAACTACTACAACCATCATCAAAAAAGTACAAGTATTAATAAACAATTGTCTACACAAGATACTCAATGTCCGTTGGTCAGATACCATCAGCAATAGCCTACTGTGGGAGAGGACAAACCAGCTTCCAGCCGAAGAGGAAGTTAGGAAAAGACGTTGGAGGTGGATAGGACATACATTGCGGAACTCATCTAACTGCATCACGAGGCGAGCGCTAACTCGTAATCCTGATGGGAGATGGAAAAGAGGAAGTCCAAAGAACACATTGAGTCTGAAATCGGGAGCAGACATGAAGAGAATGAATAGTAAATAAAAACAACTTGAAAGGATTGTCCAAAACAAAGTTGGATGTAGAATGCTGGTGGGCAATCTGTTCTCCTCCACGAAGCGCAACAGGCCTAAGTAAGCAACTAATGTGTCATATCCATGCAAAGATCCTTGTTTTCCTGCTGAGCTAAATCGCAAGTTCATTTTGACATCTCTGAAATTGCACTAAAAGACATTCTTACTAATGATGTTATTATTATTTATAATTAATTACGGTCATTGTAAGTTGAACTGAAGAATGGTATTCATTCGTATCCATTTTCTTAAAAAATGGCTCCCAGTAAAGTTTATTAAAATTTTGCAAATAATTCTGATAGGTGAGGTAATTTTCACTAACACCTTGACATTGAATTAAAACAATATAAAATGTAGGCTTTGTACCGCTACTGTGGTACTTCACCTATAGAACAGCCTATATGAATTCTATGGTGATAGAATTCGGGGATAATTATATTTCATAAAACAACCAGAGCTAAAAACAGCTAATTATCTTCAATAGTTACTCTGACAATTCAGAGCATTTGACTAATTCTAAAAATGCATTGACTCGATACCAGGAAAGCGAAACAATCATCTGTAGAGCAACAACTAATGGATACTGAGAATGAGTGTTATATTTATTGTAATTTTCCGAATAATTTCGAAATAAGACGGTACTGATCTTCTATTATTTACAATTTGTATATAAGTATCGAAGAGTATGAAGTGTAAGTATATCACGATTGATAAAATTAGGTGAGATCTGAAGATCGTCACACATGACACCTACAAAACAGTTTAACCTCCTTTTCTACAATATAGATTTTATGCTTAAAATGAAATTACTGTGGTTTTTTCATCGATCCTCAATCAGTAGACTAAGCTTCAATTGTCACAATATGAATATTTCACAAATTTACAAAACGTTTTAAATAGAATAATATTAAATGCATTAATCAAATTATTTCATGTAATTTTATATAGTTAAAAATATCTCCACAAAACCAACTTTTAATATTTCATGTAAACTTACCAGTACAGCAATAGTTAAAGCTTGAGTTGCTTCGTCTGTAAGGATACTTGGATCAAGAAGAACTCCAGTCGACGTCTTTGGTTCAGTTTGAATGGGGTTAGGTAATAACTGTTCCCGTTGATTAATTTGATTTCTATCCTCACTGGCATCATCGAACTCAGTTCCATTCATAATCTGACTATCGACTGTTTCGTCTCTGGTTTGACTCAAAACATTACCTGATCGTTGTTCAGTGTTTGAGTTAATACTACCACTTGGCATGCATTCATCAATAGAACGTGAACGCAAACTATCTGTTGCACTTAAAATTGCATGACGTTTAGGGAACTGTTGACAAGATTGTTGGCTTTGATTCTAGGGAAAAAAACGAACGGTATACATATGTATTAGTTGATATTAAACATTTTCTAAATTGATGTATGAAATACTGCTTGAAATAAAAAAAACAACTATTTCTCGATCTACCAATAAGATCAATCAACGATTTTTTTTAGATAAACATATATCTGTTAAGAATTTCGGAAGACTGGACGAATAATATAGTTACATGAGTTTGTTTGAATCGTCCCACTGATGTTTAGGACTGCAACTGATCAGCTTATTATTGATATATGTACAACCTGTGCGGATTGCTTTATATCACAAGTGGCTATCTGGACTCAGTAGCTAGTGAACAACGCGATAATGTTTAAAGCAAAAGGTACTGGGTTCGAGTCGCAGAGAGGATATCAACTCTTACGTTCGGCTGAAGAGTACAAATAGAGCGAAACGCGCGCCCTGGATTTCATTGTTAGCCACAATTCATCTTTGCTTATAATATATGCATAGATACCAACGTGTTTTGAGTAAGTGCATTTTATAAATTACAAATAACACACACATCTATACAGATTGAGTTATATAAAATACACTTTAGTGAATCGTAAACACTGAACTAATTGCGTTTCTTTTATTTCTTATTTTCGACTGCCTAATTTTAATGAAGAGAAATTACACAAATCATTAATCAAACTAATTCATGAGATAAAAAAGAGAAAGAATAAAAACTGAGTTATCGAAAATTCACAATCTAATAAACAAGGAATCTTACCATCTCTGATATCGTATTAGTTGTTATCTGACGATCATTTGATGAACGAATCAGTTGTTGTTGTTGTTGTGTTGTATTATTGTCTGATGACAATAAATTGCTTGTATAATTTGACTCAAATCGTGGGCGATTAATTTTCTGATTAAAATTTGGTTGGATAAAATTATTTGGCAATAATGATTTAATGAGACTAACTGAATTATGACTACGTGAATTTGACTGTTGAGGTGATGATAACGTATCAAGTAAACTTTCATTAGATCCACCCCAATCAGTATGATTAGTTGAGTATATTGTTGCGTTTGTGAGTGAGGAAAAATTCTTCGTTATCATAGTGGTATTATTAGTATTATTACTATTTTTATTTAATTCTTGTTCATTTGTACCAACAAGTGTACCAGGTATACGAAATTTCAATCGACATCGCTTACGTACTTCTTCCGATACTGGTAGCAGAGCTGTTAGATAAGCTATACTTTCGTGACTAACTTGATATTTATCACTGTAAATTTGGTAAATCAGCAATTAGATAAAGTTTTAAGATGAAAAAAATAGACATATTTAGATACTATCAAATAATTTACTTGGATATAAATGTATGATGATGGTGTTGGGTGAGCAAGGAAGAAGAAAACTAACTGGCTAGTCAAAGATCGGGGCTTACGTTAAACAACAGAAATATTAGACTTACTTCCGGTGTCAAAAGTAAGAGAACAAAATTATTAGAGCAGAGATATGTAATATGATACTAAGTATACTTATCAATTGCAAACATCTACATTTTTACTGTTACCAATACTTAGGAGTGAATTTCAGCAGTTTCTGTTGGAGTATAGGACTCTTTGAACAAATGCTTTGCTTTGGATATCGGTTAGTGAAATTTAAGACTGAATTTTGATTAAATTATCCGTATCTTAAGGTTGATGTTTACCTACAGATGTGAACTATATACACAACACTTTAACATTAGGGGGTTGTTAAAAAGTGATGTATTAAATCACTTTTATTTAGCGAATCGTTAATAATTTGGAACAAAAAAGAGTTCTCTGTTGTTGATCAGTTATAGATTCACTACTACTTCCGTGCACCCATAAATTAAAGAAAAAAATGGAGTCTGAATAAGAAAATAAGAAGAAACTCTACTGAAACCATTCAAGTCACTATTTTATACAACCTAGTCCCATCTGATAATAATATTTTCACTTAATTGCTTCACATAAGTAATTGAATTTGATTTTTACGATATTCGAAGCTAATTTTAGTTTATTTTGTTGACAACTATATTTGTAATCATTAGTCACGTTAAAAATATACCAAAAAATGGTTGTTTTCTTTGTTTATGCACTAGTATAATAAAATATAAAGTTAATAAGTTCTGTGACGTTATGTTAACTGTTTATCATTAAAATTACGTATTTAATCATAAGTTCACTAGTTGAAATATTAATCAATTAATTAGCTACTTTACCAATATATATCTACATTTTGCGTTAACTAAAGAATTTATTGTTTTGTGGCTATAAGAAAAACAAGTGACCAGTAGAGAATCCAGTTTGTTCACAAGATGCTTCACACACATATAGTGTATCAACTCATGTCTAAAAAATACAAGGAGTGAATATTACTATTTGGTTAGCTACATAAAAAATCAAGTATAGCTACAGGTTTTTTAATTCTGTTTAGTTGATAAATGCAGTTGTGAATCAAGTAACTTATTGTGTATTGCTGTAGGGATATAGCTTCTTTATTATACTCACTCGGTAATAAGTCTATGTACAGAAATGGACTAAATGTTACATATCAAATAAGCTAGATTTTCTTTGTAACTGCAGACAACTAACAAGTCAAAAAAGGTCTTATTCATATCTCAATTGAGTTACAAATTCTCACAGTTGTAAAGTTTATGAAGCCTGAGTTTTCATGAAATATGCTTTCCACGTATATGTCTAAACGTTACACTTAGGGCATCAGTCTCCTAAGTTTCACTTATTATTTATAACGTTAACATGTGAATACAACAATGTAATTGCATGGTCTATCTTCTAAATAATTATTTTAACTCAATAGTTATTACTCATGACTTACCGATTAATTGGTTTTGCAGCAATACCCAATAGTAAATTCAATACACGTATAGTTCTAGCAACAGTTTTTACATCAGGATGACGAAACCCTTTCAGTAGATGACCGACTAATGCGAAATGAAAGCTATCACGAAAACTAAGACCAACAGCATGATCCATTTGTTTATATTGTAGAATAAATTGTTCTCTACATCGCATCATAATACTACTTAATGACTAATACAAAGACAACGACAACAACAGCAATAATCACAACGAAGAAAACAAACAAAAGACAAATAGAAAGGTTCAAAGAGTTACAACGAAATTTTTTAAATAATTAATCATCAAAATGTTTAAATATAAGTATATCTTGACATATTTAAACGGCAATGTGTTCGGTAGTGTTTTTAGATATATTTGTACTAAAGGCATTCTTATAACCTATTTCTTAGGTCAATGTTCCAATCGAGACTTTAATACAATGCTCACAATCTCAAAGACAATCTCATTATTTACTAACCTACTACTGAGTTACAATAACCACTGCATATCTCTAATATAACAAGATTAGTATATTTATTTAATTGAAATACCTCATAAACTAGAGATGAATGAGAAATTTCACATATTATCAAAGATTATACACTCCTTTCACGTGGTATCATGGGTTAACTCAAATACAATAATTAACCAATATCTCAAAATGATTACTGTCTACAGTATGCAGCATAATTGATAGAATATAAATTGGAAGAGATATTGCTTAATATCATACATGTAGATTACATATAAGAATCATTCTGAGTGACAACATTTAAAAGTCAGAACAAGAAAAAATATGTTGTTGGATCATCTGACTACGTTTGAATTTGACTAAACTAAAATTTAGAAATACTCATTTTAATGCGTTTAAAATACTGTTAACTATGGCTTATAGTCTTAGATGATTGTTCACATGAGCGGTTGTAAAATACAGGCCAATCGCTTAATGAGATCGATGTATACAGGAAAAGTTGTGAATCAGATTTGGAGGAATTTGAACACTTCACTTCTACTTGGAGTCTGTGCTAATGATGTCGTTCAGAAGAACGATGAAAGCTCCACGACCAAACTATCCAGCTCATAGAACAAAACTCCACCATAATCGCCTAGTGGTAGTTTCACAAACTGTGAAAACCAGTCAGATGGGACTACATCTGTCAAGGAGCTCGAGTTCCTTCAAGATTCCAGACATACCTTGATGAGGAGTGTCAAATAGGGCGAAACCTAGGCTCAGGTTTAATGTCAATTACCTCCTACCATTTCACAAGATTTTAGAATATACAAACAGGAATATTAAGAAGAATATTTACAGGTTAATCGATAAAAGTCAAGATGAAAGTGTTTCAAATGCATCCCCAAGTACAACCTACCATATATAAATAAATTTCTGACAATCGTGAAGATTTCATGTTATATCAAGCTGTAATGCAAATTACTTCAAACGCTGTAGATTATTTGTCAGGAGAAGTGATAATTTTTTAAAATTTGTAACTGCAATGGTTTAAAAAAATTATATATATGTATATGTATATATATATATATATATATATATATATATATATATAATAGAATAACCACTTACATCACGTTCAAATGTTCCATTCTGATCCAATGTTAATAAGTTTTGTTCAAGTAAAGCTAATCCAGCAGCATACAAAGAAACTTCATCTAATTGTAAAATACCTAATGCAATCCAAAATAATGGTTGATGTGTTTCTGAATCTGATGGTAGCAGAGGTAATAGCCTCGTTAAACAAATAATTATTGCTTCAATGAGGTAGAGTTCTATTAAAAATAATAAAAAGAGGCACAACACACTATATTTATACATTAATCAGAAAGTATCAATTATAAAATACTAATTGATATTAGGGGAATTGAGCACAGAATAACTTCTAAAAAATAGCCAGTATCCAATTCAGCAAACGAAAATGTTGTAGCTTAGATCAAAAATGTTTAATTCTGTGATCACAGTGATGACTTTCTGGAACCTATAAACAGGTTTTCAAGAATTAGCTCTTGTGGAAAATTGTTTGGTTGCGGAGAATTCTTTCATAAATGATTAAAGACAGCTAGAGAACGACTGAAAATCTGTCGTTCAAAGGTTTTTAATTGAAATAGGTTCTTAGTAAATGAACCGAATCCAAAAAGTATAAAATGCAATTACTTAATACTTTTAATCAAACATAACAAGATAAGTTTATAAGTAATGAATAAAAGAATGTAGTAAACAATTTCGATAAGAATATATTACAAACAAACAAACCTGCTTGTCCAGTATTTACAGTTTTATGTCGTAGGTCTTTTTCCATGTTCAATTCATTTGCGTAAGACGCTAATGCTCTAGACATTATACGTAATAATTGTTTAATGTCCGTATCAGTAAAACGTTTACAAATACATCCAAGCACAATGATAGCACGAGGTTGTAAGGCTGGATTATGTTGAAAAGCGAATCTATGGTTAAAAAAAATTATGAAAAAAGTATTTACTAAATTAGATTAATAACGAAATATATAGTTTTATAATGTTTAATTTGTTGGAAAAAAGTGTTTAGAGTTTATGTGAGAATCGATAGTCATGTCATTTTTCCTTCTTTGACAATTTATTCATCAAGAATTAATGATGTAGACACTGATGAGTATCTGATAATAGTAATCAGGTAAAGTTTGAAATATTATTAGTGAAATAAACCAATGCATTAGACGTCAGGGAGTATATTAATGAGGAAACACAGTTAACTGTTAGAACAGAACAGTTAACTAAAATAGTCAGAGATTACTTCGGAATATTTGGAGGTAAATATTATTTATATTTTAAGCCAAAGTGCTTGACGGAGGCAGTAATCTTAGATAATGTAACCCCCGGGATTTCTTCAGTCAATAGCCGTTTATGATCTTTACCTTATTGTAATAAATGGCTTTATCTATAGAGGATAAATATTTTCTTATTTCGTGTTAATTACTTTAGACACAGGGTATTAGGAAATGATGGTAAATCAGTTGATGCGGTCATGAATCTTCATCGACTGAGATGGTTAGGCCACGTGTTACGTATGCCTGAACACCGATTACCACGACGCGCTATGATGACTAGTATTGGGGATTGTTGGGAAAGAGTTACGGGCGGCCGAACCAAAACGTGGCATCAGGGCTTCAAGTCACTAACTTCTAGTCTGAGCCATGTTGGTAGATGCAGACTACCTGATTGGGGTTCGCCTGACTATCGTAACCAATGGTTGGAAGTGTATACACTATTTATATTCCCTTAAACCTTAAGATTACAATTGCTTCATAACGTTCTTCCTTCCTATACTATATCCTTATATACAACCTTTCTTTTATATACTACCACCACTAAATTAACTACTATAAATCCGGTGTTCATCTTGTTGTGCTAACGAGGTATGGCAACTTGGACGGATGCATATTCGTGCCTGGTCCTACATTGTAGTTGACTGACTGACTGTTAATTACTTTAAAAGTTTCATTAATTCCCGACAAATGAATCAGAATGTTCATTTTAGATGTTCTGGCTAATATATCAGCGTACATGATCTGTGATAACTTTTTTCATCCATGTAAATGTATATAAAAAATGGTTTAAAATAATTAAATAATAGAAATATTTAAATAATTTATAAAAAAAAACAAATAATAAGTTACTTTCGTGCTAATTGTGTCCATTGATCAAGCCAATGAGTAAATTTCGGCACTTCTTTAATAACTAAACTCATAATTTCTAATAATGTATCAGTAAGAAATTCCAATGAACTCAATGATAAACGTTCGGGTTTATTATCTAAACTATCTAAGGGTATAGATAATTGTGATATCGCGTGGTTTGGTAAATATGATGATGATGGTACGCCTGTACAAGGATTAAATACATGAGGTACTATAAATTGACCTGTTTGATTTAATTTTAGTGAATAATTATCAGAGAAAGTGGAATTAACTTTATTTCCTGGATTTAAATTGAACATATCATTTGAAAATGAATGTTGTTTTTGGTGAGGATAATTATATGGATTTCGTTCATAATTGTCTAAGGAATCATTGATTTGTCGGTTGCGTTGAGATGTTTCAATTGATGTTGGTATTATTCGTTGATAAATATTTGTCTCTTCACAATTATCACTAATCATTACTAAAACTGGATGAATATTTCGAGTGAATTCTGGCTTTTTCAATTCAGAACTTTGTAAACTTGTATCTTTTTTAGCACTGATTAAATCTACACCATCAACTGACATTGATGTACATGTACCACCGCTACAATTACTACTAATACTGCTACTACTCCCTTGACTATGATGAAGATTTGACATAACTCCGATATGTCCAGTATGCGGGGGAATGTTTAACGCTACAGAACCTGTATGAGATGAATTATTAGGTCCAGCTGATCCAATTAATAAACCGGATCGTTCACCTGGACGAAAATGTGGAAATGCGCTAATAGGTGCACATTTAACGTTTTGTATGCCAAACACCTCATAAAATTTTGGGAGAGTAAATTCTGCAAGAAGTTGACGAAGCTGATGAACTGTTTTTTCTGTAGACAAAATAATGACGTTTAAAAGAAAAAAACTGGTTTAATTTATGTTATATGAAAATAAGAACAGTTATCAATGTTATGAATAGAACATTAAATCTAAAATAAGCTACATAAATCATTAGTATTACAGTCGTAACAGAGTTCTTACAATTTTTTAATCTAATTAACATCTAGCTCAAAACTGATAAACCAATCTACATTCAGTTTAATTCTGCACAAATTTCAAATGATCACATCTTCTCTTTAGTTCAGTAATCAAAATAAATAAATGTACTTTCGTTTGGAATCCTTCTCTTTCAATGACATAAATGTAATCCTTGAATAAATGATATCGTAAGAGAGAAAAATATATATATTCACTTAGTAAAACTGGATTTTATTTTTATCCATAGTAATCAAAATAGAGAACTCAGCAAGTAGCATATTCTTTGGTAGAGTTTGGTTACGTGAGCTGGATAATTTGGTAGTAGAGCTTTCATTGTTCTTCTGAACAACACCACCAGCACAAACTTTAGATTGAAGTGAAGTATTCCAATTTTATAGCTTTTCCTATCGACTTCGATCTTGATTGGTTATTGTTTATCTATAATCTGTCCACGACCATACTAACCTGCTCAGAGAACGAAAGTCCACCAAAATCATCCACCTAAGCTACAAATCTTCAACATCTCAAAGTGAAATAGTAAAACGTATGTTTTATATGCATTGAATTTGATTAAATTTGATGAAAAAATTAACACAGGAACGGTAACATTGATATAAATCAATTATGAAAGGGTTTTGAGTACAATCATTAAGTGAGGTCATCAATCGTTAGTCATTAGGCCATAATGAAAAAGTCTAAACTCTACTGTTGAAGTAAATAATGATGAAGCAACGTTTATTACTCAATAGAAATCTAGAAGAAGAGCTTTCTGAGAAATCGATATCCAGCTCATTACTTTAAATAAAGATCACTAACCAAAAGCTTCGTAAATTATTTGTATTGATCATGTAAATTTATCGACAATTTTTAAATCAAGAGAATCATTTGTATGATATACAACAAAACTGTATGCCGGCACTGTATAGAATAAAAAATCTTTATATCTAGATCACTAAACAAAGGCCTCGTAACCTATTTTAATATATATCATGTATATTCATCAATAATTTTTAATTCGAGAGAGAATTGTATGTCATACAACAAAGTACACTACTAAACGTGTGTGCCAAAATTGTATAAAATAAACAGAATAATTTATAATTATTATGCTTTACATTAGAATATAATAGTACTTTTAAAATTAGATATCATATTAAAAGTGAATTATGTTAATGTTAATGAAAAGTTATCAATTAATGCATCAAATGGACAGTTGAAAATAGTTAGAAACATTTTGAGAAATATGTTAGGTGCTTACTATCTTCATCTTAGTTAATCAACGTGCCGTCATAAACGGAATGAGTATATAGAAACTAGATATTCAATTTAGTAATATGGAATCGTAAAAATCTTTTATTTCACATCATTAGGACAAAATCAGATATATTAATATAATATTCCAATTCAATTATTTAACTCACCAGAAATTTGTTTAGCTAAAGATGAAGTACACAATGAATGAATAACATTGATCACAAATCCATGTACAGACGCTCTTAGAGATAGTGGACCAGTACACACCAATAAAGTAGCAATATGAAATAACCGAGGCAAATGTGTACATACTGGAGTAAAAATACATATATGAAAATAACTTGCAAGTTGTATCATAAAGATTTTGGAAACGAAATTTTTAACAATTTTTATTCTCATCATTTGCTAGCATTATCTAAATTTCAGCTATGGTTATTAATAATGAATATTAACAAATATGAAATCAATTTATTGAGATCCGAGGCATATAAATGCAAATAAAAGACGTGCATATGAATACATTAGACAGCTACTGATCTTTACAAAATCTTTAAAGTCCTGACTGCTTAAATATAGTGTGAAGTCACACTATTGCTAGAACCTTACCCAAGAAGTTGGGGGTGTACGAAAATAAACCAGTTGAACCTAAATACATTTTACCCCAGTTCTAGACACTTACCAATGATGATATTAAAGATAAGCCTTTGGAGAAAATTAGCGAGCATTTTGCTTTTATAACAAAACCTATTGTTGATGAAAATTATCTTGATCAAAGTTACATATCAAAGCAAAATTTCTACTTAATATTCTGAAATATGCATGTAATAATAATGAGTTCTTTTTAACACATACTGCTACTACTATTTTAACATTGAATAACAACATTATTTTAAGTATTTCTAAAAAAAGATAATCAACTGTATTGCCATGTGGCAAAACTTGACATAGTTAAACAATTAGCATTTTCGGCAAGCCAATGTTTTTCTATCACTCATTGATATCAGCAGGATAATCAGAATAGATCAAGAATCGCTGGACAACCATTTAGTCCTGATTCTAAACTGATCCTTCTCTTCTGATGAGCGAACAACCACAATCATATTCATGAATATAAACTTATCGAAAAAATACATAATTTTATTATTCTGAATACTTACTATCTAAACAATTATTGAACGATAACATTAATAAATACCGTAGCAATGGTGCAGTTTCTGGCCACAATGGATGTTGTTCCAATAAAGTTGTTGGCGCAGAACACGTCTTTTCAATAAACTGTATGAGAAATCCGACAAAAAAATCTAATTTCTTTAGAAGAGGGAATAACTACAATGATTAGATAAATTAATGTAAACATGAAAAAAGTTGATTTAGTCCAAAGTACATAAGTATACATACTCACACCAAGAGTAAATGACTCTATGAACCAGTGTCGCGTAAATGGTCTTCTCTTATGCTACCTGTGATCACAACTCAAGGTAGCTTAAGTATGAATATGAGTAAAATAAATTCCGATCATTTAATTTACTGAAGCTGCACAACCCTATTAACTGATTTACCAACCAAATAATTTACGTCTAACCTCAGTATTACCTATATGATGCCTCTAGCATACGTTTCTAATGCTTTAAGGATATCTTTATTCGAATAATAGTAAGCATTGTTTATCATACACCTCCACAAACCAACTGACAAACATATAGTAGGATGGTGTATAATCCACTATTGCTAATTTTGTTTGTTCACGGACACATAATTGTTGTTCAAATTGTTTATATTCAGATAGAAAATCAGTATAACATTCCAAATAAAACCCATTAGAAACCTATCTTAAACTACTCTATAGAAAGAGTAACCTTCTGGTTTATGAGGTTTTAGTTAAAAGTAGTAACTTGGGTGGTTGAAAGTTGTCATTAGAACCTAGATTTCACACTAGTTGGTACTTGTCAGCAAGTATCTACAATATTCGGGGAAATGGTGTTAGGTTTAAGTAACTTGGACTGTGAAACTGGGTGATGTGGGTTAGGATTACACGGACAGCGCAACTTCCCTGAAGATTGAAAATACGCCCTTCTAAAGAGTGTCAATAAGCAAGAAATCCAGGTCTAAAGTTTCCTGATGACCACTTCACGTCAAATCTGTAAATAATCTCCATTCGCTTACACTAGTGATCACATTACAACTTGATCGACAGAATTACATCATCACCACTATCGATGTTCGTGTATCTTAGTTAAAAGTAAAATTGGCTTACAAACAAAATAAAAAACTTACACGACACAGTTTAGATAATACTTTCTTCGATACAAGTTGCTTGTTTACAGCTGCCAGTGCAACTGATGTATCAGCCATAATTTCTGCTTGTAAACTGCCTAATCCACAACTAACAGAACGTTGTATAAAATTGTCAAGAACAAGTCCTAAAAGTTGTGGAACTTGACCTAATTTTCCCCAGATTTTTATTTGAATTGACGGATACATTTGTTCTTCTTCAATTGTTAAAGTAATTAACTTGTCAATTATAATATTTACCTGAAAAATGTAATGAATTAAAATATATGACAATCCGGTATTATTCAGTCTCTAAACCATTATGTGTAATAAGTAATGGTGTTACTTATTCTAAATAAACTAATCTTAGCATAAAGGAAAAATTTACATGCTTCCTATGAAACCTCAAACTATAGAATAATAACTGACTAGGAAACAGTTAACACCAAAGAAAAAATTATTGTCGGACCTCTATTCCGTTTTGTAGTGAAATGTTGGTAAATTTATTTCATGTACTACTCACTAGGTATGGATATAAAAAGTTTGAAATTTAATAATCTGGGTGATCTGGAGAATTTCACAGATTTCTAGATAGTTTATATAGTAGCATAAATCCAAAAGCATCGAATAGTGATATGAATCTTCGCATTTCATAGTGAACACATGAACGACTTTAATAACTTCAGTCACTTTGAGTGACAGCGCGACGTGAACATCATAAGTCAAATCTACTATGAGATTAGCATTGTACAATGTCAAGTAATGCCAAACTGGAAAGATTCAGCTATATAAGCCTCTTTAACTCTCAATAGTTCTTCAGATGCATTTTTAGCAAGAATAATTCTGTCCCAAGATAAAAAATAACCCTGTTTTAGGCTTTAATAGTAAGAAGTTAAAATTATTTTACGATAGAATGTAACTAATACCACAAAAGAACTTACTTTTTGTCGTTTAGCATCATCCGAACGACAAAAACGTGTTAAATTAGGTAACCAAGGAGTAATATATTCTAAACACAAGTGTTTCATTTCGATACTTGAACGACTAAATCCTTGTATACATTCTTCAAGAAATTCTAATGTTAAATGTGGTTCTAATTGTGCTAGACGATTACTTATCTCTGTAATAAATAATGTATTATTTCCAGGAATACATAATCCTTTAGTTTCTAATAATTGTCCTTCGATTTTCAAATTAAATGTTTGTGTCAAAGCACAAAGTAAGTTGTAAGCAGCTGATCGCAGATTTGGATCGGAACTCCCTAAGTTAAGTAATGCCTAAATTAGAAATAGAATAAAAAAACTAAATGGTGTGTCAAATCTTTCATATTATATATATGGTCAAATAAGAACAAATTGATTTTTTTGTAACTGTGATTACTGTCAGTTCAATGCAAAGTAAAATACTGAAGCAAATGCATTCCAGGATACATTTTTCCGTGACAATAAATCAAAGTAATTTGTTTTCTTGAAGCGACTCTTGATATGGTAAGTTTGACTATTGTTATGCTTGACACTAAATCGATTCCGCGGTAACGAACGAAAGCCAATGACACAATGACACGATAAGCTATTCTAATCTGTTGTCCCAGGCCCCGCTAACTAGATGAAGAAGTCCAAGGCAAGTAGGGGAATATATATGTATTCCGTAAGCAGCCGAGTACAAGCAATCAAATAAGGGGAAAAGTCAAGCGCATTTATACAGTAACAAATTGTCCTTGAGCATCATTAGTAAATAGCACACATAAAGAAACAAAGGACCAATAGCGGTTAAGATAGTTTACAGGTGGGAAATATGACGTGAAGGTAAAAGAGCGCTTTTGGCGCGAAAACAGCTAAATTCAAATTTTCAAAATAAAACTACAAGATTAAGCCATTTACCAAGTTCTGGGGATTTGACATCCCCAACAACTATAAACAGGAAATGTCGAGGAAGTACCGCTACACTCGAAAATACCTAGAACCTTGAGTTTAAGTAAACAGAATCAGAATTTATCACCTTAATTAAAAACTAATGAGTTCACGTACGTCATTCAATGATAATATGTGACTATAATATAATTCGTCCTACACAGATCATGATTCGTTATTTGGAAGCCAGCCACCACTTGGCGTTGATTTTTCATCGAATTAAATACTGAATAACTAGTTAACTCCCCTTTTACGAACTTTAAGTGAAACGTTGTTAAATTTTAAGAGCTGGTTGCTCAACAACTGTATTGAAAGAAATGACCTTATGTTACAGAACTATTTGGTAAAGTGTGAATACCACATGTTCAATACTTTATTTGCAAAATGTCCATCAATTCTCTCAGACTTTATTGTCCCCTCATTTCCATAACAATCACACCCTGTTCCCGTTCTCTTCTCTTCGATCCTCTCAATTTTCTGCTGTCAGGCATTTCATTTCCGATTGGTGTCATATACTACTAATATATGTAGACGTAAGTAGCACACAACTCCGCCTGTAGCTCTTCTAGAGTTACTGCCGGTCCCAAGCCCGGGTAAAGGAGGAGGGTTGGGCATGGGGTTAGCGACCCCATCCCGTAGAAAAGCTAACTCGCTAAAAAAAACGCTAACCAGAAAAAATAATCCAAACCATTTAAACTCTGCCCTGGGAGTTGAAGGAATAATGACGTCTCATGATGAAAGCCGAAATTCTTCGGAAGTCACGAGACCGATGCACCTTCTAACAACCAGAGCAACACTCTTTATAGGTACATGGAACGTCCGGACAATGTGGGAAACAGGAAAGACCAGCCAAATAGCAATGGAAATGAGGAGATACAACTTGGCAGTACTCGGAATCAGCGAAACCCATTGGACACAAACTGGACAACAAAGGCTAGGTACAGGAGAGATGCTGCTGTACTCCGGTCACGAAGGGGAAAATGCGCCACACACTCAGGGAGTTGCTCTAATGCTGTCCAAAGAAGCACGAAATGCACTTGTGGGATGGGAATCTCATGGACCCAGGATAATCAAAGCATCATTCAGAACAAAGAAGCAAGGGATCACAATGAATGTTATCCAATGTTATGCACCCACCAATGATAGCAACGACGATGATAAAGATCAGTTCTATGAAAGGCTGCAATCAATTATAGCAAAGTGCTCACGAAAGGACCTCACCATCCTTATGGGAGATCTAAATGCTAAAGTTGGAGTGGACAACACAGGATATGAAGATGTAATTGGACGACATGGACTAGGAGAGAGAAATGAAAATGGGGAGAGACTTGCAAACCTATGTGCTTTCAACAAATTGGTTATAGGCGGCACAATATTCCCACACAAACGCATACACACAGCTACATGGATCTCACCGGACCACACCACAGAGAACCAGATTGATCACATCTGTATCAACAAAAAATTCCAAAGATCAATGGAAGATGTGAGAACCCGGAGAGGAGCTGACATAGCTTCAGATCACCACCTGGTTGTGGCCAAGATGAGACTGAAGCTAAAGAAAGACTGGACAACTGGACAAACAGCACTACAAAGGTTCAATACAGCCTTCCTTCGAGATACTGACAAACTCCATGAATTCAAGATAACTCTCAACAACAGGTTCCAAGCTCTACAGGATCTACTGAAAGAACAAGAAACTACTTTGGAGGACAACTGGAAAGGGGTAAAAGAAGCACTAACTTCAACGTGTCAGAAGGTTCTTGGTCCTAAGAAGCACCATCACAAGGAATGGATCTCTATGGGGACCCTGGACAAACTTCAAGAAAGGAAGAACAAGAAACTAGCAATTAACAACAGCCGAACACGAGCAGAGAAAGGCAAAGCACAAGCAGACTACGCAGAAGCAAACAGAGAAGTGAAGAAAAGCATTAAAGCCGACAAGCAGAAATACATGGGAGAACTAGCAACGGCGGCGGAAAAAGCTGCAAGAGAAGGGAATATGAAACAACTATATGATACAACGAAGAAATTGGCAGGGAGATATAGCAAACCAGAGAGACCAGTCAAGGACAAAGAAGGAAAGACAATCACTGAGATTCAGGAACAGAGGAAAAGATGGGCAGAATACTTTGAGGAACTGCTGAATAGACCAGCCCCATCGAATCCACCGAACATCGAAGCAGCCCACACTGACCTTCCAATAGATGTCACTCCACCAACGATCGAAGAAGTCAAGATGGCCATCAGACAAATCAAAAGTGGGAAGGCGGCAGGACCTGACAATATACCAGCAGAAGCACTGAAGTCAGACATTTAAATAACTGCAAACATGCTTCACCTTCTATTCAAAAAGATTTGGGAAGAGGAACAAGTGCCAACGGACTGGAAAGAAGGATATCTCATCAAGATACCAAAGAAAGGAGATCTGAGCCAATGTGAGAACTACAGAGGCATCAGTTTGTTATCAGTACCAGGAAAAGTTTTCAACAGAGTGCTGCTGAATCGGATGAAAGACGCAGTAGACGCTGAACTTAGGGATCATCAGGCTGGATTCCGTAAGGATCGGTCGTGCACAGACCAGATTGCGACACTACGGATCATCGTTGAACAATCAGTTGAGTGGAACTCATCACTATACGTCAACTTCATTGACTATGAGAAGGCGTTTGACAGCGTGGACAGGAGAACATTATGGAAACTTCTTCGACACTATGGAGTTCCTGAAAAGATTGTCAACATTATCCAAAACTCATACGATGGACTACAGTGCAAAGTGGTGCATGGAGGACAGCTGACAGATGCATTTCCAGTAAGGACCGGAGTCAGACAAGGCTGTCTACTCTCCCCATTTCTCTTCCTTCTAGTGATTGACTGGATTATGAAGAATTCGACATCTGAAGGGAAATACGGAATACAATGGACTTCTCAGAATCAATTAGATAATTTGGACTTCGCAGATGACCTAGCCCTCCTCTCTCATACACACGACCAAATGCAGATGAAGACAGCAAATGTAGCAGCAGCCTCCGCATCGATAGGCCTCCACATTCACAAAGGAAAAAGCAAGATTCTCAAATGCAACACGGAGAACACCGACCCAATCACACTTGATGGCGAAACTCTGGAAGAGGTGGAAACATTCAAGTACCTGGGGAGCATCGTTGATAAACAAGGAGGATCGGATGCAGATGTAAAGGCAAGGATTGGCAAAGCAAGGGCAGCATTTCTACAATTGCAGAACATATGGAACTCAAAACAACTCTCAACCAATTTCAAGGTCAGAATCTTTAATACGAACGTCAAGACAGTCCTACTGTATGGAGCTGAAACGTGGAGAACTACTACGGCCATCATCAGGAAGGTACAAGTATTTATAAACAGTTGTCTACGCAAAATACTCAACATCCATTGGCCGGATACTATCAGCAACAGCGTTTTATGGGAGAGGACAAACCAGCTTCCAGCTGAAGAGGAAATAAGGAAAAGACGTTGGAAGTGGATCGGACATACATTAAGGAAATCACCAATGTGCATCACGACTCAATCCCTAACTTGGAATCCGGAAGGGAAGCGGAAAAGAGGAAGGCCAAAGAACACACTACGCCGGGAAATAGAAGCCGATATGAAAAGGATGAATAGCAACTGGAAAGAACTGGAAAGGAAGGCTCAGGACAGAGTTGGATGGAGAATGCTGGTGAGCGGCCTATGCTCCTCGACGAGGGGTAACAGGCGTAAGTAAGTAAGTAAGTAGCACACACCATATGATAATAAGGTATCTGGAAGGAAGTTGAAATTTCATTTTGTTGGCTTGGAAATTGGTTAAAACGTTAAGAATTTGAGTAAGGACTATATTATTACGCTGTCTACATTTGGCAAAAAATTATATGTATTATAATTTGCCTTTAGAAACAAACTATATATATATATATATATACGATTCCATTAATATAACGTTATATAATACTGATTCTATTTGGTGTTTATTCACTTATGAAGTGTTACACGTACAATCCAACGTTACCTCATTCACGTACGCAACATTTAAGAATGGCAGTATTAGGACTAAACAAATAAACGTAAAAATAAGAATTTACTATATTTAGCAAAGTTCCAGGAACATCACGTGGCTTAATCTTGGCATGAATTGCTGGTGTATCCGGTTGAGATAATGCCCATCTTGTACGTATGTGTATGATAGCTTGAACAATGGAATCACATGCGTCATGTATAAAAGATAATGGACCATTATCATTTAAAATAGTTAGTGTGAATTGATTATTATCAACTAAACAAACCTAAAAATAGTCGAAAATCAAAAGTGAAAAGTATGTTTATTTTTTAAGGAATATATATATATATATATATTGTTAGATCATAAAGGAATTTATTTTTAAAGTAAAGCATAACACCATTTGCTTGTACAAAAAAAGAAAGTGGATACGTGAACTTTTAGCTAAGAGATAATATCACGCAACTGTTAAACACATAACTACATAATTAGTTTTACAGATTTTTAACCTCATTATCATTTACATGAAAACGAATATACACAGATAAATTTAGAATTTAATTTTACCATATTATTACATAACAGAAGTGCTACTGTAATGAATGAGATGCAGGTGAGTACAACCGATTGTATTTGAATATGGAATTACAGAATCTCTTGGCAAAATATGAGAACCGTTCATCAAATAATTCATTTGCAGATTTCGATCATTTGTTCTTCATATTCTGTAAGATTCTTGCTATTCACAATTATTTTCAGTTTCCCTCTCTATTCTCGTCAACTTGATCTTCTTATCTTTCTGCTACTAGCGTTTCCATTTACGATTACTGCTACATACTACTTATGTCGAAAACATAAGTAGCATACCCCACATTACTATCATTGAAACTATTGGTAGTTTCATTTCTTCACTATGCATGTTGGTTATTTTATTTTATTTTGTCGATATAGTATGGGATAATGAAAATTTACGTTAATTCATACGTTGTTTTTAACTGACTAATAGTTGTTTAAAAATTTCAATCATTTAATGTAGTGGTGATTTATTCGTCATAAGATATCTGTAGCTCTTTACTGACTCTCTTTGAATACAACTCCCCCCATTTAATTTTATATACAGTATCTCGGTTAACTGTATTGTGCAAAGGTGGTCCAAAGGTCAACCGTGAAATATAATGGAGAAATATATTTCAAACATCGTAGTCTGAGTGAACAAGCATAAAAGCGAATAGAAATGGCTTGAGCCCGATTGTTTATTTTAATATTCACTCAGCATATATATATGAAAATTAATGGAGAAATTACGAATAACTACTTAATATATATAGAACATTCACAACTAGTCATCAGTTATCCATCTGACGAAAACAGTATGTTTTTTCACTTAAAAGTCATGATTACTCTTAGCCGATGTTAAAACTTTCTCCAAAGGTTCTAATTGTCATTTTAAGAGATGAGACTTTATCGAAAATGCTCAGATTTGAAATTTTCAGTGTTTTATAAAATTAGGATAGTTAAATATTCAGAATAAATTAACAATGACGCTGATAACATGATGCCAATGAAGTAGTAATATTGTGATTCAAATCAAGCGTGTGAACTGTTGTGATCGCTTCAACTTAATTGAAAGTAGAATAACAAAAACAAAGATTAATGGAACATGACGTGAACTAAAAATTGGGTAATTGTATGTGGAATAGTTTAGATTTCATTTGTTTGTGAGTGATATTCAAATCATTACAATCAATGTCCGTAATGTTCAGAATTACTTTTCTACTGTTATCAAAACTAAGACATCGATTACCTGACAAATATAACCAATTATCTGTATGCTGTGTGCGTATAGTTTTTGTTCAACTGGTCGACGAAGGTAGAAATTTTAAAATCCAAAAAAGAAAATTCAAAAACAGAGAATATTGGAGTAAACAATTGTTTCAAACAACCTCGTAATCAGCCTCTATAGCCCATAATTACTGTATTGTTACAAAGGCCAAAATAAGTCATGATAATAAACAAAACAAAAACAAAAGATGGTGAAAGTTTGCATCTGTTACCGCATAAATACTCCAAAAATGTACCATTTGTCAATTTGAAAGGTCACTTACTTATGTTCAGAATGATTCTGTGTAAGGTTTCAAGATATAATCAACATAATAGTAGAATCATGTAAGTAAAATGTATAGTAGGAAAATTTTGAGTAGTGAAAATAATAATGATAATAATAATGGTAACGACAATAATAGTAGTGATAATGATAGTGACATTGTGTAAATATGATATACAGTAAGAGATGTTTCGTAAAGATAGTTATTGATAAGAAATTCAAGTGAATTGGAAAAGATGAGTATGTAAATTAAGAATAGGGTATGGGCAGATATGAACATAAATAGTATTGGGGGTTAAGGAGTTTTCAACACACAGCTTAGGTGGTCCAGTAATGGGTCAAGGAAAATGTCAGGTTTTATGCAGTTAATCCCTAGTCTTTTAGGTCGACATGTTAAAATATCACACGCTATGTTCCCTTTAAAATTAAGTTTTGGGTAAAGTTTTCTAGCTGTTAGTCTGCCCTATTTTTCTGTTCAGATAGATATTTTGACGACATTATCTGCCTAGCCGTTATTCCATAATGCATTCTTTGGTTTATCTATCTTACCATGTACAATATCTTCAGAACATAATAGTTTGATTCTACAGTTGCAATATCTGACCAGGTTTATTTAGTACTGAAGAAATGTAGCGCTAGGAAAATTAATGTACTTACTAGTCTATGTATTTTTCACAAGTAATGTTATCAAGGAAAGCTATAATGTTATCATGCTTTTCTTCGCTGGTGACTTTGATAATCGTGTGAGCAGCATCGAAACCATTCATGGTTCTTATTTATTGATACTTTTGTCGTACACCATTAGCGTGTCATCTTTGTATCGACAGTTACACTCTAGCTTATTCAAGAGTGCATGTTTAAAAACAAAGAATATATCACACAATAACTAAGTAAGGCTCAACAGTTATAGATCCATAACTATTGTGACACATTAAACAATATATGAGAGAAATACATATTAAATACGTTTTAAAGTTATCATTGAATGAGATGTTATTGGAAATGATATAGTTTACTCAAGTCATCTATCAAATACTAAAAACTAAGTTGAATGGTCAAATATGAGAGGTATGGAAGCAAATTGTTCCAAGATGATGTGTTCTAGTCAACAGATTAAAATCTTATTCCAAAAACATTACTGATACAAAATAAATATTCCATCTTGATCACTGATGTAAGATTAATCCGGAAAAGTTTGAATATTGTGATTATTTATATGATACGCCAATCGTGTATGATAAAATGTTCAGTTAACATGAAGCTTCAAACACATTTAATAACGCACATCTTTCAATTAGTTTCACGTGTCAACAGGAATATTTCAACACCATAGAATATTTATGGAAACTGTTGGATTTCACAGTTTATATTCAGGACTGATTGAAGTTAGACATCGAAACCATGTAACATCTACTCAGTACTCTAACGGTTAGGAGAGTTAATTTATATTGAACTTAACTTTCAGAACTACTTACTATCACAAATATCAGTTATACTAATAAGATTAATAACATATGAACTCATTGCTTACTTCTTCGATTTCTGAAGCATAATAAACGTCATTCAAAATAACTGAATGACCAAGAACTTTCGTTTTTTCAGTTGAAGTAACTTGAATAGCATTCGTACATACCTATTTATTAGTAAACAAAATAAACGATTTATCAATCAAACACTTAATAGAATTAATGAAATATTTAAAATGAAAATTTCTAATAGCTACTTATCACACGTTCAGGTGTCCTACATTAATCGAAACCGTTATCTATCTTTAAACTCAATATTATTGTTAGAATTATTTTATTTAACAAAAAAGGCTATGTTTATTGATAAGAATTTTCTATCAATATATCTTAAGAAATGTTCATATTACACTAAGTAAAGAACATAATTTCACAATGAATGAATACTAATAACATTTCTAGACAGTAACACTGTTGGACACCGGCTTAGTGGTTTAGAGGTTAAACGTTCTCGCGCGAGACTGAAGGTCCTGGGTTTGAGTCCTGCGTGAGGATTGCCTATGCGTATAGTTGAGCAATCCCAAATAAGGACGAAACAACCTTCTAAGTTTTTCAGGTTTCAATGGTGATATAGCTCAGATCGGTTTGTAATTTCAACAAAATATAGAAATCTGTATATTAGTGCATTATTCTCAGTTAATACAAATTCTTCAATTTAGATTAGAAAGTATACCAATGACAGTCAAGAATTATTGAACAAAATAAATCAAAATTCATTACTGAAATTTACTAGAAAGATATCCAGGAAAACATTTTAAGAACTTTTTGATTTTATATCGATAAAAATCACATATCACTACCGGGGAGTAGCTTGATATATTGAAACATCTCAAGTTCATTAACAGACAACCAAACTGTAAACTTCTGAAATTTCCTGAAGTCTAAGTAACCCAAAACGGATTTACATATTCAAAACGAAACAGGGATAAATCTATCATAGAAATATTACCTTTATTTGATTATATCGTTTCTTATTCAACAACTTTCCCTTAGTTTGATTGTGTCATTTCCAACTGCTTTGAATCTAGAATTTTATTTTTAACCTACTTATCTCATGCTTGTATATTTCACGCACTCTAATTATTTCTGAAATGTAATTTATTTGTCTTTGTCCTAAATTTTGATCTCAAACCGTAATGTTAAATCATAAATCTGTGGCTAGAAACCCAGTTCTAGTGTTATTAATCACTCATTCATACTGCATCTTTTTGAGTGATTGAATCGACGAACAACCTGTCAGGGTTATTCAGAGAATCCCCCAACCTCAGCCTTATAATTCATTTTTATCAACTCCACTTACATCAGTTAATTTCTGTTCACAATATTTATTTTAAAATACAATAGGTTGAAAACAGCAGATGAAAACCTAGTGAAACAAAATGAATTCATGTTATTTTGCATTAGTTATAGCGAATGTGGAATTGTTAGTGTTGACAACACAGTGTAGTCAATACGCGTGTTACGTCTGTAACAACAATAATTTAAATTTCTTTCTTTCAACTTATTATTTTAAAATTTAAAATATTGCATACTTAACCTATAGTGTTTTTACTTACTTTGATAGCTACTTTCGTGTCTTTATGCGATAATTTCAAGGCTCCATTGAATACACGTAAATCTTCTTCTAAAACTAATGTTCCAGCAGGAAGTCTTTGTTGATCCGGTTCAATATATTCATTTAAACGTGACGGATGATCGATAAAAATAAGTTTTCTGGAACCCTATACAAAAGAAAGAGATGAAAATAATCAGCATTTTTTTACTAATGTCAGTAATGAATTTCAATTTCAATAGATACTGTTCGATAAATCTTATTAAGCTATTCTTTTGTATATGAGTTGTATAGACAAGTAAATAAGTATTCATGTTGTTATAACTACAAAACCATCTTGTTACTGATCAGAATGATTATTTGACACTATGAATAATAATGATGAAAAATCAGCTTTGAGTAATCAATCCAACACAAGTAATGATCAAGGAATGGAAATTTTTTCATAAAATAACTTATCAACCATTATTTTACAGGAATGTGGACAATGCACTTAAAACTGATTACTTAAAATGTCTTCCCAACTTTTAGGAAAAGGCGTGCTATTTAGTTTAACTATGAACGTGGTTTCAACATACACTTATTTTAATTGTGTAATTACAATCTCGTCATTTAGTGCAATAATCGGACTGGTGGTGTAAATTGGCTTCAGATGAATATTTCGTACATATAATAAATAGATTGTTACTGTTTGTGATAAACCATTGCATCCACAGTGTAGAGAGACTTCACAATCATTATACTGAATATAAACAAATAGATTTACTGAGTTATAAGTTTTAATTGATATCAAGCATTCTCAAATTAGATTGTGCTTTTTTTATAAAGAGAAAACATTAAAACCTAAAAGTATAATTAAATTTATTTACTAGATGATAGGTGTGTTATGTCATATTATGTTATGTTTGATTTTAACTCTTGTAAGATTATTTTGCAATTAATCTAGTTGGATGTAGTATGAAAGAAAATATTTCTATCCAGGTAAAAATACGAAACGAGTAAGAATTACTTCACATAAATATCAGTGATAAACTATCACTACCCTAGGTTTTCTAAACAAAACCAATCTACAGAACTGTTTTCACAATCACACTGTTGTTTAATTTTCATAGTCTACATTCATGAAAACATTTACTGTACAATATATATAGGCTAAATTATTAACATACCTTGATTGGTGAGAAAAATCGATCGTGTATTTTGGTATATTCACGAACCCATGAATTGCAATTGTAAATATATGCAGCAACAAGATATTCACGTAGGACTGGCCCAATTATATTAGCCCATTTGTTTAAAAGGTCATTCTAAGAAAAAATGTCATGAAACAGGATATTAATGGTGAAACAGAGTCTGAGCTTATGAGATTTAAAATAAAGAAAAGTTAGAAGTTGAAAGTTTTGGTTCCTGATTTTTGAAACGTTGTATAGGGGGTCCTTTCATGAATGACATTATTCTGTTATTAGTAGTAGCTTGGCATATTATTCGGTAAAGTGGGACGTATATGTACCATTTCGTTCATTGTTTGGCAGTTGATTGTGTTTTCATTAAATTACAAATTTAAGAGTTAGCCCTTTAAACTTATAGCGACTAATTTTCGATATCTCTTTTCTGGTGAGTATCAGTTGTTTTCAGTTTGGAATTTCTCGTATAAAAAGAAGCATACATTTTAGACCACAGCACAAAGCACTTTGCTGAATGTAAACAGTGAAATTGAATTAAAGCAAAAATGAGGTATAAGGCTGACTGATAAGTTAATTAGTTATGATAATGCTAAATAATAAGAACAACCACTGAAACACTATCAAGTGGTCATGATATCACTTGAATAGAACCTAACGACTAAAAGACTAAACTCTTCAAACTGATTCATAACGAATCTTCATAAGCAAAGGTATAAGAATGAAGTAAACAATTCATTGGAGATCCATGGATAACATAAAGATCAATCGCTATATTATCGTCATTTAGCCATTATTTGTTCTGAAAAGTTGATTGAACTATCATTCAGCTAATCTGATTTTCTGTATAGCAATAATAGGAAACATTCTAATCTGTTTTACAAATCACTAAACATATTTGTTTTAGAATATTTTAAGTCACATATTGATTCCAGATAAAAAAATTATAGAGAAAACCGAGTGAATTTGACAATAATAATAATCAATAAGAAAAAGAAAATTTAGCAAAGAAAATTTTCTTTTCGACGAAATCATTTACTTAAGCTGTACATCAGTATATATAGTTATATGAAAAATAAGTCTATAGGAGGCTGGGGAAGATTGCATTATAAATACATTCGACAATCTACAGAGTCAAAAGGACCAGATCGAAGGGGGGAACCAATATTTTGTGGACTGCTGAGGCACTGGCAATCCGCGAACTGAAGCCTGAACTTTGCGTACAGAAACGATTTGTCCAACCTCTCACCCTTCCTTGACCCTAATGGGTATGTTTCTGGTTGTTGTATTTTTCTGCACTTTTATTTGATTATTATCGACTATTTATTTTTTTAAAATTACGGTTTTGCATCTTTATTCAGTTTTTATTATTACAGTATACAAATTTTCTTGATTATTATTCAGTCTATTATTATGTCGCTTTTCTTCATATTTGTCAATTGGACTATTATCTGACCCATAGATTATTTTCTTCCTTACCCCTTGATTAGTACGTAACCTCATTTGTTATTAATTGTCGAATTCATTTATAACGCAATCTTTTCTAGCCTCCTATAGACATATATTTTTCATAATACTACATATATATATTTTTTTTCTTCGCTGAATCCTCTTTTCCTTATTCAATGACACTATGAGTTATTTTAATAATAATCAAAACAGACATACGCTAGCGATACAGAAATCAACAACAAATGTAATCGCTAACCCCTCTTTTGCGCCAGGACTGTATATCTCACTGAGCCATAGAATATCAAAAGACAGAGAATGAGATATGTCTGTTAAAAGTTGATACTTAAGCGAAATGGCACTCTTTATATGCCTTTTAAAGTAATATAAAATTACAGTGAGAAAGTGAATAAAAGGTTTACGTTAATCCGTTCAACAGCAGAATAGATTATACGATAAGGTTGTTTCAACTACTTAGCAACACAATTCTTATTCTACAGTAGGAAATTTTGTGATAGGATATACGGCTTTGAATTCGTATCATACTCGCCTCTTAGAGTTTAATATATTTTCCTCATACCGCTACTAATATATCGATAATTTTTTTAATTATTTATGAAGTATGGAAATGAATAAAGATTTAGGTCACTGAATAAAGGGCACATATATCAAAACTTCGAAATATATCTTTATGTAACTGTCAAAACACTAATTATTATATGAACATAATTTTAATTTAATGATTACAAAAATAACTTATGAGAGATAATAAAAACTGAAACACAGATATATATGAACGAAGAATAAACTTTGCGATAATTTCACAATAGGTTCTACAAACATACATTTAAATTAATGTATTAATGTGGTAACCGAGTTGAAGGTAAATACATCCTTTAAAATTAAAGAATATGAATTATAGATTGTTGATAAAATAAGGTGGAATTGCAACACATTATTGATTTTAACACAAATAATTTCACCATATTTATTAATCTTAGATTTGCCTATTCCTTGAATACATTAATTTGAATGTATGTCCGTAAAACCTGATGAAAAATATTCTTCGTTTGTATATTTCAGTTTTTAATATAATGAGAATTCTTAACCATTGAAAACTAACCTTAAATCGATTTTCAACTGATGTATGAGTGAAATCAATGACAACTTCAAAAGGTTTATTACGATAAGCATCCAATGTCATTGAGACTAGACAAATAATGAATGGATATTCCACGCGTTGATACTCTCGTGATCTTGAAAAAAATGCAAAATAATGCACATAAGCTATATATGTTACACTAAAATGACTATTCGAGTAGAGTATGAAGGGTAGAAACATTGCATTAATGAAGTAGTGCATTGAACGAGAACTGAAGTGGGAAAGTCGAAATTGCAGAGTGCTTTAGTAAAATATGAAAACTATATATTGAATACATTATTTGCACATATTTCTTCAATTGCACTTTACATTCTTCGCATCATTCACAATTAAAATGAATTACAAGAAGATATGTATAATTCAAGTGATTACTGAGTGTATATTACTCAGTGTTTGAAGTAATATTCAAAACTAGGAGTGACACCTTTTTTCTAATAAATATTTTTAGTAGAATAATGCAATTTGTAATTTAGAGTTTCAAGTTAATTACAATGACTTTTATATTGAGATACTACGTTGTATTAACTCATTGTGTAAAACTTATTGTTGCGTAAGGAAATATAATGAACAGAATTGATAATCAAGCACTTAGTTGTAAGATTGAGCTCTATTTCATCAAATTTTGTTTAGGTAACAGAGTAGTATCGTTAACTCTCTACACATAAATTATAATTCAAGGTCGGATACACAAAATTGCACTTTCTACTAGTTATATTAAGATTTTCTAGCTAACTGTTTATCTTGTACCAGGGTAATAAGTTTAAAGATAAACTGGATATTTAAACACACATTTTTCATTAAACGATTTCATATTGTCATTTGTCGAGAATTAGATGTGTTAATTAGAATCATATTCATCCATGCGAAAATGAACTTCACAACTTCGTACAAAAATACAGTTACTTTCTTAACACGTAACTAGTTAAAAAAGTTCGGCCAATTGTTTCTTCTTAATTTCCTATAAAACAGTTACATACTACCAATCAATTTTCGAATTTTCAAAAAAACAACAATCCTAATGTTTTGTAAATATTGAATAAGTTATTAAAAGGGACATAGATTTATGATGACAACGTTTCACTTTTACTGGATTCGTGTAAATTTTGGTTTCATTGAAACTAGAGTTCAGAATGAAATAGTGCAGTTTGTACTTTAGTAAATTACACGATACAAAGATGATACATTTATTTTTGAAAATCATACAAGACAGAGATAATCGAAAGTAACAAAGTGTTAGGCAAGTTAAAAACTAGTAGTTATGTTATATAATATAAAAACTATTATTATATACATAGTTTCATTTCAAGAATTATATGGACAGATATAAATTATACTAACCAGTTGCCAGGGAACAACTAATCTTATATTGTCTAGATTTTAAGACGAAAAACGTACACTGGCCAACTTTGTAATGTAGTTAATGTGATGGGTGGATTTGAGTCCAATCATTGAAACTACACGTCAATGTATACTTAGGACCTAGGATCAGAGTTTCCCGTGGATTCCTTCCGATCAGCTAACATAAAATAATAGAATGTTCAGTAACTTGCCTCCATAATTACACTTCAACTGTAATTAACAACTGATGTGTGGGCGAGAATGATAGTGATTTATTGTTTTGCTTAGTCAGATTTGTAGGTAGTCTGACAGGTTTCAGATGAGTTATACAATCTCCTCCCCTTGTTATCATTATTATTTATTGTCCACTTGTTGGATTATGTCGGTTTGGTGTGGAAATATAGTTACGTTCTTGTCAGTCTAATAACGTGTTCTTGATTTGAGTCGTGATGAAGTCCTGTAGAGTAGACATTGGAGGTAATCTAGTGTGGATATTCGTCTAAGGGAAATTAACGTCCTATCCATGTATAAAAGAGAACGGACCGTTATAACAACAACATACTATTATTACTGACAAGACAAAATTACAGCACATCCCTTCACAATGATCGAATTGTTAGAACAACTCAATGCCTAGGAGAATCACTAGGTGTGCGAAATACACAAACGGGGATTTCTCTAAATGTTCCACTGGGTAATGTTAGTTTGAACCACCTTTCAGTGTTCTATCAAGGCCACAGAAACAGATTATAGAAATGTGGTACAAAGTATGAAACCTTAGTGGAAAGTGTCTTCAAAGCCATCGATAATCGGCTAATGCTAAAAATAAACCAATGAATCACTTTTAATTAGCCACTGAATATAATATATCCATATTTTTCAAAGGATAAATTCAACAATACATGTGAAGAAGATACTTACTTATACCGCCTAGCGATGTAGTAAAAAACTGGATTGCCTAATCGACTAGTACCAGCTTGGTAAAATGCATTCACATTTTTCAAATGTTTAAATTCTTCACTGTCACGAAACTGGTAACCCCGTAGTACCCAATCTTCTAATCTCGTTGATGGTATATCCAAGTAATTCCACCTAAAAAAGATTAAGTGGCAAATTAATATATCTATGTATAGAAAAATGACTGAAAATGTATTAAATAACAGATGATAAATTGTGTACAAGTATTTCTCGAGTTGTTATTATCTAAAAGTTAAATGAATAATGAATAAGCTAAATGATCACCAAACATTAGAAAACTAATTCATGTAAATTGTTGACTTTTGTTACTATAGAAAATTGAAAAACATATGACGTTGAGCCCAGAGCTTTCGTGTTCCTTGATAAATGAACACAATATTTGATTGTCATTGTTTGTAATTAATAATTAGTTAGCAGTAGTTCATGATTATTCTCAAATGTCATCAACCAATAATTTTTTACTTATATTCGATATTATGTAAAATCAAATGTAAAACATTCACTGGATAATTATGAAAATTCCAAATATTTAATGCATGTTGGATTTCGGAGAATTCAGACCTGGGACATCATTTTCAAACTATTCAAGTACTTAATATCATAAATTGTAAAAAGGAGTAATTATTATCATACTTAAAACTTTCTCTTCAGTTAATATGTCATGAAATAAAATTATTTATAATTTGGTTCTTTATAAATATGTAAATAAGTCCAAGAAGTTGCATATTTCTAATTCTTGCTTCATCATCAGAAACTATGATACAAATAAAGATATATTGAAAACGTTGGATCTGATGACCACTGATACGAATGGAAGTATACATGGAAATGGGAAACCTTGATGTCATTCTCGAATGAATTAATGTATGGGTATTTATTAAACGATTGGTTTACGATAGTGTGACATGATTTAAATTATAGTATTTCATTTTCCTCATTAACTATTGCGATGTATTTTCCTATTTACAAATAGCTGTTGATTAATCATAAACCTGTTACACATAACTGTATCTGATAAATTCCAATTCTGTTTATATTATTTGTCGTAGCTTACTGTCGGTTTACAATGTATGTCTTCAAAGTTTGATAATAACATAAAAATAGTAAGAGATTGTCTCTTAGTGATCCTAAATTTTGGGAAAAAGATTAGAAAATCGGGTGTGCTAGCGATCGCTTTTGGTATACAGCGACACCTATTAGTGGAATCGTATTGATAAACATAATGTGAAAAAGAACTATGCCATTCTTCGTGATGAACCCAGTGATATGTTCATAGTTTCTAATTTTCAGAGTACTACTTGCTACTGTTTTTCGGTACAAATGAAAAAATTGTGGGTTATATATAATGGTACTTAATAGTCTAGAATGAAATCCACGTGATTTGGATTGTTCAACCTAAGGGTGGTATCATCATAAATGGAGTAAATAAGTGAATTGGATATACTTTTTTAAACTTACATACAATCAACAGATTTATGCCCAGGTGGACCTAGATGTGCCAATAAAGTTACCATTTTGTCGTACGGTTGTCTACCAACAGCTTTCCAATCACTGTGGAGTAGAAAAGTAAAGGATAATTTTTAGTTTTGTACAAACATCGAAAATGTATGATAAAATTCATCTTAACTTTAAAAGATTATTTTTTTAAATTTCATATTTTATATTTTCAGCTAGGGCCTCAAGAAAAATTAATGGATCACTGAAATAAGTGAATTTGTAGAGAATTTAGACCATATAAAATGAATTGAATTCACTGACTCCCTCAAAGTATTTGTTTAAAATGATTTATTCATCTAAGTCTTATAATATGATAGTGGAAAATATACATCATTCAGTAATAAAAGTAATTTTTTGTTTGAATTACCGATTACTAGCCAAGTAGTCACCAATTTTACTTTGATTTGTAAATAATAATCGATGTAAAGCATGTATAAGATCATCGGAAATAAAAGAAATCATACAACTTCCTCCACCTCCTCCGACGCCGCAGCCACCACCACCTGTATTTGTACAAACTGATACTGAGGAAACACTATCACTTGTCAGTGGAGCAATAGCTTCTAGGGGATTTACAGTTGATGAGTTAGGATATGCACCGGATAACCATGAAGAGGAGACAACTAACTGACTAGTGTTGTTTATTAAAGGATCTAATAGTCCGTTGAATGTAGAAGGATCCAACGATTTATCAGGTTTCGTAGACTCCTCAACAATTGCCTAAAAAATTTGAACAAAAAGGAGATAAGATCTCTTTTTTCTGCAGAGAATTCATCATCAAATGGTGTCAATCATTATTTTTAATTCTTGTCCCACTTGCAAATTAGAGTAAAACTATTGGAATATAATCAACTATACTACTTTCTGTATGTCAGATCTTTTACACTAACAAACATTTTAAAAGGAAGATGAATAAACATAAACAATATTTAGTAACAGAAATCAAAGGGCTATCAAATGTCGATTACATAGTTACCTAGATGTTTAGACTTACTGGTCGTGTATGGACCTCCATTTCTTTCAGAATACTTAACCGGAAATTCAATAAGCCAAAGTTTGAAAATCGGGAAAGATTAAATTGGTTGAGTTTGTACTTTCCAGTTGCTGTTACTCAGAACTTCCTTTGACCAGTCTGTATAGGTGTGTGTAAATACTCAACGAATGAATCGATATAGTCTTTTATTTATATGTTTTTAATATGTTTGGATTTTGGCTATCGATAAACGCGAGTGTACAAACCCCTACAAATGAAGTCATTTAGAATGATGGAATCCTAGGTTCGAGTTTAGGTGAAAACACAAACACTAGGATACAGAGATTCAATTGATGAGTGCCAGTTAGAATAAATGGGTATTCTAGGTTTCTCTGCTAGCCTAGATCGTCTGATGAATTCAACCATTAAATTACTGCAATCTCCCAAAGTCCCTGTCCTGATAATAATCATGTGCTCACTAGTGACTTGCTTCAAGATAGATTTCCTGAAGTTCTAGTGAAAAACCATGATCAGTGGGAGTCCAATCCGTGTCGGGTGGAGACAGTTTTCCACTTTAGACAATGGGTTAAGGGTTGCGCAAGATCATGGATCGATTGAAGTTAAATATTAACAGTGATCTATAGGTTATGCGTTCGCGCTCAAGACTGAAGGTCCTGAGTACGAGTCCCTTGTGCAGGATCATGGATGCGCATTGTTGATAAGTCCCGTACTCTGTCAAAACGGCCATCCCATGCTTCCTGGTTTTCAATGGTGGTCTAGCCTAAATCGACTCATGAATTCAACCATTAAAATTACTACGATCTTCAAATGTCCCCTTTCTGATACATCCAAATATCCAAAAAAAAGATATTTTCGAAACAACTTCTTGAGCTCTGTAACTAATAATGCTAAGGAAATTTACTAAGAAGATATTGTGAAAAGTGTTACTGTGACTAGATTTATTAGATAAATCCACTCGATAATCCATTTCAATGATAATTAGAATCATTTATTCTCTGGCAGTGTAAATGGTCAGAAACGAAGCGAGATAACGAAGTAATGACTAAATATCTCGAAGACAAACTATTGCTTAATCTTTCCCCATCATTAACGTTTAATTACCTTATGAGAATACTATCACAGCTTCATCAAACTAATTTCAGTATATAACCATTGTTGCAACTAAAAAATAAGAACGAAACAAAATATATAGATAGCTTCTTATGAATTACCTCTAACCAACTAAAATTAGACTATAGTACATTGAGATATCTAGCCTTCTAGCTTAATGAAATCGCGACTTGGTCTATGATTCCCTCATACCTAACGAACAGAAAACAACACACTGATTACCACAAAATGATCGAAAAGTTATTCCCAACTATACTAGTAGGTGACGAAAATCTGGTTTTACCCAGAATCATACTCATAATCACAAGTTAAATACGTTGAGCGGCTTGTTTCAATATCGGTAGCACTGACGTAGATATATATTCATTGTACATGTTCTCTTAAAACGTATGTTAAAAGTTAACATAGAATTTTTATTTTCCGATTCCGTCTATATCTTTTAAAACTACTGCTGATGGAATGTCTGACTCAGTGGAATTCTTTACAATGATTTTTCGTCAACTCTTATCAGTTGTCTTAGTTCGGCAATATATGAATCACGATTTTCCATTAAAATCCTGATGAAACAATGGATTCGTAACATCCGGAACTTGATACACACTAAAAGTTAAAGGTCGAAAGTAAAGTGATTGATAAATGTTTAGTATAAAACATATAACAGAACATACTTTAAAGAACTGTCTACATGATTCAAAGTGTTTTTGTAAAACCGAATCAAATATACGCATATGCGGCTCTTTGGTAAATAGTAATTGATTTGCAATATTTTGCATCATTTTTCCAATCAGAATAAGACCACGTTTAACACGACTTGGTGGTTCAAAATCCAATATTCCGCTTTCATAAGGAGATACAACAGCTGGATTAATAAATCGTAAAAATACGACTGTTGACAAAACATTTAATGCTTGATCATTCGATTGATTTACATAGCCTAAATGACCAATTAGTTTGTATAAACATCTGCACATACATCGTAATCTAGATGGGAAACTAGTAAATAAGTGAGAATTTAAATAATGTTTGTTTTACACATGTTATGACGATTTAAAGTAAATTAGACATACAATAACAAGTGCTTAAATGTTCTCTAAGCTGATATCCACTTTGTTATCACCAATAGTGTATGTTCATGATTGTTCACATAGTTAAAATTATCATAAACACTACAAGAATGACTAAACTGATGTTGAAGAATGAAAGACATACCTAAGTTAAACAAATTAACCCAAGCAAAAAATAACTTTCTTACATTGGACTTTGACAAAATCGCACAACATTTTAACATCTATGAATTTGAAGAAACACTGAGATTGGAAGAATAAATTTGGTCGCACAACATAGAAAAATACTGATGCATGTTCGACGCAATCAACATAAATGTGAATTTCTCGAACAGTATAAAAAATATGTTGACAATTTCAAGGGGTTGGTGGATTTTTATAAACACATTTTAAGACGATCTGATGTGAATTGAAATCTACTGTGAACTATCATAACTCATAAGTTGAATTTAAAATGAATCGGGTTATCAGCTAGATGTGCTGGGTTCCAGTCGTGGAATAAACATTGAATTTGGGATGCTGGTACATAAGGATGACGATCTACAAACAGGACGAAATACGTGTCCTGTAATATTTTGCTAGCCACATTCCATTTATTCTATATTTACCATTACTCATATTTTGTCCAAGAATTTATACTTACGCATTAACATTTAAGATTTGAATTTTAAACAACGGATAAATTCAGTTATCAGTAGTTCGGTTAGCAGAAAGAGCTACTTTTTACCATTCATACCACGTTCTTTTTAATGATAGGTATAGTTTAAATAGATAAATATTCATTAAAGTACAAATATCTGTTTTTCTTGTTTAATGAGTTTGTAAATATCCAAGGCTCAGTATCTCATAACTAATGACTAATTGCTAATTGATTATTTTCAAACTATATCCTTCATGATTCCAAACTAAGGTTAGTCTGATGGTGCAAACTTCCTTTCTGGTTTTTCCTAAATAATCTCAAACTACAAGTGTGAAATCTAGGTAATGTCTCAAATAAACATGCTGTGAAAAATGCTAATAAATTGGGATGCGAATGTGAGTTCACGTTTTCTGTAACTCAGTGTAGTACTTTATGATATTATTTGTGAAATTTGTATATGAAGTAATTCTAGCTATTGAAATTTAAATAATCCCAACGTTCGGTCCAGGAGTTGTCTTGACTTCTGGACATTAATGAAAATCAGAATTATCAAAAACAAACAATCAATCAAACAATCAATTCGAATCTATAGTATGCTTGTCCAATCACGTTCAGATGTTGACTTTATTAAGCAGAATAACATGTATCACTTTAATGTGGATCGTGTGAAGAGTTCGAAAAGTGAATATATATATATATATATATATATATATATATATATATACGCTGACTAGTGTAGGGGATCGTTGGAAAAGAGTTAGAAGCGGCAAAACCAAAACGTGGCATCAGGGCTCGAAGTCACTAACTTCTAGTTTGAGCTATGTCGGTAGATGTAGACTACTTGGTTGGGGTCCGCATGACTATCGTAACCAATGGTTGGATAATCTAGGTGACATGGCTCAGAATCGATAACAATGGCGTAGGTGTATACACTCTTTATCTTCCCTTAAACCTTGAGATTAAAATTGCTTCATATCTGTCTTTCTTCCTATACTATATCCTTATATACAGCCTTTCTTTTATATATTACCACCACTAAATTAACTATTTCTATGAATTCGGTGTTCAACTTGTTGTGCTAATGAGGTATGGCAACTTGGACCGATGCATATGCGTGCCTGGTCCCACGTTGTAGCTGACTAACTGACTGAAACCCTTTCTGAAGTATTATGGTTCCTTCGAAGTTGTTCATGTGTCCTGATTTCGCATAACTTGTTCGGCGGGCATATGTTTGGAAAATCAATTAATATTTATTTGTACCAATCCTCATGTTTTCTCTATAAGGATCATGAAATTAAAGTGATTCGCGTCTCAGCGTTTAGGAATCAACATCTTAGATACAGCAAAAGAGAAGCTAGTTAACACACAAATGTATTACTTGTTATCTTTTCCTATATCTCGAGAATTTTTTTTAAATATTTGTACTTTCATTCCTAGATTTCTTAAATTGTTATCAAATAACACACTCCGTATACTCAGTTTTTCACCACCACTGATATCCTTTCAACAAATCGCTTTCCTCTATATAGTTTTTGCTGTAATGTTGTGAAGCGTGCCCAAATAAACCGATGCACATCTATCCTAAGCCTTGTATAGTGTATGAGTAACATGATCATTCACTGGTCTTCAGTGATTACTGAATCATGAAGACAGGTAACTACTTGTTTGTACTGAAGGAAGTTAAATTGTTATATGTTGATTGGGATCATGAACCGATTGATGTTAGACCACTATTGAAAACCTAGAAGCACTGGACGGCCGTTTTGTCCTATTGTGTGACTTTTTAGCAGCGCGCATCCACAATCCCTCTTGCGGGAATTGAACCCAGGGCCTTCGGTCTCGCACGCGAACGCTTAACCTCTAGACTACTGAGCCGGCTTTCATAATACCATATTGATTATTATATATTGCTTTATTTGAATGAATAGTCATTAATCAGCTGTCTTTGGTATAGCTATACATCAGTCTAAACCAAAATAAATGAAAGCAGTTTGTAACTATGAACGAGTGATTAATTGATAAGCGGCTAAATAATTGAAGTCAATCAAATCGACAAGTGAATAAAATGCATGTTTAAAATGCATATTTTATTATTCTTACCTGTCTACAGATTTGATTAATTTTTTATATAATAATTCAGTAGCAAAAATCAAGTTGTTTTGATTATCTTCCAGATTTTCATTTGATTGCAGAAGTCTAGGATCTACTTCATAGGATAAGTTCAATTTGTTTTGATTGAATTTTGTCATATCTTCCAACAATTCATTCGTATTAATTGATGACATGTCACCTAATTGTTGCACACAGTTGTAGTTAGAAATATTATCACTCTTGATAGTGTTTACTGGTTTATTATTGAAATCATTTTTTACTGCTGTTTTAGCCACCATTGGTGGTGATGGTGCCAAAGTTATGTAAGCACTTGAATTTCCGGCATCTCGTCTAACTAGCTCCATAAGTACGGGACCTAACACTGATTGTAAATAATCGCGTCCAAATTGTTTGAAACAATAGTTCATAATTTTACTTGTCATTGTGTTACCACGTAATGGTGCTTGCATGCTATCAGCTGATTCCAGCTAAATATTATAAAAATATAATGAAGATGAATAACAAGAAAAGTTATTAATTTAATAAGAATGATTTTAGGACTGGGGAATACATTTTCTCTTGGTTTCGACGATGTTAAATCTTTAAGAAAATTTTGCACTATATTGATTGCTGAATTGCATTTTCTCATTGATATAGGTCGTCATGATCTTCGGATAAGGTCAACAGACGTCCTAGCTGACAGTAATATGAATAAACGCTTAAACATTTGATTATTCTATTTGTAATTGACAGAAGATAAGTTAGATAGTTGGAAAAATATTCACTTTCCTGAGGACAACTTACATTTGCGAACTAAAGTTTCTATTATAATGTTCTCACCATAAAGTCAGAATTCAAATCTTACCTAACAGGTACAAACCTAAAGTCAAGCAAAATGATTACAAAGTACAATGGATTAGTGAAAAGCTGTGCACGATTGAACTCGTCATAATAATATGGTAGCATATTTGACGCAGATGATTGTAATTAACTGTTGGCCTAATTGTTGCACATGAGGACTGATATTAAAAACATTTCAACATAACTTATGTAGGGTTCCCCTATCATGATACCTCTGTACATGTGTTCCTTTAATAAAAATCTTAGGCTACCTCCTTTCTAGCCATAATTAAATGGTTAATAAATCTCAGGCAAGATTCATACAAACTGTAGACCTACTTTCATTGTTTTAGTAGGTTGATGAAACTAACCACGAAATAACGAAAGTGTCATTCGGTAAATGATAATTTTTTTGAAAAATTTCGTTGGTAAAAATTATAAGGGTTAATTAATATCTAAATCTAAAATCTTATATTAGGCGAGACTTCAGATGAAATGTTTATGATGCTACTGAATTTACTATTTGAAATATTCAGTCCCTGTTAAGTCAATAAACATTAAGTAAACCGATAAACCATTTAATCACTAAGAATTACATTAATTTCTACTTACTTATTTCATAACACAGGAATTATAACATAATTACATACTATGTTGATAGTTGCCTTCAAAAAATTACTTTGGAAATTTTTAGGTTATCATCTACTGAATGATACTGTTTCTTGACAAGTCTTGGTTCGGTTGCATTGATGTCATATGTGGTATATATATATATATTGTGCAGGGCAAGTCATTGGTATTTTGATTAATGTAATCGTATTACGATAGCAGTTTCATATGCCATTATTTAGTTCCTAGAACTTATACTATACTGGGTAAATGAATCTCTCATCTAAAAACCATATAAGATATAATCAACTAAGTGAAAGGGAAAATAAGCTAACTTTTGTACACAGTACATAAATGACGTTTATTGACTTAGTGAAAAAGGTAATGGAAAAAATGTCTTACTTATTATCTTTTCTTTAGAAAAAATAGATGATTTATTTCTAAGCAGTATCCTAATAAATAACTAAAGGTATTCATATGGGAACCATACAATGAAAAATTTAAATCAGTAAAAATAAATCATGTAAACATTATGAAATAACTAACTTCTTTAGAAAAGACATTGCAAAACAATTGACAAAGTAATTGTTTAGCATCAAATAAAGTCACGAGAACTCGAGCTAATTCATCCTGTAAATGAAAAGTACATCAATTTATATGTATTTTTAGTGTATAGACTTGGTAGTTTCTGTTGTAAATTTAACATTTCAATAGAAAAGCATAATTATTCTTATAAAGTTGGATAGTGGTTAAAAGAGGAAGACAAGACATATTTTTCATTGCATTCGAGGCTCTCCAGTCAGATTTGAATGGGTCTCAGTTTTTATGTTCACTCGTATGAAGCGAAAACTATTTCATTACATTTTCAGTTTAGACATTAATACCGAAATGTTGGTACATTTAGCTGAAATTTTCCAAGTAAAACAAAGTCTACATTAGAACTGGTACAACCATAGTTAGTCGTTCATTGTATTTATAATGACTAGGTATTTCAACTCATTTATAGATATTATTAATCTCATTAGGTGTATTCTGTTTGTGAAGAGTTTTACCTTAAATTACGAATGTCACCGTAGTACAAATGATTCGATCATCGACTAGCCCTTGTTGGACATTTTGAACAATAGTTAGATCTTATTGCATATTCGATAAATACCTGAACGAAAGTTCAACGAATAAAATTTAAATGCACTGACGTGATCATGAATTAACTATATTATGTAGTCTTTGGGAAGCCACAATTTGTTACTAAGATTGGAATATATATTAGTCGATAGCTTTTGACCAATAAGGTAGTAAATTTTCATATACAACTCTTTATACCAATTTAATAAAAGTAAGAATAACAAGATTTCATAAATAAAATGAATTCAGTCTTTTTCATGATTAGGTTTTTACGAAATGCAAATACGCATTGATCTTAACTATGTTTACAGTCATATCTTGTGTCTTATTTCTTTCATTGTGATTTTCGGTTCTGTTTCAGACAACTTTCGCAATTGTATTAACCAAAGAATATCAAATATTTGTTTTCAACTATATTACTATTTGTAACCGTGTATCCCATGGGGGATAGTAACAAGAGCTGACATTTTCATTAGAATATTTAATTTGTCTAATATTTTGTAATAAAGAAATTGATATCGTTTTTATACCCTGTTAATAACGTACAATTATTTCGAATTCATTTTTCAAGATTTCTCAGCAATAATTATGAACGTTTTTGTTGGGGATGTCAAATCCCCAGAACTTACTTGGTAAATGGCTTAGTTTTGTAATTTTATTTTGGAAATTTGAATTTAGCTGTTTTCGCACCAAACGCGCTCTTTTTACCTTCACGTCATATTTCCCACCTGTAAACTATCTTAACCGCTATTGGTCCATTGTTTGTTTGTGTGTGCTATTTACTAATGATGCTCAAGGACAATTTGTTACTGTATAAATGCGCTTGACTTTTTAACTTATTTGATTGCTTGTACTCGACTGCTTACGGAATACATATATGTTCCCCTACTTGCCTTGGACTTCTTCATCTAGTTAGCGGGGCCTGGGACAACAGATTGGAATAGCTTATCGTGTCATTGTGTCATTGGCTTTCGTTCGTTACCGCGGAATCGATTTAGTTTAAGCATACCAGTTTTGCTGTTGAAAAATTTCATTAATCGGTTTTCCACCTCACCCAACCACTTTGATATTGTAAGCGAACAACCCATATCTATCTATATCTATCTGGCTTAATATAAATTATGTGAACTGATATATGCACAAGAAATTATATAACAGTTCATATTGTAGATTTATACGGGCGCACACACACACTTGCTGATCACTGACTGACCAAATTAAGTAAGTTGTGTAGAATGTCTTTTTAACGTATTATAATCACTGGTGATCCGAAATTTAGTCATCTATAATACCCCAATAGTGAGTTCTGGAGAATCCAGCTAAATAGACCACACCCACTTCAATCATGCCAAAAATAGTCAAGGGATTTTATTGTTTAGTTTCGTACACTGGGTTTGATTTTTCTCATGTTTTATTTGATTTTTCTTCCAGACTAACAAGAAATAAGTAATCTGGGGCATGTTTCACACAACCCATACAATAAATAAAATGAAATGTCGAACTTAATGCGTGTTACGCAATAAGCGTGTTGAAGTATAGAGCTAATTTCTTATAATTGCTGATCATTACAAAAATGTACATATAGAAGTGGTTGATTAAAGCATAAAAATGAGATGATACAATGCTAATTGAGTTATTACAAGAAAAAAAGTCAACAAACCATATTATTGCAAGAAACAACTTGAGTAAGAGCCATAGCTATCGGAAGTTCTCCATTTTCACCAACCATAGTCACTAAACCAACTAGACGCTCATATCGTTCAGCTAAAGCTGTTTCTGCAAGAGTTTCAAATTCTGTGCCTTGTTGTAAAATTTTTGTCAGAACTTCCATAAATGCAGCTCGACTTTGTGGTTCTCTATGATAACCCAAACCTAATACATGTTAAAATATTAAGTTGAAGATATAACTAACTAAACTGTTCAGTAGGAAAACTGTTTTTTTCAAATAAACATGTAGCGTAGAATATTAGAAGAATCAAATTAGATAATAAACAGATATTTACCTGTTAACTATCGGTGGAAACGTCATACATATTATTCATTGTAGTGATGCTTCGATAAAGATAAACGATTGAATAATTGTAAGAAAATAATATACCAAAAACATATCAACTTTTGTATACAGACAACAAAGTCAGCTGGAAGATGGATGTTTCCTATAAATAGCTTCACTTACCGAAACTGTGAAATTTCAACTTTGAACCACATAGAAATTATTCGAAAACTTTTTCTTGAACGACTAAATAGTTTATAGTGATATCTAGAAATCGAGTGAGTCAGTTCGATAAAGAAGTAAATGCAACAATATATATATATATATATATATATATATATATATATTTCTCTATGATTCAGACGCTCGGTAACTTTGTATAGTTTAACACTTCAAAAATTAATGGTACTCAAATTCACATCAATGACAATCTAGAAGACTTTAGTTATATAGCTTTTCAAGTTGATAACACTTTAATTTCTAAGTGGTTTATTGAGAAGTAAATGATATGAATAAAAGAGATTAAAGCTTTCATTTATCATCATTATAGGCTAAAATCCATAACCAAACTGATGTGGAAATCTTTTAAAACAAAGCTAAGCAACCGTTATATGACTACGTAGCGATTAGAGAATTTCCACAGTTTACATCATAAAGTGATCTTAATCAATCAAACGCTATCCATTCATTATTGATGAAGCGACTACAAAATCATTTTTTATACTATAAAATTAAGTAAAACGAACAAAAATCAGGAAGATATAATTCAATTCTCACCTATCGCGTGCACTAATCCAGATTCAATGTTAGCATTTAAAAGGTTTGACATTGCTTGAACTGTAACATTACGTAAAGCTGTATGATTTTGTCTTATTTCAGCACCTTTTTCACGATCATCTGCCACATCATTTAATAGATTCATAAAAAGTGAGAAATATCTAATTTAATAAATAAATGAAAACAAAGAAAAGAGTTCAGTGCTTGTCTATAATCAAAATGGCATATCAGATACTTTGTCACAACAAATTCCGACTTGATCATCAATTTATTTTCCAGAAAGATAAGTGTATTGAAATATTATTTCATATTGTATGAGATCTTTGATTAACTACTATTAATTATTATAACTTATATTTATGGAGGTTGATTAGTCCAAATTATGGGATTCTATTGGTTTACATCATTTATTTTGTTGGAATTAACTAAACTATGAAGAGTATACTTACCTACTTCGTACAAATATATTATCAACAGCTTATAAGTATTATGAAGTAGTTTGGCGTTTTTATTTGTTAACAATTATGTAGTTTTTCTCTATTCTATTCTGATCCCAGTTAAGAGTCCTTTTTAATGTTATATATCTTTGAAAATTCTGATTTTATTTAGGGCGTTGGAGGAAATTGATCCAGATTACTGGGGAAGATATTAGAACTGCCTAACTCAACTCCTGGGCAGTATCACAGCCCTCACACAAATCAAATGAGATTTGTGTAGCGCATATATATCTGGTGCCTCTTTGTACCAATATTTATGTGTTTAAATAAATAAATAACTTTATAGCATTGATATGATAAAAAATCATAGACATTTGTATACTAAGTTGTCTCAATAGGAAAATTTAAAATTTAAATTTGATATGTATAATTCAAATTTCATTCAGAAAAAAAGTGGAAAGAACTAATTATATATCTTTTAAAATAATTTCTAATAACAGAAACATTGTGCAATTAAAATAACGATAAGCTTACTCAAAATAAAGATCATTTGGAGTTGCTTACGAATCTAGTTTTAGTGTTTTTATTAGAAATATAGGTAAATAAACCTTGTTATTTATAAAAAAAACAACGCAGACTCACTTCGCAAACAAATGAGATTTGGCATCCATTAAGTCTGCTCGATCAATTTCTTCAGGTTGCAATGGCATACCATGAAGTAATGCAGCTACAGCCTCCATACATGCTAGATCTAACTCCCTTGTCTGAGCGGCAGTTTGTGCTACTATACCGGCAGTTGATGTAATATTTGGAACATTGGAAGAATAACTCCCAACACTCAAAGTTGTGACAGCAGAGACTGCGATGGATGGTACACGAGCTGAAGTAGTGTTCGTTCCTGTATACAAAGTATAATTAATACCACTTGCACCTGACCACGTACTGGCGACAGACGATTGTCCAGAATAAGATATACTACTAACATTGGATGTAGGTATATTACTTCCATACTTGGTTACATTGATTTGACCACTAATATAGTTAAATCCAGATGAAGTAGAAACAGTGGATAAAGAATTACCACTGCTTGATATGTAATTTTGACATAACGTTGTTCCCGACAAAGTAGTTGACTTGGCAACATTCCAAGGTTGTGGCTGTCCAATACAACTTAGCCCACCAGTTACAAATCGATTATTGTTTACTTTTCCATATGGCATACTACTGAAGCCAGTTAACTCTGTAGTACTAAAATAGGGTGAAAATGGGCTATTAGAAAATTGTCCGTGAGCAATTAACCCTACACCGATACCTAAACTTGGTGTTGCATTATCCCATGCACAATTAGAATCCAAGATATCGGATCGATTCCAAGCATTTGCTGATGACTGACCTTGGGATCCATAGTTCATCAGTCCAAAGTTTCCTGACGTTAACGGGCCGCAATATGGAACAACCGGACAACCAGTAATGTTACCATGAATACCACCATAGTTTGCAATCATTCCACTGACCCCACTGCTAGGTACAATGTTTGAATACGCTAATTGTGAATTGTGGCTTGTTATCGCAATAGAATTGTTCTGGCTTTGACTTATGGGTATCCCTACTCCGGATGGGAGGAAAATTGGTGGATTCACTTGTGATGAGTTAGACAAGGAAACATTTTCATTAAATTCTGATGTAAGAGAGCTGGCGATTGAGGTGTTTGATAATCCAAACACTCCGGAAACATTACTGTTATTACAAGAAGCAACAGTAGTAGCAGTAGACATTGTTGTTGTGATTGTTGTTCCTGTTGAATTATTAGCCAAGTAATTTGTTTGTACGGAAAGATTAAGATGATAGCTACTGCCCATAATCCAATCACAAAGGTAATCTACTAATTTATTTCGAAATCTCATTTCCTAGGTGATAGAAACAAAAAAGTCATGATGACCGTGGTAACAAAAAAAAGTATAATATATCTATGAAATACAAGAAAGATTTATGTTTAATGTAATAGAAAAGCAGAGTTATGTAATTATTAAATCAAAATATCCCGATCAACGTATCACAAATACTCGATTCAGGGTTTGATTAAATTTTCATATTTGACAATGAGCACAAAAGCCTCTAAGAGGTTAGGTATTACATACAATATCAATTTGTACTAAAGGATGTATTTATTTATTTAAATTGTAATTAATAGTGACTATTAGCGGAATCTAAACGGTACATGTCGTGTTTTTCAGGATTCGTTGACTACATGATGGATCACAAAGCGATATTAATATTTGAAAGAGTAATTTTCAATAATAATAAATGAATTGTCAAGATCAAAGAAAACATTATTCGTACAGAAATCAAGGAATTATTGAATTATTTATTCTAGTCAATTATATTCATTACACGGTAAAAACATAAAACTCTCCGTAAAAGAATCTCTCCTCCTATTTCTTAAGTTAGTTATATTAGATTTAATAAAGTTCCACATAACATTTCAAAAACTATAGGTGAGGATAGATTTAAAATAAAAAGTAGTTAAAATAAAAGACAGATTTCTAAAGATTGTTTAGTGATTTTATGATTTAAAGCAATTAGTCCCTTTGATAAATTTCGATAATGTTATAAGAAGACGAAGATTATCAGAACAAATGTAGCTCAATACATTTCGAACAATCTGATCACACATATACTTGTTAAGAACATTTATATATAAAAAATAAAAGGTCAACTAGACTGGAAATGGGGGTAAGAATAGACAAGGATAATAACAATAAAAAATAATGTGAAAACAATTTGACACCTAATGACTCTGGATAATAAGCTAATATTGTGGTGTGGTCTACTTATATCCATATAAGTAGTATATGGTGTGGGTCAGACATAGAATGTATTTTGGCAGAAGACCGATGAGCAAAGAACTGAAATGAAGCGCAATCGTTTGGAAAATGCATGAGCAATGGAATAAGAGAAGAAACAGTAAAGATTGAAACAATTGGTTGTTATTTTGCAAATTGACTGTTCATTGTTTGGTTATCAGAATTTACTGAGATAGTCTGTAATGTTTGTTTAAATACATTCGATTGTCCCCAGTCGTGTTCTGTTCACTATAATAATACCATGGTAGGTTTAAAGTGAGAACGAACTTTTTTTGAATACACAAAGGGGGTTTGAATTTTCGTATGACTAAGGCTTCAATAAACCTTAGTATACGCCCTTTTACACTTTTATACAACACAACAAAAGCCGAGATTTTGATTTATTTTGTAAACACATTTTCACAAATAAATTTTAAATGACTAATTCATACTGATATGTAGTTGTTCACGTGATCTGGAAATTGGACAACTAATTATTCTTTGGTTAGATTAAGATTTGGGTTGATAGCTTAGTGACACGTTAAAACATGAGAGGATGGAATAATGCACATCTGAGCTAAATACCATCCTGAAAAATTTGTTTGTATATTGATTGGTCGGTAAATGGTATTTCTATAGTTATTTTGGCAACGAAGAATTATTTAATAGTCTCTTATCATTTGCATACATAACCTTTGAAAACGAGAATAATAAACGTCACTCACTATCAATGTGTCTGATTTGTATTAAGTTGATGTTCATTTTTGAAATACATATTTTAACTAAATATTAGAAGAGCGGTTACCCTGATATATTGAGATCTCTTTCCATTTATCTATAATGGAAAAGTTATTAAATGAACTGAATGGTAAATATTGACTCAGATTCTTATACAAACAATAAAGAGTGTATGACAAGTTAAAACTTTTAGTCTATGCAATGGTGTAGTGGTCGTAAGAGTAGTCATACCAAATGGCGATAGTTAATTTACACCTAATACATATAAGCTATGTATGTTCTATTTCAAACTTCATCATCGTCTTTGCTTATTGTTTCAAGCATTATATGACATTTTAGAAAACTGAGAAATATTTCTAAACATGACCCAAGTGTTAACTTATAAATGAACTGTAATTCCAATGTCGAAAAGATTTAATCGTCTATCAACTGTATTACAATTCACAGTAAAATGAAAATAACTATTCAAGTCCCACTAATTAGATAATCATATAGTTGTTTTAAAACTAAAGCCAAATCGACCTGACCAGACATATATGCCAAGGTTAAACATTAGCTTTAAAACGGTGAAGTTGTTGAGGCTTACATGAAAGAGTTTTAGGCAAAATATATTTGTATCAAATGTAAATCGCTTTATCTGTAACTTTCAAATAGTAAAACAGGAGGATAATAAAATACGTCGGCCTATTTATGCATTTAATAATGGAAAATAGTGATTAACAAAGTCGGGTTATTACACTAAACTGTTTTCTTTTCTTATTTCAAAAACATTGATAAAAACAAAAAAAAGGCAACAAACGTTCAACAGTTAGAAAAAAAGTGTTTTGCGCCTTTTAGCTCTCTCTCAGGAAACAACAAATGCATGGGTTCTTGGGGGTTAAGTGAAAATGAAATAAAAATAACCTGAAAGTGTTTAGAATAAGCTATAAGTAATTGAAAGTTAGGAACACCATTGAGTGTTGTAGTATCAAGCAAGGCAGAAAGAAGAAAATTAGGGGAGTTAAAAGACGTACTGAAGTTAAAAAAATGTTTTGCCTGATTTGTGACAGATTCGCCTTAGTTTAGGATTGCCAATTATTCTCGTTAATAAGAGTAAAATGTTCGACCATGAAAATACTAAATAATAATTTGTAGTATGCATTAGATTATTGTGTTATTTATAATACAAGAGATTTAATGTGGACAATAGATGAGTTAGACTGATATTTATGGAAGATTCAGCTCATCCATATTAACATTCGAATGAACATCAAATATTTTTTATACGATTACCGAAATAAGTGTAGTGAACGAAGACATTGGTGAGGAAAACCAATTAATTATTTATTGCGAAATCGCACAGTGCTTTTATAAAATATGAAAATCATATATTAAATACAACATATTTTCCTTCACTTGTCCTTTAGATACTTCATTATTCTCTCAATCTTGTTGTTATTTTGATTTTTTCTGCTTTCTTTCCTCTTCTCTTTATTTCACTCTTTTGCTGATAAGCATTCCATTTCTGACTGTTGCTACATACTACTTATAACGCACGCCACATAAGAACAAGATTACTTTTTACCTTATTATTTACTCAAAAATCGCAAAATTGTTAATACTTCACATACACTTCAAGAAAAGTTATACTAAATCAGTTAAAGCAAACCTGTCTAAATGCTAAATCTTCACGTCTGGCCATCATTTTCTGTACTAATTGACAAACTTTAATCTTTATTTGAAGAGAATGTACGCATTCCAAGTGACGAACATACCTACAAAAAGAATTATAAGTTAAGAAACAAACTTTAGTGTACTTAATGTATTAAAGGAAAGAAAAGTTATAATGTTGACAGCGATATTATTAACAAAAACGGGATATAAAAATACATACATCCCATAACATATTGTGTAGCTGTAAACATGTATTCTGGTTTAATTATTTACATGCGAGTGGCGTATCCATGGCAAAGGCAAAAGGATTATGTAGACACCCAGTTTGACCTAACAATAGCGTCCATTTTTTGCATATAATATGGGGTATCACCGTACTTTCCATAATGATAAACAAGTTGGTATCATAACATACAATAATACTTATTAATGTAATAATGCTTAACGATGTTTCATCAAAAATTGGTTCATGAATATTGGTGTACCTGCTTACGCAATTAAAACTGACAAATCTCTTGATATTCTTTTACATATGTCAAAATGTTATATACAGAGACCTGTTCCTAAAAAAAGCACAGAATATAGAAGTTTAACGTGCTAGGTTTTTATCCAAGTTATATGAAAATATTTTCGCTCAGTAAGATGTTATCATAAGTTTACTCCAAGACAGTTACAGTATCTTCCTGTCTTTAAAAGAAGCCTTAGAAATCGAAAGTATAAAGTTGCAGCTAAGAGAAACTCTGCATTTTAGCTAACTAAAATTTATATATATTATGAGTATGTTCATGGAATTTCAACTATAAAACAATGATATCTCCTATATGACTGTTTGATTTGACTATTTAGAGAACTTTCTAATTATGTTTAATATAAAAAACCACGAATATGGAGTGAGGTTACTGGAAGGGTTTAGCCATATGTCAAATTCACAAATTAGTCAGTTTAATTATTTCGAACTATATTAAAAATTTATTAATCTGTAACTACGATTTTCAACTTTCACCAAAGCAGTTTCTAAGCTCCTCAATAAAATGAGACGACGTGTGCTAAGTTTGTTAAGCGCAGTGCTAGTTTCACATAATGGCTAGAACAATAAATACTTCATTTATTAAGTTCATTGAAACCACTTCACTATTCTAACTTGCTTAACACAGTTTCAAAGTTTATTTATTTATTTGAACACATAAATATAAGTACAAAGGGTCTGATGATTTATAACGTTTCAAGAGTTGAAGTTCCTTGTGGGATTCCGCCTCGTTAGGTGGATCAATCGTCATAGGCCATAGAGGGCAGGAAAGTCCGATTGATGTTGTCGGGGCAGCATACCAGTTGAACTGCTCCTCAAAAAACTGCACAGCGTCCAATACGACGATTGTTGTTATTGATTGGCACCTCGTCATCCTCACAGATTGTTTCACTCACATTAGACTTCATGCTGCCAGTGGCTTGGATGAGTTGGAAGAGCTTCCGGCAGTTACCAGATGCAAATGCTGCTTCCATCTCATTAGCACGCTCCGACCACCAGGCTTCTCAGTCCTTACGCAAGCTTTGCCCGATTTCATTACGTAACAGCCTTCGTTTGTGGTGAAACTCACGGTCACCCGGAGTAGACCCACAGCCTTCGATGAATTGTAAAAAGTCTAAAGAAACCCAGTGCTCATAAGCCGCAAGCAACTTCACTTGCCATTTTCATAGCATCATGCAATTACAATCAATGATCATCTATACTTTTCGATGGGATCTTAGCTAGCCTTGAACCTAGCTTGGTTTGATATTCAGTCTGAGCACAGTTGCAGCAGAAGGTCACCGTTATCTGACTTGTGACTAAAAGGTCCCCATCAACCACCTAAAGAACTTTCTCCTGTGCCAGGACGCTCGACCTGAACATTCAAGTCTCCGGCCATTATTATAATATCTGTCCAACACACTTTTAACCAGTGATAAAGCTGATACTTGGTTCCATCCGAGTTGTAATTTGTCGGAGCATAGGTGGAAAAGACGAAAAGATGTCGTTTCTCACACCGATTTCTTCGCACTTTGATGAAGCTTTCTGATCTAACACCACATAACCGACTGTTGATGGGAATCAAATTGATCAGTGCTGCCTAAGCTCTAGGGTCAGCAAAACCAGACAGAGACGCCACAGGGTCCCCGGATCAACGCACGTGAAACAAGTTTTTCGAAGCGACAGATGGAGAGTGAATCCGTAGTACTTCACTAGAGTTTTAAATTTAGGTTTCACATCGATAACAGACATCGATATTAAGACTTTCTAAAGACACGGCCAACATCAACTGTTGCCCAGTCTGCATTAGCGTGACAATGTTGAAGAAAGACAGTTTGAACGATGCACGTGGTTTCAGAAAGACTGTTTCAGTATTCATATTCGGTTGTAGCATTCAATTTTCGACCAGTCAGGGATTGTAATACTGCTCTGGTGCCCAGACAGAAGCAGGAGGTTTAGCCGAGAAGGCATTGAATATAAAGTTGTCAATTAATAGTTTAAAATCAATTATATAGCTATTGTATGAATGCGAGCACGGATGGGGACAATCGACTAAGCTACATTACAGACTATCTCACTAAAATCTGACAACCATACAATACACAAAGATGGATAGTGGCTAGCAGTGGAATCCAGGACGCGCGTTTCGTCCTATTTGGGACTCATCAGCTGGATGTACCTGCATCTCAGAGTTGATGTTCACTCTATTAGAGACTGACCAGTTGCAGTCCTAACACATCGATGAGAAGATTCAAACAAACAATACTAAGTGAACATACAGTACACAGTTAATTTGCCAAAATAACAATCAATTGTCTCAATCGTGACTGTTTCTTCTGTAAATATCAGTCCATCTTTTCTGAGTTCATTGTTTATGCATTTTCACAACGATTGCGCTTCGTTCCTGTTCTTTCCTTATCGGTCTTCTGCCAAAATACATTCTATGTCTGACCATCACCATAAACTACTTATATGGATATAAGTAACCCACTCCACACTATCGGTGAATAGGGAATGACAAAACAAGATGTGTGTATGACATACCGTAACATTAAAGTAATGTTGACGTGTACAGAACATCTTTTTCCTTTATTAGATATCAGACTATGAACATTGGTTTATTGACCCGCCTTGTATAGATGATAAAAGCTGAAGAATATTTAATTAACTGAATAAAATTAATCGACCAATGAAAATTCCTTTTCCGTTTTTTGTCGAGCAGTCTGATTTTCCTCTTGCATATATTTCCCTAATACTGAAAAGAATATCGCATGACTTCTATATGCTAAATCTTTATGATAAAAATGAATACCAGAAATCTTGTTATTTATGTTATATACACAAGAAAGTCTATTACCTCTTAAGAAAATACAAATTCAGTTAATTTGAACAGACAAGCACAATATTAATTATTGAAACTTGAAAAACGATTTACAAATAATCTTTAAAGTGTAATATTGTTTTTGCTAAACAATGCCGAATTCCATACTATATAAACGAATTTTGTAAAATAAAGAAATTTGATTAATTATTTACTATAAGCTAGTAGTAGATTAAGAAAGACTGAAATAATTGTGTAATATATGTCTGAAGTACTACAATTCGATTTTTTTTCAGATTGTACTACAAGTTAAGGAGACTATGATTAACATAGCTTCAATCATATATATTTTCTATATCATTAGCTTGGAAATTTACCAATACACTTATAGTTAGCTGACTATTACTGTTGTTTTGTAAAACGATATAATATATAGTAGTTGAAAAGAAAGCAAAAAAATATCAATAAAAAAGACTAAAATAAGGTTAGATATACTATTTCACATTTCTATAACATAAAGGATAAATACTATAGAGAAGTTGTATGTTGAACTAGTGAGCTATTGAGAAATATATTACTTTAAATTTTGATAGGATACAAGATCCATTTATATATATATATATATATATATATATATATATATATATATATATATAATATCTGCTTCAGAAGCACATAATTATGTGGAGAGTACGTCAAAGTTATATGGTAACATGAAAGATGAAAAGCATGCAACATATGAAATCAATCAAGTCAACAGTGTTAACGTGATTTTTCTCAAAATTTAAATTTTGGAAGATGATATCACATCAAATATAGTGTGAATGTTATTAAAGAGTTTCTAACTGCTGTCCTAACTGACTTTAATGATTAAAATATTGTTTACAAAATTCATCATTTCCTTTAAAGTTAATTCAAAAGAATATTTTGGAATTTATTCAATTTAATTATTTCAAAGTATTCAGAAGTGATGGTAGATCAGTTGATGAGGTCATTAATCTTCATCGACTGAGATGGTTAGGTAACGTGTTACGTATGCCTGAACACCGATTACCACGACGCGCAATGCTGACTAGTGTAGGGGATGGTTGGAAAAGAGTTAGGGGCGGCCGAACCAAAACGTGGCATCAGGGCTCGAAGTCACTAACTTCTAGTCTGAGCTATGTCGGTAGATGCAGACTACTTGGTTGGGGTCTGCGTGACTATCGTAACCAATGGTTGGAGACTCTACGTGATATGGCTACCACCACTAAATTAACTATTTCTATGAACTCGGTGTTCAACTTGTTGTGCTAACGAGGTATGGCAACTTGGACCAATGCACATGCGTGCCTGGTCCCACGTTGTAGCTGACTTACTGACTGATTTCAAAGATCGTGAAATATTACATCAGTTAAACCTCTCTCTAATGTATAAGATCTAATCAAAATTATTCGACATTAGAAGATGAAAAAAGCATGAATTCGTTCAATATGGATATAACATAAATAAATTAATAAATAAACAAATTAACAAATCAATCTTACCTAACAATATTTAACATAAGACTTTCTATACTAACTAATTCTAAATGATCACTTAATCGATCAACCGATTTAGTTCGTTTATCTAATATACTACGCATAATAAAGATGACATTTTCAATAAATAATGTATTGGTTTCTGTAACAACCACTTGTTGTTGCCCTTGTCCTGAAAAACATGCATCCACATGATTACGTAATTGATTGAATAGAATTGGATAAATCAAAGGATTTAATTCATTTCCAATTGATTCTTTAACATGTTTTTGTATTTGATGCCCAAATTTCTCATGTTGACAACTTATAAGCAGTAAAAGATTACCAATAAACCTGTAGACAAAAAAAGCAACAAGAAAAACGGAAAAAGGAAGTCAAGTAACAAGTGCATTTAGTTCACATGTTGAATTATAAAGTGAAATGAATTTTCATTGAATTACAAATATATAGTAAATAGAAAATGTTAATTAATCAATTTTTAAAATGTTATCCAGTAAACTCCAAATGCCCTAGTACGGCCGAGAGTGAGGAGAGTCCGCTCTCCCTCTCCAAATGCTCTCATATGGCCACGCGAATATATAGCCTCTGTCAGGGAAGTCCTACTCACTGCATTCTCGTGGCGGCGGTGTTGTTCACAAAAGTGAGAGGACGAAATGCGAATGTCCAGCGCTTTAACCAGGTTGGTGGATGTGGAGGATCCACCTAGGGGAGTTGAAAAACCCTGACAACAAACCAATGGTGCACATGGGCTCCAGTATCCTGAAGGAACGAATGGCGTATGAGCCAACTGTTGGTCATCGGCTACCATGGGACTGCATCTCCTTACGATGCTCCACCGCCTTGTGGATTAGACTTTTAGGTCAAAGGCTCCGGGTGTGGCCCTCTAAGAAAACCACCTGCTTCAGCTTGGGCACCTGGGCAGTATCTCAGCCCTCACACAAATCGAATGAGATTTGTGAGGCGCATATTTATCTGGTGCTTCCTTGTACCAATATTTGTGTGTTTAAATAAATAAATAATAAATGAAGTAGAAGGTAGAATTTGCTTCATTTCAAATATATATCAATCCTAGAATTAATTCATTTTTGTATTGTTTGTCTGAATCTTCCCATTGATGTTTAGGACCGCAATTGATCATTCTCTTATTGGCATATATGCACTCTGTGCGGAAGATCCAAACTAACAATACAAAAATGATTTAAAACTTCATCCATTGTACAAACGAGTGGCTATCTGGACTAAGTAGTTAAGTAGATAACGCGATGGCATTTGAAGTGAACGGCACTGGGTTGCAGTCATGGAGTGACCATGAAATCTGAAATGCAGGTACATACAGCGGACGAGCCCCAGTAATTGGACGAAACGCACGTCCTGGATTACACTGCTGGCCGCCATCCATTTTAGCTTATGATTCTAGAATTACATATTATATCGAGAATATAATAATAAACTTAAAAATGTGTGTCCAATTACTAACATAATATATATTTTCCTCAACAATCAAACTCAGGGAAGTTCGCGTTTATGTATTCAGCTTTAATCGATAAATTTTATGTGAGAATTTGGCAATAATACTCTTCGGACTTAACTGAGATAGGCAGAGCTAGTTCAAAATTATTTGTTAATGAATGAAAGTTAAATGCTTCGACAATCAAATCACTGCTCCACTTCAAAATCAGTCGAATGTATTCATAACTTGATCCTAAAATCAAATTAAGAAGTTATGCTTCATGAATATATTACGTTCTTATTTTTCATTGTATAAAATTAATATCACAATGTATAGAATCAACAAATGCGATTATTTGGATGAACGAATTACCTGATAATAATTAATTAATTTCTGAATGTTTTTATTATATCATTACAATTTGCCCTTAAACTGAAACTATACTATTTTGGAAAGTGTATCACAAAATACAATCAATAAGCACATATAAAAGGGAAAATATATGACCTAATACTATTTAAAAATATTGGTAAAGAGTCAATAAAATTAAAGAAGAATTTTCAAGTCATTCTAATAATTGCGAACATATGAATCTCAGGCTTTAATTTCTATGATTGTTATTAATTGTGTATATTATTTACGCAAACATGTTATATTTGAACACCAAAGTTTATGGGCGTACTACACATTTCACTATCGTTTCCCATCATCCCCATCCTCTATTTAACACAGATCCATTGGTTTTAACGAGATACTAAATTTATACACAAACTTTGAATCTTTACTAAATTTTTAATCTGTCTCATAACTGACTGGCTATTCTTACCATTTATAAGTGAGGTTAGGTGTTGTGAGAATGCATTCATACCCTCTCTCTGTTGTTGAAGGATCCTCAATCGAGTTGTTAAATACCATTTGGCTGTGGTTGTGTTTGACTGAAAAACAACCCTTACCGGTACTTTTAAGTTAAACTCCTGTTGTAAATGAAGTAAATTTCCTAGTACTTAAAAACTATGCTGAAAAATTTTATACAAGTTATTGGCAGGTATACAGTAATAGATAAAACTGAATTTTTGTTAATGATAGTGAGCTGGTCAAAAACAATTCGAAAAAGCCATCAGTTTACCGATAAAATTAATCATTCTGATTAGGTCCCTTTTATACATTATTCTTCATTAACGGTGAATGAATATGTAAGTTGATTGTCTTAGCAGTAATAGATACCTTAATAGTAATAAACTGGACTTCTGATTTTTGATTACAGAACATGGTACTGTAGAAATGTAATTCAGCTATACTGTATTGCTATAAATAAGGGAAGATCTATCAAACTTTGAACCGTAACATGATCAAACAAACAAATACATAACACTTACTGAGCAACAGGTGAGAATTGATTATCTTGATTTAAACTAGACTGAACAAGTGAAAGACGTCTTGCAGCAGTTAATTCACTAAGACAGGCGCCATGAAATGAATGACATTTATGAGATTCATCTGTTTGATCAACATCACTAGTACTTTTATTAAAATTTGTACGAGACTGTAGGAAATAGTTTGCACGTAAACAATTAGGATCAAAATGTTGATGTACATGATCCAATAAATGCTGAGAACAATAATGATAATGAGGGCAGTGAATTTGTTGAGGTTTGGTTTTGGTTTGGTCCTGTAAATAAGTAAATTTATTTTGTGATTATCTAGCATAGCTCTAATCAAATAGACAATTTCAATCACAAGCTTAAATTAACTGAAGAATCATTTAAAAAACACAAACAGGACTAGAAAGATGTTAAATTCTCGTCAGGCACTCCTCTAATAATGTGCACTTGTAAATTAACGCAAGATCGAGTTCAAAACCTTCACGTCTCATGCTGAGAGTGATATATTGCAATTAATCATTTTATGTTTTTTTAATTCATATAAATTAAAATACTAAGAGACACACTTTTGGTCCCATTATTGAGTTACTGTCTCACATATCGACTTCGTTGTAAGCACATGCTATTGAAGCACCCTCAACTTGAACAGAACAACGGTTCACAGTCCCCATACTTTAGACAGTACGCTAGTGGATCATAGTTTGTGATATATTTTGGCATTCAAATATCCTAATTGATCATGGAGAAAGTAAACGAACTTAGAAAAAAGACATGCATGTCAGGTAGCATTTCCTTCAAGAAAATGTTTCTTTTATATATATCTTATGTTTATCGATATACAGTATATAAAGGTACACTATTTACACGAATTATACACGAAGTGAAAATAAAAGTGTTGTTTTATCATAACTTAACTATCCTTTGATGCAAATGATTACAAGTTAGTATATTTAGTAACAAAACACTATGTAGAATAATAATCAGCCAGTCAGATAGTCGCAGCGTAAAACCTGGTACACATGCACATCGAATAATAATAATAATCAATGAAATAAAATCAAACATTTTTGTCAATAGACTTTACGTCCATAAAATTTGCTAATGAATTAAAAGGAAATAATATGTCATAAAATGCTTCAACATACATTATTCATCCGTGTATAGTCGGAGAAATTCTAAGTAACTACAGTAGTATAAAACTTTTTAAAGCTCATTTAAGTTTAATTAGTACTGAATAAAGTGTAGCAAGAAATCTGTGATAGGGTGTTTTGATGATAAATAACAACTAAGATTTAGTAGAAATTTGAGCGACTTGTAAACAATATTTCGAATAGTATCGAAAAAGACTTGTAATACTATAGTAACCAAAATAATGGGAGATTTAAGCTTATAATATAGCTTGTAAATTCTGTCATTCTAATAATAACAGTATTAAAAAAAGCTCACACACCGCAACGTTCTTCAAAACAAATGACGATAGACTTTTCAAGCAAACATGTAAAAAAAAGAAGAAACTATTAGTCAAGTGATCAAAAACACATTAAACATACACATGAATAACCCGATGAAGCTATTTGTGAAGAAAGTGAAGAAGATCCTTGAGGTAGTGGTGGTATATTAAGTGCTACAGAACCTAATGCACATAGAAATCCAGTCATATTTGCCCATTCATTTAGTACATCTTCAATTTCATGGTCATTTACTGGCGATTGTTGACTGACACGACGTTTAACAGCCAAATAACGACTTGCACCTGAACTTATAGCACTTCCAGAGACAAATGAACTAGTTCCAGTAGACGTGCTTGACACAGAAACTCCACCAGTATTATTTGCTATTGTAAGAAGCATCCCGGTAGAACCTAAAGTAAATAAATTATTTCAAATAAATAATAATTCAATGAATTACCTTGGGCAGAAGAAAATCCATCTATATTCATTCCAGACACAGCCGTATCCACTTGATTAGATATAGAGTCTAGACCACTAGGTATAGATGCAGAATTACCCAGTGATGCAGATGAAAATCCGTTCACTGAAGTATTATTGGCTGAATTAGAAGTGGTATCATAACAAGAGTCTTCAGTTCCGTTTGATGGAACGGAAGCTTTTGATTTAGGATAATTTATTAGAAATTTTGTACTTCTTAACCAAATCATATAAGTATGTTCCCAGGCCTGTATGCAAATGAAAAATATTTAAGTATTAGAAAAGTAATACAAAAGCGTATTTATAAAACTATAGGACTGTAAGTATCCATTTTTTAAAATAATACAATTAAAAAAAGTGAATGTTACATACATCTAGCTCGTACTTTTAGCCTAAAAGTAAGTCAAACTTTGTTCGAATCTATAAAATTTATGACTTGCATTCTTATGCATACAGTCAGTGACTTGGTGATTATCTTCCTTAAAATCTGCAGTTAAAAATTACAGAGTAGCAAAGTGGAGATAATTAGAGGTTTACAGTAGACTGAATTTAGTGGAAGCTTAACAATATGAAATTTAAAACTATTATCAATTATTTGGTTTTTCTTATTTATTTATTAACAACTTATATTGACTGTTTATTTTTGTAGACTTTCTTCACTCATGAAGTTAATTACCGGAACTCAGCTAAATACATTTCAGAAGATTGAAATTCTGACAAACTGATTGACTAAATATATAAGATGAATCGAGACTGCTATTTACATAGAAAATATTCAGTCATCTTAAAATATTTTTGATAATTGTCACGATGGAAATAAACTCAAGAAATTCATGTATAAGGCTTTACTTCTACCTTATAAATGATAGAAGAATTTTCATCAAAAAAATATATTTATCATTAATAAATCAAGTTGGTCAAGTCGGTCTCGCCAAACACTAAAAAGAAGAGGTAAGTTAAATATCAATTATTTATGTATTAAAATCTTTAGATTGGCTGTGTGATAACAGACCATAACAGATATATAGTAGAAACGGTTACAAAACTTACAAGTTTATTTCCTTGGGTTTGATGATTTATTTTTCTTAATAAAGCTAGAATTTGTCTTTGTAAATGTGCACGTCCTGTAGTGACAATTGAACGACTGTGATCAGCAATCTCAGCATACACATTGTAAACAGGTAGAAGATCTGGAAGACGGAAGTCAGTAAAAGCCCACTGGGCTGGTAACGACCATGAACATGACTTGTCAGATGGACTGGTTGTATGGAGAATAGGATTTATAACTTTGGTCGATGTTTGAGTAGAAAAATTTGTTGTACTATCATCAGAATATTCAGAACAAAATGTTGGATTACTGTCTGAATTTAGTGAGGTACTAAAACTAGAATGAGAGCTGGAGTCGTGGACAGACCGGGAAACAGCAGGATTACTAACAATATTTGTGTATACTGGTAGATAGCTCACTGGAGTGCAAAGAGGACACCCACAATTGCATAAGGCAATACACGATCCTGGAATATTAGGACGAGTTCGGGAGTCATTATCATATGGTGTTGAAGAGTTTTGGAAGCGTATACATGTACTTTCAGGAGGAGTACTACTAGATGAAGCTGACGATACTGCGAGTTTATAGCTAACTGTAGGTGGAGGTGACTTTCGGACCAAATCACTATGGTGTGAATTTGTTGTCAGTACAGAATTCTCTGCCCAATCTGATGTTTCTGTGGAAGAAGGAGCAGATAAATTGGGATTTACCAAATAACATTCACAATCAGAACGCTGTACAAACTCGTTATCTGGAACGTAAGTGATTGTCGCTAAAGTTGCAGCATTACTCCAAAGTTCAGCTTCTTGACACAACAGACGAAAACAAGACATTGAAGTCAAAACAGCTTCTAAATCCAGTGACCATAGGTAAGTAAAAAATACTGTTTCTAGTTTAATAAGAGCCATTTGATTTCGTTTTGGATTAATTCCTAATGGCCCTAGAAATGGGCTTAAACATGAAGTATTTTGAGAATTCGTCTTTGAAGAGGGCGCTGGTCCAATATACACGCCACCATCTGTATAACTCATATCTAGATAAAATAAAAGATGTATTTTAAAGACGTGAATATGAACTACGAATTATTAAAGTTTGTTGTTACTAAAAAAGAAGCTCAACAAAGTGTTTTCTTCGCCCTTTGATTGTCCACTGGGTTAGAAGGAGCTCGGAGATTAAAAGCAGTAATGCTCTGATTCTATTTTGGCCGATTTACCAACAAGTAAAAAGCCAGCGCTCCCACTGGCAAAATAGACGAACTAATCGATAATCAGACTAAAGAGAAATCATACAACTGCTTTCCTATCATTACGGCCCGATTACAAGGGACCCAACACAACCCAAGGAAATCTGTTTTTGCCGACATGACAGTTCATTTTTCTGTCTATTTGAATTTAAATCAGATATCTATTGAATGCTATTGTTTATCTTGAGAAAAAAATTTAACTCATTGTGTATACTCCCAGAAGTTCTTGATAAATAACATGATGGTAAAGAGACTATAAGGATCGTAGTAAGTTAATATAAATTCATTGATTTCATGAATTCTTTCCAGCTTCTTACAGCCTACAAAGTAATTTATTACTTAAAAATAGTGTACATAGTTTATATCATAATATCAGTAAAGTTTTGATTACTGAATATTATTAAAAAAGAGGAACGAATACGGAGGAATTATAAGAAGGGTTAGGACAGTTGAATATTTCTATGCTAAACAATGAGAATATTTCAAAAAAGGAAACTTTATAAAACATAGTTAGCAGAGATGGATAGTGACTAGCAGTGGAATCCAGGACGCGCGTTTCGTCCTATTTGGGACTCGTCAACTGGATATACCTGCATCTCAGAGTTGATGTTCACTCTGGGACTCAAACCCGGTACCCTCGCTTCAAACGCCATCGCGTTATCCACTCGGACACTGAGTCCTGATAGCCACTTGCTTGTAAATTAATGTGGCTTACCTGAATTTGTATTTGTTTGCGTACAATTTGTAGCAGTAGATAAGCTAGATCCAGTCGTTGCCGTTGTTGTCGTCGCCGTTGTGATAAAACTAGTTACACCTGTGGTATTTGTGTTTGTAGTTATATTAACATCCCCACTAACTGGCATATTAGATGTCAACAGACCCCGTGTACAACATCCTGGTAGATTTGCATAATCACAATGTTGTTGAAGAAACTTTATACGACAGACAAGAATCTCTCTTAACCATTTTAAAACATCACATGAATTAGGTATATTACGATTGATTAATTTCTGAGCAATACTGTACAAAAGTTGTGGACTTAAAAAACCGGAAAGAAATCTCATTAGACAAACATAAAATGTAATTAAAAGTAATGGAAGAAAATGGTCTAGTCAGTGAATATTTTACCACTTAAGCTATCAACTTTACACATATTTTATTTCTCTGGAAACCAAATTTATGGCCTACAGTGGAAATTGTTTTAGTGATGACATTTCGTAAACTTGTCTGAGTTCCAGATTTTTGAATTTATGTAATATATAGTGGGATTTCAAAGGAACTATAACCTATAGAATAGTACTTTTTCCATGTGAGCTCATTTTAATTGCATTTTGAAAAAAAATTACCACCACTATCTGATAAAGTTATCAAAAGTATTATAAAAATACATTGGGTATATAACTAACTAAAAGAAAGATTTATTATTCGATCAATTAGAAAATATATCATAATATACGATTATACTTAATGAATAAAGGAAAGTATAGAGACGAGACAAACGGAATTAAGAAGACGATTTTCAAATTTCCGGAAAATTAAGAAACGAATGGTTTTCTATCTTATGAAAAACGAGCAGTATCAGTATCTTTGTATGGTGCTCAGAATATTTAAAATAATGACAAAAAATTCTTTTATGTCACCATAAAGTAAAATGATAGGGTTCAACATATCGACAGCTCAATCCTTTCTATGTCGATGACACAACAGGCGGATCAACCTTAACCGTAAAATCCTTAATCATAATCCTAAGTTTAAACCCTGACCAGGAACAGTGTGAGATTGCGAATAAACTAATCATCTCCTTATAAGAGTTTGAAAAGACATATGCTTTTAGTTATATGAAATAATTTATATGTCATTGCTGTTTCTATTCACGGATAGTAAAACCTGTAGGAGAATTCAATAGATCCATACATTGTGTAAAAAGCTTTTATTATTATTGTATTTTCAATACACTATTTATTCACAATAACCGTTTTCACGTTCGACACCAATTAGCTAACAGTTACGGTTGATATATTGAAAAATTAGCCAAGCTCATCCTATTACAGACTGATTCAACCCAAATGATTGAGCCGAATAGTCTCTCAAATAGAATTATTATCCGAAAATACTTAGTATGTTAAAAGATGAGTATTATTTCTTGTTCTTAAACTACATTACAACAATTAAGAATATATCGTGTCAAGTTATATTCAAGTAAAATGAATTATAAAATTAGATAAACGACTAAAATAATTTATAGACTATCGTAATGAATAAGTTTACGTAATCTATTCAACAGGGTTAACCAACTACATCTGTTGACACAACAAGAGTTAAACGATGGGGATATAAAACCATGTATCAGATTATTTATGATATCAATCAGACAGAATACCACAATTGTTTCAAAGCTTCTTTATTTGTACGAACATAAAGTTTATCAAAATAAGATCACTGAACCATTCAACTACGCATAAAAATCTACTAAGATATATATATGCATACCTTATTTCCCAAAACGCTTGGGCCGGTGAATGTAAATTCCATAGTCTTATATTAGCTGGTTGGTGAAGACAAAGTAAAGCATCCATTGCTTCTTGTGCTAAGTCAGACATAATAGATTGTTGTATTAAAGACATTAGGCCATTCATTAAATCAAACGTTGCTTTCTGAGCATCTGAACTTGAACGTGTCTGCGGACTCTAAACATGATAAACGCCAAACGGTTATAAAGTATCGATAGGATGTTTAATATTAAGAACCACTGATGGATACACTTTTAAAGTAAAAACAAAACCAGAGCAGTCGTTTGAAGAAATTTATTACGGAGACCGTTGAATTTTTTAGTTTATATTAATAACTTATGTGACCAATTTTGAGAGGTAATTCTAGTGATTCTAGCAAGAATCCTTAACCAGCGGATTTTAACTACGTAAGGAGAGAGACAGTTACCCACTAAGGCCATTTAATAATGCTTTTACAATATTCCAGGCTGAATAAACTTGAAAATTTAAACTGATGGATCTCAAAATAGTAGTTTAAAGGTTAAGTGGGCTCCAAAAAACCTGTAGCTCCTGAGTTTATTTCTCTTCGAGATTGCAGATGAGCACGTGACAATGGTCTTAAACTAGGACCATACAGCTGCTTAGTGCTTTCTATCTTCATTGGTTATCTAACTTTAGTATTTCTCAGATGTTAGTTTCAGTAACCTTATTGTTTGTATAAGCTCATCGGTCACTGAATGTTTACTTCATCTCAGTACTGTTACATCATTCGTCAAAATTAATATATTTTCAGGATACTCACTATAAATTTATTCACAAAATATAAAGGTGGGATTACTTCTATTTCTATTTCACTAAAACGTATGTTTATGAACAATGAATTCACTTCCATTTTACTTATTGATTAAAACATCTACAGTATCCTACAGAATACAATATCAAGATACAACTTTGTATCTAGGTGGAGATCCATCTGACACATTTACAATGTTAAAAATTGCTTCTATCAGAATATTGAAAACATCAAATACTATATTTTTTGTATAACCCAATGAATATTCAATCCTGCTCTCATGATCGCTATCTAAATGCTTAAACCTTATGAAGTGGAGACAATTTCAAACTCACAATGCATTGTCTAAGTGTCGCATAATTAAAGCAATTGGCAGCTGATCTACAGTAGTAAAAATTAATGAAAATTCCTTAATCAATATTTAACGTGCAAACAACAACTGGACTGTTCATTTAACAATGCGAAAAAAATGTACTGTTAGTAAAATGAATAAACCTCTTTCAGCAATTCATTCTGAGAAGGCTAGAAATTGCGTAACATCTCTTATTTTCACTATATATTAATTTGCTGGTAATAAATTAGTCAGAGTTAATGGTAACATACGTAAATATAAACGGTAAGCATAGGTATATTAAATCAAATGTTAGCAGTGACACAACTTACATAAAGCATTAATAATGGGTTAGCATTCAGTAGACGAACCATATTTAGTAGTAAATTATATTTATTCATTAGATTATCTTCAGTTTTATCTTTGTTTTTTAAATTCATTTTGTCTCGAAATGTAAGACTCTAAAGGAAAATAATAAACAAAATAATGTATTTAAACAAGGAGTTTGTGAAGACTGTCAAAACTGAAGTTTGGTTTCATAATGGACTAATATTAGCTAGAGAATTATTGAAAAACTCGAAGAGTAGTGTGAAAAATTGATAGATATGATAGATATATATGATAGATGTACCATGAGGTTTTGAATTAATGTACCTTCAAGCAGCCTCATACTAAAACAAATAAACCGTGCAGTGCTTTTTAATTGTTAATAGCGTGTTTGCTTATGGCAGCGTGTGATGTAAACTAACCTTGAAACATATTAGCACGATACATATGTCATTAGCCGTGAAACAATAGTCTAATACGGAAACGTTAACTGGTTGTGTGATTGATCTATTGATCCAGACCTACCCACTAACCATTCATAGACTAATCACTACTGTTTCTTGAATAATAATTTATGATGACTGAATTGATGTATGCGAAAAGAGATTCCCAATTCCTCACATGTTTGCACAATATTGAAACAGTCGTGATTTACAGAGTGTACCTAAAAAGCTTTTTGTATGCTTGTTTATTTCATTTTTGATATTTATGGTTAATTCAACCTCTGTTAGTAAGTGACTTTTTTGAATTCATATCTCGTTACTACCAAGTCCCTAGAAGGATGTTTTAGATGGTGTCCAGTATGATACATTTCTCTATTTATTTAGGACCTGTATATTGTACCTAGTCTCATGTTCAATGAAACTGAAATTTATTCACCCAGTAGAAAAGTCGGGTTACGGATACTTGGTTCAAATCTCAGTGTGAATAACAACACTAGGATGCAGGAATATACAGAAGATTATTTCAAAATAGGAATTAGCGTGTGCCGTATGTATATTCAAGGAACTATGAAAAATATAGTTATGCATCATGTTTTAGGAGTAAGCATTTGTATGAATGACTACCAATGTTCAGGTACGATTAAACGAAACTTGATTTCATCATTCTATCATGCTCTAGTTAGAGAAACGGAATTCCAAAACTTCAATAAATAATCTGTGCCCCTTAGGTTGTAGTGTGGTGTAGTATATAACGATGGTTGGGCGTTGAATGTATTTCAGTAGAAGTTCGATAATGAAAGGACGGGAACGAAACACGATTGTTATGAAAATGCATGAACAATAATAGTTGGAGACGATGGACTGATATTTGCAGAAGGAACGGTGAAGATTGAGACAATTGATTAATAGTTTGCAAATTAACTATTTACTATATGGTTCTAATATTTTAGTAAGATGTTCTATAATTTTGTGCTTAAATGAATTCAATCAAGTGTAATTATGAAAAAAACTACAGAAAGAAATTTGCAGCCTATATGGGCTGTTGTTCAAATGACTTAAATATAGTCGGTCAGTTACTGGTCCTTTTTTGGCTGGGTGATTCATGACATCCCATATCACTGTAAGGTATACATGCTATATGTAACACCTCACATTACAAATGTAATAAACATTTCGCATATGTTTCTAAAATAGGGTTGAAAGAATCCGAATTATTGATTTTTAGCTTGCAAATAGTAAACAAATATCCCGTTTGTTTTTCTTACCATATAATATCATCGATAAGAAAGCTTATTATTTGTTTATGTAAGACCATGAAAACAAATAGATAGTCGACCGTGTGCACAAAATTGGGAGAATTATTTTATTCTTCTGATAGTGAAACAAAACTGAAACGTTATTCATAAATACATAAAGAATAAACCTATGTATGTGTTTGTTTGTATATTTGATTGGAATAACATCAGGTATACTAAAATAATTATAATCAATTATTTTTTGGAGAAAAAGCAACATTATGAAATAAGCAATTAATAATATGTATAAAATCACGATAAAAGATCATTATTTTTTATGCATTATAAGTAAATTAATTACAATTAACAATTATCGTAAATCAACAATAAATAAAATTATATAATGGATAATTATTATTTGATTTTGTAATGGACTGGTACTAAACGGTGAACTTCTGAGAACTAGGAACTACAAAACAGTTGTTTTGACTTACTCTAAAACTCACCAGAAGTAAATATTCACCACCCAAACAGCAATAGAGATTACAACCTTCTCACCTTGTATCCAGAATAATATTTTTATAAAGCTAAGCAAGATCCAATGGTCTTTATTTTCAGTTTTAGTCAATTCGCAAAATAAAACGATGAATATCTGTTGTTCAATTTAGACAATTACTACCAAACCTGTGTCATAATAATAAATAAATTTCTACTAGTAACCGTTATCAAAAGAATCCTCAAAGCTCTAATGAAAAGCTGTGATTAATGAAGCTCAACTATGTTCAAAATAAAGCAGATATCACTGACGGGATCCGGTGATGGTTGCTACATATTACGAATTGATCAAAAACATAAATATAAGCAACTAGATTCCGTACGGTGGTTGTGTACAAGACTGCCGCTCCTTTTGGAGTACCTATCTGGAGTCTGATCCTGCCCTGGTCTGCGCCAATCTCACCTTACTTTTCAGTGGCCGAAGGATTGACCACCACCAACGGATTGATGTTAGTAAACTGGCTGCAACTTCTGTTGCAAGTAAGTATCGAGCGGAGCTAGCCTCTAGGCTAGCTACCACCCCACCGAAAAGTATAGATGAGCATTGGTTGCTTCTTCACGACGCCATGAAAATGGCGAGTAAAGCCGCTTGCGGCTTCGCGAAACGTCCCGCTTACAAGCACTGGGTTTCTTCTGGCTCCTTACAACTGATGGAAGCCCGTCGGTCTACTCCGGGTGACCGTGAGTTTCACCACAAACGAAGGCTGTTACGTAATGAAATCGGGCAAAGCTTGCGTAAGGACCGGTAAGCCTGGTGGTCGGAGTGTGCTAATGAGATGGAAGCAGCAGCTGCATCTGGTAACTGCCGGAAGCTCTTCCAACTCATCCGAGCCACTGGCAGCAAGAAGTCTGGTGTGAGTGAAACAATCTACGAGGATGACGGGATGCCAATCACTAATATCTCTCGACGTCTTGAACGATGGGCGGAATTTTTCGAAGGGCAATTCAACTGGCCTGCTGCTCCGGTAACATCAACCAGTTTGTCCTGCCCCCCATGGCCGGTGACGACTGATCCACCAAACGAGGCGGAAGTCCTCAAGGAACTCCAACTCTTGAAACGTTATAAATCACCTGGCCCAGATGACTTACCTCCGGCTCTTTTTAAAGATGGTGGTGACTTTCTGGCTAAGGAACTGACTGCGTTGTTTGGAAAGGTTTGGGAGCAAGAAAGTGTTCCAACATCTTGGAATGAGTCAATAGTCGTCCCTATCTTTAAAAATGGTTCACGTTGTTCCTGCAATAACTACCGGGGGATAAGTCTACTTTCGATTGCGTCCAAACTATTGGCTTCTATCATTCTTCGGAGGTTGTTTAAAACCCGAGAACGATTGACTCGCGAGGAGCAGGCTGGTTTTCGTTCTGGTCGAGGATGCATTGATCACATCTTCACCCTCCACCAAATGTTAGAACACCGTCATACTTATCACAGGCCAACAATCGTAGTGTTTCTTGATATCAGGGCGGCCTTCGATTCGTTGGATAGGACTGTTCTCTGGGATTGTCTATTGAATAAGGGTGTGCCTGAGAAGTTCATTAACATCTTAAAGGCCCTGTATACGAACACCTCAGACAGAGTGAAGGCATACAACCACCTTTCTCCCTTGTTCCATTCGAGCAGTGGGGTCAGGCAGGGTTGCCCAATCTCACCATTCCTCTTCAACTTTGCCATCGATGACATCCTGGAAACAGCTCTGATGGATGTAAGTAATGGCGGTGTGGATATGTTGCCTGGAGAACGACTTCTCGACCTTGAGTATGCGGATGATATTGTCTTACTGTGCGATAATGCCCAAGGCATGCAATCAGCACTTAATCAGTTGGCAATCAGTGTCCGCAGGTACGGCATGTGCTTTGCACCCTCCAAGTGCAAGGTACTCCTACAAGACTGGCAGGATTCTCATCCTGTACTCACCCTGGATGGTGAGGAGATCGAAGTAGTTGAGAAGTTCGTGTATCTAGGTAGCTATACAAGTGCTGGTGGTGGCGTGAGTGATGAGATTGATGCACGTATAATGAAAGCCAGAGCGGCTTATGCCAATCTGGGCCATCTTTGGCGCCTTCGTGATGTTAGTCTGGCTGTAAAAGGTCGGATCTACAACGCGTCGGTGAGGGCAGTTTTGCTCTATGCTTGTGAAACCTGGACTCTCCGAGTTGAGGATATTAGACGTCTCTCTGTGTTCGATCATCGTTGTCTCCGAAGGATTGCTGACATACAGTGGCAACACCATGTTAGTAATGCAGAGGTTCGGCATCGTGTGTTCGGGCGCAGAGACGATAATTCAATTGGTGTCACCATCTTGAAACACCGACTTCGGTGGCTTGGACATGTTTTACGAATGTCGTCCCAGAGACTTCCACGTCGTGCATTATTTACCGACCCTGGGACCGGTTGGAAAAAGCGGAGAGGAGGTCAGTGTATGACATGGTGTCGTGGCATGAAAGAAAGCTGCAAAGGGCTAGCTTCTGTTGGTCCTTCACGAATCCCTGGCTGGGGTCCGAAAGATGGTGCAACACAGTGGCTAGAGACGTTATCAGATATGGCTCAGAATAGAAGCCAGTGGCGATCCTGCTGCAACCTTCTTTTACTTTCTACATAAAGAATGGTTCTAACTTTCTTAACTGAAAGAGTCTTCTGGTTGTACATTTCAGTCCGCCTTATCTTTTCATCCCTTCTCTTCCTACTTTCATTATTTTGTGTGGCGCATATGTACCTGGTGCCCTTTTGTACCAATATATATGTGTTTAAATAAATAATAAATAAAGTACAGTGGTCTGGTGGGATCATGTTAGCTGTGAGATCTGAATACCTTGGTTAAATCCCGTGTGAGATATTTGATGTCCACATTCTAAAAGTATGGAAAGTGGAAGAAATAGCTTTTGGCTATTATCCAGTTTGTAATGATTCTTCCTTTTATACAAATCCATGATGAAAATCAGCTTCCGATAGAAAATGTTTCACATTACTCATGTGTTAATAAATGATTTTACGAGTAAAAGCGTGATACAAAATAATTAAAGATCGACATTAAAAAAGTAATATATTAGTAGAGCTTTTTTTCATCTAACCTTAGAACAAATGCAGCGATATACTATTACAATCGTGAAAATATAATTAAACTGTTATAACTACTAGCATTTAAAAAAATGTAGTTTTCCCCTCAATTTAGAGCTAAATGTAGGCTGCAGTGACCCAGATTGGTTATCATTAACTAGGATAATTATATTTTCTTGAGAACTTCGCCATCCCCATGACTCTGGGTAAACTAATCTACAAATGTTGAGTACATATAAAGAGTTCTACGTTTACTACCTTTGGTGCCATATGCATATGTAACACTTTACTGTTGTGAGGTTGAAGCGGACACCTTTTGCAACGTTAAGCTCCTGTGTGAAAATAAACAGATCTGAATAAAATTGTAATACCCAACAAATTTGAGCATTATTTTGTTCATTAAATATGTCAGTGCTTCATATAAGAGTAATTCTCAATGGGAACTTCGTTTTAATCATCTAAAGCTATCTACGTGTCTTCGGTGAATACGCTACTGTTGCGCATCCCCACTTGGCAAATGAAAGAAGCTAATAAAGTGAAAATTAGGGCTTGAAATGAAATCCTCAGTTCAAACTATGCTTTTATATGGAGTATACGCTCAGTAAATGAACGGAAAAATGATAGATATTGCATATATATTGAAAATTGTGAGGTAGATGCTCTACAAATTTGGGAAGATGTAACCCACCACTCTCTTAGAAATAACAGAGAAAAGCCACAATAAATGTTACAAAAAAGCGCGCTCTCTACTGAACTATTGAACATAGCTTATGTCAAGACTTTACAACGTCTGTATAGTTTAATACTAATCTATTTCTACAATGACTCATTTAATCATAGGAACCCATTGTATCAATGATAATTTAATATTAGGATAAATAGACATCGATCTACAGTATCTGACAGTTATTACAACAATTACTTCACAATAATTGTATAGAATGAAAAACATAAGCATTTTGAGCAGATCAAATTACGACTGAAATATTAACATGTTTGACAAACAAAATTGACACAAAATAACCATCACTTTTAAAAGTTATTTTTGATTAAAATATATTTTTCAAAATCGTAAATTAAAATCTTACTTGAGTAATTCGAATTGGTGGATGATGATTTACACGATTTAATGTTTCTAAGAACATTGAACGAATTTCAGTGGATTTCGAATAAAACGGGCTAACATCAGGCCACCATGCTAGACGTGACTTAAGAACAAAAAACAAGCACAAATTGTATTTTAATAAATGATATGAAACTAAAAAGTAGTGCTAGTATCGAGACTTATGATGATTAGGTTCAATCTTGATAGGACTACTTCACTAAATCTTGTTTAGCCAATAAACTTATTTAAAAAAGGTAAGTTTTAGTTATAAGTGAAGACTAGATATGAAATGGAACATATAATCACATGTAAATAATATATATCTTAAGGAGTAAAATAAGAAATAGAAAATATACATCAATGGTTGTATGTTCTTTAATAATTCATATCAGTATTTACAGCTAGGTCACTACAGGTAATTTAAAAGTTAATAAAGAAAACTAACATAAAACTACAAAAAGTTAAACACTTTTTTTTATTTTATAGAATGTTACATTTGTGATTCATTAAGCTACAATGCCCTATATTGAACCATAATGACAGTTCAACAATGTTATCAAGTTAATGTAACCTTTAGGACTTAATAAAAACCAAAATCAATTCAAGATTTCATATTATTAAGTAGAGGATTTGTGCAGATTTTTTCAGTTTGAGATTGAGAACTTGGACAGTCAGATTTTAAAACTAATGAACCAAAATCATTTTGCTCACCATGAGGCCTAAAATTCCTGAATTTGACACCGCGTGTGGTAATGTGTGAACGCTGCTAAAAAATATCAAACTGATGCGTGTAATACATTCAATGTTAACTAATTTTAAAAACAGTTCTATGATTGATGACAATTCAGGAGAGAAATTAATATTATAATACAAGACCTAGGCAAATAAATACTGTCCAATTAGCTAGTAGCGTTATCAATAAATATTTCTTTAATATTAGCTGTTCACTGTAGCCTTATAACATATGATCCAAGGTATACAAATAACTAACTCAGTTTACATTTATCGTTCTAAATTATTGACAGTATTACTCGACGATTTCAAAGGAGACTGAATTACATTATTCTAACAGCATCTACAAATTTATACTAATAGCTCTTTCCTTTTCAGAAGCCATCATAACTTCAACCAATTCGATAAAAAAGTAGGACAGTCTACCATAAGACTAGGGATTTAAATCTTTGAATTTTTTAACTTATAACTGATTGGCAATAAAGAGCTAAAATATCATCATCATAGATGCGAATAAAAATAACAACAACAATTTAATTCGGATGCAAAAGTAAACAAACGCTGAACTTTTAAAATAGCATTAACAGAAAATATTATGCTAGGATATTTTTAAAAGTTAAACTCTGGAAGCGATAAAGGGGGAAAGATTGCAAATTGAACAAGTTTCTTTTGAAGTAAGATTTATTTGTAAAATTTAAAACTGAAACTCTTCCGAAATATATTTTTCAGAATCCGGTAGAAGCGTTATGTTTAGGAGATGGTTTTCTTAATTATTCGGGTAAAAATATGTCATTTAAATGAAATTAACCGGCGAGACGATAATTTATTAACGGCCTTGAACGAATCTTAAGTGACCTTGAGGAATATTAACCAACCAAAAAGCAGTCAGTATAGAGTAAAAAATATATTAAACAAAGCAAGAGAATTAGAGTGGATACACTTCTTTTACATGGTTTAAAAACTTCTCAAGGTTAAAAAGAGTTTTAGAGGTTCTAAAATCGTAATACATAAGATACAGGAACACATCCATATGGCTCCATAATAGTCGACTTCTAGAGCCATATTAAGGTCTCAAATACTCTTTCAGCATCGATCACATAGCTTCAATATTGTTTGTATGTACTCCGGTTGTTGGATTCACAAAATGACGCTTGGGAACAACGACAAGATATATACAACCAAGTCTGTGTATGGATTGGTACGCTCCCCAATCATCCGTATACATTGTAGTACAGCTGCACATATTCCCGTATAATAAGTATTGTCGTTGTAGCCTGTCGGTTTTAACCCGTTGGAAGTGTCCCTTTTGAGATGAACCGTAGTATATTCCAAGGTCCTGTGAGATATGATTATGGAATCGCTACTTACTCAGTCTTCTTTAACACTATGTCCTCTGCTGAATTTTCGTTTCCTGACAACTGTTTCGTCTATTTTAACGATTCTCTCAACTCTTCGAAACGACTCATGCAAGCCTGTCAATTTTCATGCACATATATCTCTACAATACTGATATGATTGAACAGCCTAAGCTTCAGTAACATCCGTAAATGTTTCATCCAGTGTTACTGATGCTTTTATTGTCCAGTTCGCAACAATTATCATAATTTGCCTGAGCCTCAATCTGGATCAAGCGAAAAGTTTCCATTCTAGCAGACTTCTTTCTCCAACATATATTATGTCGAAAGACAACATTATCATGGTAGCCTGCACAGGGCCCACAAGTCGTTTGACTACCACAATCACAAATAAAGGATCTTCTTACTAATCCCGCTTTTTGTAGCCACTTAAATGTCACGACCTCTCTAAAACCTGCTGTAAACAAATCTTACGTGAGCATCAGGTAATTAAATAGGCTCCGTGACCTTAAAATTCCTTAGACGCTTCTGATTGTCTCGTCCATAAATTATAGTCTCGCCAGTATGTTACTTTCCGAAAAATAGTTATTCAAATAAGTTTCTATGAAAGTAAACAATAAAACATGACAAAAGCCTGAAGTAAGTGAATGTAGAGAAAATCCTAGGTGCACTTAGCTGGATTTTTTAAGTAGTTTTATGACTAATATTATTAATCAAGGAGTGATTTCAATACTTATAAAAGATATTTCCGGCGTTGAAATTGAGACATAATGTAAAGTAAGACGTCTACAAATATTTTGGACAGACTTCGTTTTGTGATCTTCAACGCTGTTGACTGATATGTGTGTCCAACCAAAAATAAGTACAACAATAGAACAAAAAACAATCCATGTCTCAGGTCACCAGACAGAAGAAATAGTTCTTCTTTACTTCATATACTGCACATTATGTATGAAGCAGACAACAAAATTATAAATGTTCAGTGTTATTCAATTAGAATAGAATTCATAGTATCATCGTAGTCATGGTTATAAAGAAAGAGTGATCAAACGACATCTATTAAAAAGACTTATAGTTGGTGTTGATAAGTCACCTTCTCTATCACTCCTTTTTCTGTTGAACTAAACACAGTCAAAATAAAATGAACTCAACTCATGTCCGTGGCCTTTATTTTGTTCTAATCCTATGGTTTACTATTGTTTCGTCAGTTTACATAGTAAATTATTCTTAAGAATATGGTTGAAAGATCAACATGATTTACCACAAAACTTTGAAACATTTAAACAATATTATATAGGAAGTTTTCCCTTATGTTCGTTCTATGTTTCATCAGTGGGTTATTTACTTCTCAATATTAGTCAATCCTTACATTTATTTGTTTTAATAAATTTATTCTTGATAGTCGATAGGCAGCAAAAAAACGCAAGCGATATGTGTTACGTTTCCTGTATGTGAAATGAGTTATCACTTGTCGCATTTATTCAAACTACTTGTAAAGTACGTCAATATGTACAGATTAACATACTAGTAGAGTTCAGTTACTTTATCTCACCAGTACATTGAAGTGATTTACTGTCTACCAAATGACCTTCAAAAAGAAATTTATACAGTAATAAATGATAAATAAAAGAACACGCATGGTTTACAAACGAGCATTCAAAAGACAGGTAGCTCGATTTACAGGGATATTTGACGGTACACTTTCGAGATGCATCTTTTCCGATTCATATACGCCTTTTTAATTCTTTTTAATGGTTTGTTCGTTTGTTTTGGTTCACATCAATTTATTGTTTTCATATCCTGCTTACATATACATACATGAACTCAAAATTTTATTTAGAAGATACTAGAAAGAACCTACCTGAGTAATTATACGATAAAGTCCAGATACTAGCACAGTATGATAAATAGCCGGTGATGTTGTTTGCAAGCAAACTTTGAGGAGATTTTTATTATGTGGTGTTATACGAAAATATGCAACGAAAAATTCTGTAAGTAATGATTCTGTTTCTGCTACATTTTGATTGTTCCGCAGATATGGTTTATTTGGATTGAATAATAAATTCTACAAGATATTTTGATATTTATATAAAGATAAACAATGAAATTGAATTAATGAGAAAAATTATCGCTAACCTGATGGATTATCAAAAATTTGTTTGGTTATACTAAAGATTTTTAATAACTGTTACCAGGAAAGATTATTAGAAAAACAGCTAAATAGAAAATGCTCGTTACACATCTAATAAAACCCATACATTTTGAACTGATTAAAATAGACCGTACTTATTTTTATGACACTTATCAAAAATATTAATGAGAGATACAAGAGGATAATTTGAGAAGCTTTTATAAGCTGATTCAGAAGAGAAAATCATTTTTGTTATAGTTTGATGAGAATTTCTTCCATCTTAAATTCATTCAGTATTGTTTGTTTGAATCTTCCCATCGATTTGTTAGGACTGCAACTGGTCAGTCTCTAATTGGCATATGTGCATACTGTGCGTATTGCCTCAATATAGCCTTAATTCACAAGCATGGTAAGCAGAGATGGATAGTGGCTAGCAGTGGAATCCAGGACTAGCATTTCGTCCTATCATCAACTCTGAGATGCAGGCACATCCACCTGACGAGTCCCAAATAGGACGAAACGCGCGTCCTGGATTCCACTGCTATCCACTAGCCATCTCTTCTTCCATCTTAGTTTTAATAAAGTAACTCCTTCCACTGTATGATCGTAAGAAATTTCATATTTCTTGTTGTTCAGTTCTGGAAAAGTACATAAAGTAACTAATTAAGATTACTAAACATTTAAATTTATCCACACAGGAATATCAGACACTTGTATCAATAATGGGATCACTTCTGTAGCATAACGACTGGCAGTTTTTGAATCACCACGATTTGAATGTTGTAGGGTACAGATCAGTGCTAAGAGGCTTATAATATTTATATCTCCAATGATATCAAACAAACTGGAATGTCGTTTATACCTTGTAATATCATGTAAAACGTGAAAACTTCCTCTTCTACTAACTGACTCAAACAGATTCGGAAATATTTAATAAAAGAATATAACAGAAAATTAAATTCCTTTTATATATTCATTCTTCATTAATTTCCCAGCCACATTAGGAAGCCCATCCAATCTGTGTCTATCAAAAGTTCAAGTGAAGTAATACTATTTTATCGAAAGATAATATTGTTTAAATACTATTGTAACTTATTTGATTGTTTGCTAACACTCCTGTGGTCAACTTATGCTTTGGCTTTTTATTTTTTCAATATTACTTCAGTATTTTATAGTTGCATTTAAGTTGCAACGAATGAAGATATTGGTTACATAACAGGAGTATCATGCCAAAAATGAACAAAATAAAACATTTTTAAACCCAAGCCCATAATTCACTTCTAGATTTATTTAAATGGTCAAACGAATAAAACACGATAATAGAATGAGAATTCGTACTGATGATAGATGAATCAACAACATAAATAGTTGCTAGCTTATCCTACTCAGGAACTAATGTTAAAGTGAGCAACAAAATATCAAGAAACAAAACCTGTGCCATAATTGCCAAGATTAAATATCTAATAAAAGGATTCCGAAAACACAGCAGGATGAATGGAGATTAGGGGGGGGAGAAGAATTTCCAGTCATTAAACCAATTCTTATCATTTTTGGATTACGACATTTATAGGATACCAGTTGACTATTAGAGCCGAATCATATTTACAACATGAAATTGTGGTAACGCTTTAGACGGAGAATGTTGGAAAGTGTCAATAAAAACAACAGGAACTACAGTACGAATATGTTATCACTTGACTAAAAATTACACCTCTGTAAATTTTACAATGACTTGGAGATTTGATACTTGCTCATTCGTTGATGCAGTAAATTTTACTATAAAATATACTGCTTGTGTATATAGACGAAGCTAACAACGTAACTTCAGTCATCATCTCGATGTTAAAAAGATAGACTGTTTATTTACCCATTCATAGTTGTTTTAAGTTTTGTTCTTAAAGAAACTGGTGGGTCGTGAGACAGTGAGCCGTGGTTGTTTAATGAGCAAAGATACACATCCATCTATACTAAGTGTATCAAACACTACACACTACTGTTAACTTCCTCCCACTGTTGATTCCACTACCTTGGATTCCATACTGTGAGAGAAAACGTTTATTTTGATTCAGGTTATCGGGTTCTCAGGTGTTGGTTGAAAATTATGTGTTTGCTTACTACGTGATCTAGTCTAGTGGTCTAATTACCACTTTTTTGATCTAATGTGTCTAATCTGTTATATATTACATTGATAAAGTGGCCGGTTCGTTAGTACCGTATTGTCTTATGGTATACTGTGATGTCGCCAAGTATTTTAGCATCTCCGTTACAAGAAAAACATATACGAATTGTAAAATACATGATTCGTCTGAAAATTTTATATGAAGAAAAAATAATAATCAAAATAGTGATAGTATTTATTTAATTTTACTTGTAAATCAGCATATACTGAATGAACCAAAATAAAGAGAATATTATTTCTGTCATTTATATTGATGTAAGTTGATGCTTTGCATAAATTAACTGCAGCTAATAATGCAGCTTCCAACAAAGCTGGTTTATTTCCACTACTTCCATGACCATGAGAAGCAAGAGCTTTACGAACCTGAAATTGCGTTAGTGTTGAATTTTTTTGTAAGGGAAAGTAAATCAAAGGGTAATGGAATCAATGAGTAGTTACAATTTAAAGAAATTAATGTATGATACATAAAGTTAAAAAAAAACAACAACTGAAAAATGACACCGGATTTGGGTAGAAAAGTTTAGTGAGTATATCACAGAGATAACATATTAAATAAATATACTAATATCTTTCAGATAATAGTAGTATTTTCGAACAATAAATAAAAGTCATTACTTTAATCAATCGAATTATTATTTTTATTACAAACAGATTTATTTTTATTGTTTACTTCTAGAATGCAAGCAAACAAAAATAATGAAGTAACTAATCAAATTCATCAGTATTTTATAGCAATAATAATCGATATATATCCATCTTTAATTTCCATAAAACAATTCTTAATAATCTTTCATAGAAGTATGATTTGAGAAAGTTTTCGATTTAACATCAACAAAATAAGGGACATATTCTTTCAATATCTTTCTTCTAACCACTGCTAACTGTTACAGTACATATGGATTGTCGCTACCACCGGAACTCAGAAAGCTCATTTTTGTCCGCTTTGAGATAAGAGAAATTTGAAAATCGATTAAATAACAGACTGAATTTAACTGGACAATCTTTGGAAATCAGGGACCATTGGATAGAAGAAATGTCGTAGTTAAGAAGTTTCAGTTTGCTCAACCACGGTCAAACTTAGGACTTTTAAGTTTCACATCCAGCCTTCAGATTGCTAAGTTAATACATAATGATTTATATTCCTGACTTCAGTCAATCCATGATATCGCGTCGACAGTTATCTATTCTCACTAGTGATATATGTCTCATATCGCACGTCGTTGAACTCTAAAGGTCACTAGTATTTTGGAAATTTTTCTCAAAGTTACTCACTAGTGAGTACCAGTGAGGATATAAGATTTAGTTGTTTTAGACAAGTTGATTTCAATTTAAACAAAACGAATTATTTTCAATTGAAAGGACTGACAACTTTGCAGGGATTTTATGTACAGCTGCCTTTTTATTAATCGAGAAAATAGGTAGGCTTTCTGTTTACTCCATACAATTACATACAATTTTAAGGGATTTTCTTCATAACATATAATTCGAAATGTACAGACAGAAATATCATGGGACTTAATAGAAATGTGTCATCCCACGCTATTACGCACTTTATCAGTAAGGGAGAGGAAACCAACAAAAGGAAAAGCAAAACGTCCCAATTACATCTTGTAAAACATCTACATCTACCGGGATTTGAACATTTAGAAAGTGTCCGCATTACAGTTAACCCAGACGCAAATATGATATTATTCAAACATACAAATGTTCTGTCATATTTTTCAGCACCTCAAAATAAACACTTCCAATCGCAGGTGGATAAAAAGAAAAGACTCAAAAACTGGACGATAAGAAAATTCCAATTTTATAGGGTAAAAATCAATTTCCATCACGTACTTCATCCATAAATTGTTTCTTTTTCTGATGCTCTGGCGATAGAGGTGCTCCGTTTTCAGCATTATTAATTTCTTCAAGAATTTTTGGACAAAGTACCAAAAGCATCATTTGTAGAGGCCAAACAAGAATTTTCTTCCGCCCACTTTCAGCACAAAGTGAAGTGAACAAATCAAACAGACGTTCACAACAGTCTATTAGTGAAGAAGAAAGATATACATACGAACTTAAGGAAAAATTTAAATGGTAAAAAACAACATGATAAAAATAATCAGCAAACGCATTTAGTAGTTAGTTTTGGTAAAAAAAATTTGAACTGAATTATATTTATATATATATATATTGTTGAAAATCTTGAAGAGAGTTTGGTTAACTATCCACTACTATTCAATCGACAGTGTGAGAATTTTGCGTAGAATTCATCTTTAAAGGGGCATTAATCTGTAGGTTTGAAATGATAACCAACTTGAAGGTTTTCATACTCTGGACAAGTTGTAATTTAAGGTATGCTTCATGACGTGAATGTCAACAACATATTGACATCAGACATGAAACTCCAATGATCAAACTTTCAAGGTATCTTAGTGTTCATTGTTATGTTTCCATTCTATCCATGTGAATTATCTAGTAAAATATGCAATTCATTTTATAAGCTACATATTAGTCACTGAAACTGTGAAGACTGTAGTTAGTCGAAGCTATGTCCATTTAAAGTCAGTGAATGCTAACTTCGACCACTAAAAAGATTTTGTATACCTTTTTGATAATTACCAAGAAATGAAATTAATCTTCTTCATAATAAAGTGACATTGATGAATTTTGTTTATTTATATCCAAATTAATGTATAATCTCGTCATTAATATGCGGCTCATAATTGTATTACTAAACCGCCGTTGAATATTGCATTGTATTCATAGACATTGACTTATCTCTCAAAATTAGTAGTATGCTATTTATTAATATTCAATGACTGACAGATGAACAGACAGTATGCAGAAGAAAGTCTTTTGAAATAAAGAAAGCAGTCATAACAAGTAAAATGGAAAGGAATCAAGTCCTAGGAATATTTCCACTTTAATTATTATTGTTATTACCAGTTAACTTGCTCTGTTATACAGAGTCGATATTACTCAGTTTATTTTAATATCTGCAGTATTACTAATTTATAGAACCCACCGGCCAATTCATCAATTGGTTTCTTTTGTAGTTCATCGAATTCCTGGGGATAATTTTCTAGCCAGTTCCAAATGGCCTTCACAAAAGAAGTCGAAAGGAAACATTTTAATTACTATTGACATGAAGAACAGAAAAACAGAAACTAAATGTATGTTTATACTTAGTTTTACTTAAGGATCGGTTCTAAAATATATTAACTATTTCCACCTTCAGAAAGAATTTTATTTTCTGTTATTAACTTTACAGTTTATTGACTGGTATAAATGATTGATATGACGACATGAAAATAAACAACGTGAACATTTATTATAAAGACCCAAAGCACTTGGTTTAGCCTTTTTCAAAACTATGGTGTCATCAACAGGATTCTAAATGAGTTTCTAACTATTGTTTAGATCTCGATGTTTTACCATCTTTCTGAAATGAACAAGATACTAAGTAGACAAAAATTACTACATTTGATAAATTCACCATACGATAACTTATAGAATCAAATACCGATTATTTTATTATCTATCATAAGGTTTGGAATTTTCACTTTTCTCAAAATCCATGACATATTCCATTTGTTACCACCCCTACTACTGAAACCTTGGAGAAGTTATTTGTGTCAGTTGCACAGGTTTCCCGTGATAGATAAATTTGAATACTCAAGAGAATAGAAAATAACTCATAATCTTCTGGCTCGTTCAAAACATCAGTTATCCTGCCAAATCACAGGACTATCTGATTAAGCGTTTAAAGATCACCAAATTTGTAACTACAGAATTGACTTGTGAGCAAATACACTACTAGAAAACAGACTATAGTAGTAAAAAGTAAATTATTCTAATAATTGATTTTGTCTTGGCTCACTAACCAAGTCAAGGATATTACTCGGCTGCTTGAACATTGATAGTTGAAGCAGAATTCGAATACACGACCAGGAAGTTAAGAGTCGGCTGCTCTAAACGCTAAGAAAAAGCTTCACAGATCTTGGTCATTTTTACTGTAATTGAACCATCTACAATTCATGACTAGAAATTTGTTTACTTTTTAATCCGCTTACTTTAACACGAAACGTTTATTCAAATACTAGGACTTCATTACTTTGAAGATCACTTCAGCGGAGAGTTGAACGGAGAAACAACTGACCTCCTGAAGAGTTGATTATCATTGGATCACGAAATCAAAATTCAACTGAGATAATCACCAACATCTAACCCACGATATAATGTATTATCTAATTTCTCATTGCATGCAGAAGTTTTTATGACCTACGTTTGTCAGAGAATCGCTGAGGATAAAATTCCTATGACACATAAGTTCTAAAGAAGAAAAGTTAACTGACAATTACATAATAGAATGACGGTCCATTTTTTATAATCTGTTCGTTGCGGAGAAGAGACTGTTTGAGTTACGATTCGAAGTCATGATTTATATGCATAAAATTACATATATTAACTAGATTGCAATTCAATGACTATCCTATATATTCTCGGAATGCCGGTCTCGTAAAATCGCGTCCATATTTAACATTTTAATTGAAAAATATGATTATTTAACTCACTCTTTCCAAGTAAACAGCAAGGTGTAACCAAGTGGACTTTTTCAATGATCTGAAACGATTGCAAATTTCTTTGTATTGTGAATAAAGCAGATTATATTTTTTTAAAATAGTACCTTACCTAGTATGAGGCGTGATAATTTACGCATATCTAAATTCAAGTGTTGAATTAACTCCAGCTCATTGGCTTGATCAACATTTGATTCATCTTGTGCAGCTAAAGCAAGACTATTAAACAATACAAAAGAAACATGAAAAAATGTAAACATGAACTTGACACAAACGATTATTCGAGAATATGGTAACTTATAGAGATGTTATTTGTTGATACAAGTATTTGATTGTCAGTTACATAAACGAAATCAAGAAGACAACTAACCCTATTTTGCTTGCATAATACACCACATCGTTTACGCTTTCGGGTTACAATCTTAGTTGTAAATATATTACATACTGCCTTTTTCGATTTGTTACTACTTATTTTTGAGATTACAGTGTATGGACACAGGAATTTTATTATACTACTGTCTAATTCACAAAAATATTTATGATATACTGAAAAACTGGCTTCATACATATAGTCCTCGAAATCTTAGTGGTGCTAGTCAACACCTAACTGAGAAAATCACAGGGATATTGAATTGCAGGTTAATTAAAAACAGACACTGTGAATGATTCTTTTATATATGATGAATCTGCAACTTGACTAATAGAGAATTTAGTTTCGAAAACAATACAGTTGTGTAATTTTCAATTTACGGGCAGAACATACCCGGTAGATGTTAGTACTAAAGATCACCAAAAACTATTACTTTAAGAAAGTCGACAAAAACAACCAAACAGAAAAGTTTATAGTGTGCTTACCAATTAGGTATCCGATTGAATACAGCATTAAAGTATTGTGTACTTAAGGCGTATAGAACCTGCGATACCAGCAACAAAAGTTGATTGTACATTTTTCCATTTTCACTAGTTAAATTCATAAACTAATTCAAATTAATGCTATACATAAATTTACATTTAACACAAGGTTTCTAACTCTGAATAACTCTTGAAGTAGGTTTTTGACCAGAATAGTCTCATCTAGTCGGGAAGTATCGTGAGGTTGCTAAACAAAATAACAATTTATTTTATCTTTTTAAACATACACATGTAAGACATTTCTCCAATGTTTCCAATACAATCAAAAGTGAGTCACAAAAATTTCTTTCTGCGTCTGGTCCGTATACTTGCTATTAAAATAATTAGTAGCAATATAAACCAAACTGAACGGTACATGAACTTACCATGCTGTCAATGTTTTGAAGCATTTTTGTTAATCCAGATATAACTAGTGAAAATTTATACCTGCTCACGTTTACTAAACATTCTTTATTTCTTTCCATATTTTGTGTAGATTGAGCAGTATGTATCCCAGTGCGTATGGGAAGCTTGAAAAAAGTAACAAAATCTATTAAGAATTGTATTCATGAACTAAAACTATATCAAAAACTATTGATTATAGTTTAGGATTTTTACTTTTCTTAATGACAACATTATTAATTTTCAATAGACGAAATTAGACAATACTGAAGAGTGGCACTTGAATAATAAAGCATTATGGGGATGGATCTTGAAACTTCATAAATGCTCGCACCAACTATTTATGTGGATTAGTAATCTCATAGTTTGCATTCATTTTAATCATGTATTCATCAGAATTCGAGACTGATTACCATATAACAGTCATTCTTTGACCAACCTAACAATAATTTAATCAAATACAGGACCAGTAACATGTAAAATCGTGGATATCTAGTTTTCTTGCAAACTGACCCGATGAACGAATCAATAGAAAAGATGCTTGACAATTAACTAACGGAAAACCTGATAGAGAATGAACGGAAATACTATAAATTTGCTAATTTGATATTATTCTAAAACTATTTTTAATGGTTTGAGTGCTTTATTTTAAACTATAGGGTTACATGTTCGTACAACAGTCAGTTTATTTCGGTGTAAGCCAAACGATAATATATCTGGTTTCCATGGTGTATTTTAAAGTCCGTCACACTAGCATGCGTTATGCTATTAGGCAGCAAAGAAAACCTGACAACTTTGGAATAAATAAGATGAATATTTATATTATTCACAATTATTGACAATTTCAATAATTTGGGTGAAATTTGATGCAAGGGAAACCACATGCGACAATTATTGTTGCTGTATATTAGAGGAAGCAACCTTAAAATGAACATACTTCTACTGGTAGTAAGGATTTTATAGTCAAGTAAACGAAAAATATCGAGGGAATTTTTAGAACCTTTTACGCTGTTATCTGTATTGCTGGATTTTAAGAGACATGTCAAGTTCCTTGGAAGATCTCTGCACTACAATTAGATAAAAGATGATAGAAAATACTCTTAAAATAAACGCATTTTATTTGTTTTTAGTTATTTAATAACGGAGTCAAACTATGATCCCACTGAAAAAGAATTAAAGACAGTTTACAGCAGAACGTTTCCTTCAAAAACATCATTTACTCGAACTGTAAAAATGTACAAACAATTGGTTAACGAATATGGTGATTTATTAAAAGTAAGAGGGTCGCACCACTTTAAGTGTCAGAGGGAGATTGCGCAACGGTCAAAAATGTAAAGGAATATAAGGTGAAACCAGGTTAGTGAAAGATGATCGTCCATTTGACAAGAGTGGAAAACGTTGCGATAATGTGGGATAACTGAAAATAAAACGATTAAAGAACATTGTTGTCTTTGTTAGATAAAAATTTGTAAAATCTAAAATCATACTCAATAACGTCATTCTCATTGTGGTGACATTGATACAGAATCGACAAAGTCGAATGGATCTAGCGTTTTATGTCCTTTGGGCTGAATTTTAACAAGTGGCGGGATTTCTGCTGGCCATCTAGTAGTCCCATGATATGATAAAATTCTCATATCTAGTATTGGCCTTGGGAAAACATCATTTTTATGTACTTTTGGAGGGCCATATAGTCTTAGAATAACAGTACTTGATGGTTTAAGACGCTCAAAAGGATCAACACTGACAACTGATACACCTCCTATTTTCTAGAGATCTTTCGCAACTCTTCGTTCGACTATTCTAGTCGCATCTGTTTGAGGTTTTCCTTCAGAAACCTTACCAACAGCTGACTATGTGGATGATAATTTAGTAGTCTAGACCCGGCAATTTATAAAGGACAGCTTCGAAGTAGTATAATTCCTAATGTTTTGGAAATGGTATGAATGAATTTGTAATGGACGTCTGAGACACGATTGATGTCAGTGAACACAATACAGTGCTGTACTGCTTGATCGTGACGATATTTAATCCTAAGTATCAAGAGTGGCCGCATGATCGAACTGAGCATAAAGCAACTGTAAATAGGTCACCCTAAGAAACAATTACTAAGGCTGACAGGTTTAGTGACCATTCACTCTTCTGCTTACAAACTTCCTAAGTGAGACATCGACAACTTACTCTAATTCTACTAGATTAAAGTAAACAGGCAAGAAGAAAAAATAAACTTAAGAAGTTTCAAATTGGGAACTTTTTGGAACTTGTTATTATTGAGATATAATGAGCTGTCAATGAGCCATGTATCTTGAAGTGCCATATGTCCACTTTCTTAAAGCAGACATAAAAGTAAAAATAAAGGCAAGATTTTGCGAGATATAAACGACATTCTTCAAGGAAATTTAGTTTGAACATTTGTGATAATGCATTAAATCGCAGCCTTTTTCCCAAGCTCTGTAGTAATGTAAGGGACTTTAATTTGCACTTCCTAGGTGGGAAAAATTTCAAGCTGAACATTCTAAACATCGCATGAATTAATACCAGGTAGTCTACTTTCCCACAAATTTCCCCGGATAGTTTAATTTTTCCACAAATTACACCATTTACGACATATTTTAAAGAACGAACACTTTTTTCAGAACCAACACTGCATTTTGCATTGCTGTCCTACATTTCTCTATCGCTTTTCCTTTTTTACATGTATTAGTCATGGTGTCATACACGTGAAGTAACTTTAACTAAGGTTCGAATGTTTTGAAATTTATAAATTTTTTCTAACATAAGCGGAAAAAAGACACTCACCTGGGAATCGAATCTGGAAAGTAAAAGCTGTACCCACTCATTCGGTCGTTTGTCAGCCATTGGGCTATTCTACACACGAAAAGCTAAATAACAATCAGACCGCCCTCATAACCCATCAAACGGAGTTAATGGACTTTTGGTTATTTAAAAGAACGATCGCATTCAATAAGGTTCGGAAGTATACAAACGTTTCAATACACTAAATACCAACTAGCTACACAAGCTAAACGGCTCTGTATGTATTCGACAATTATGCTGGTAGTATTAACCTTAGTAAAGAAATCCCCAAAAACAATAGCTCTGTAAGTCTTCGACATTTGATGCTGACCACATTAGTTTTGGTGGCATTTGGTCACGCATCCTCACTGAGCTCAACTTCTTCAACAATCGCCAGCCAGTTTAGATCAGTCCCTTCTCGATGTATTGATAACCTAACAGATATATCTTCATGAAACCTCGCTTCTGACTTTTGATTTCACTAGGTGGGCACTATTCAACTATGGTAGGTGTTGCCAGTTAAAGTGCTGTCAAAATTCAAATACTTGTGACATCTTCATTGATGAGCCTGGTAGGAGATCTGGTACGCCTGTTTATAAACTGTGAGTTTGTTTCTTTTTAGAACTTTATAAAGCATTGATTTACTTTAATTTTCATGTATTGTTATATTTTTGCATTTTTATATAGTTTTCTTCCCGCCACCCTCATTCCAGCCAATGCTATTCTGGCTCGACAACATCGAAGCCTGGTCTTGATACGCGCAAACCGAGCATTGGATTGATCGATCCACGTCCTCGCAGTAATGAAAGCATTGTCTAGCGGATTCAACAAGTACGTTTCACCGAAAATGTTAACTAGTGAACTTTCTGAAACTTGTGAAAATGTAGAATAGTCCATGATCATCTTTTCATAAGGTCCGTAAAAACGACAGCAACGATTGTAGTGCGAATGGATTATCGGCGATTGAATGCGAAAGCCATTCCTAATCGTTACCCGTTGCCCCCTATTGAGAATTTGACAGCTACCTTTAGGGGTACAACTGTATTTTTTAAAAATCGACTCCCTTAAAGCATATAACCAAATTCACATTGTTACAGACGACATACTAAAAACCGGTATCATCACTCCCTTTAGACCTTACGAATATTGGCGAATGCCTTTCGGTTTTAGAAATGTTTCACGGACCGTTCAGAGTTTCATTTTAAAAGCTCCTCGAGGTCTCAACTTCGTACATGAGTATATTGATGGCTGCTTGATTGTAAGACCGGATAGTGAATCTCATCTTCTGCATCTGGACATCGCGTTCGAACGACTACAAAACCACTGCATTATTGTAAACATTAAGTAATGTCGAATAGGAACCAACTCCTTAGATTTCTTAGGACACAATGCCCCCAAATGCCCTGGTACGGCCGAGAGTGAGGAGAGTCCGCTCTCCCTCTCCAAATGCTCTCATATGGTCACGCGAATATATAGCCTCTGTCAGGGAAGTCCTAATCACTGCCTTCTCGTGGCGGCGGTGTTGTTCACAAAAGTGAGAGGACGAAATGCGAATGTCTGGCGCTTTAACCGGGTTGGTGGATGTGGAGCATTCACCTAGGGGAGTTGGAAAACCCTGACAACAAACCAATGGTGCACATGGGCTCCAGTATCCTGAAGGAACGAATGGTGTATGAACCTATTGTTGGTCACCGGCTACCATGGGACTGCATCTCCTTACAATGCTCCACTGCCTTGTGGATCAGATCTTTCGGTCATAGGCTCCGGGTGTGGCCCCCTAAGAAAACCACTTGCTTCAGTTTGGGCATCTGGGCAGTATCACAGCCCTCACACAAATCAAATGAGATTTGTGAGGCGCATATTTATCTAGTGCTTCCTTGTACCAATATTTATTTGTTTAAATAATAATAACAATAATAATAATAGGACATACTATTGATGCTCAAGACATATGACCTCTTACAGGAAAGGGGCGGCCATCCAGGATTACCCAGAACCGACCGCCACTGGGCAGTTGCGTTCATTCAACGGTCTTGTAAGTTTCAATAGACGGTTCAAACCAAAATGTGCGTTCCTTATGAAACCGCTATCCGACCAACTTCGTGGTAATGCGAAATCCATTAATCTGGACGACACTGCGCAGAATGCAGTTCCGCATTTAAGGGACTTATCGCAAAGGCAACCATGCTGGCTCATCAAGACACCAAAGCACCCATTAGTACAGCAGTAGACACATCCGACTCAGCAATCGCAGAGGTCTCGCCACAATGGGTTAACGACGCCTGGCAAAGTTTAGTAATTTTCTCGAGAACATTTCAAGGCTCTGATTCTAGGCATAACACTTTCGATAAGGAACCTCTAGTCGTTCATCATGCTGTACAGAACTTCCAATACTCTATCGAAGGACATTAATCCACTCTGTTCACTGACAATAAATCTTTAAATTCTCTATGAACTTGTCTTTCGACAAGTACTCACCTCGTCAGTCTCAACAACTGGGCTATATTTCGGAGTTTACTTCAGATATACAACACATTTTTGGAGCAAAATTTATAGTTGCAGACGTCTTTTCGCGTATAATTTCCTTGATTAGTTTCCAAGTAATCGACCTCCTTAAACTCACTCAGCTGCAAAACAAGATACTGATCTCCAGAACAGTCATGTTCGACAACTCTGAAATTACCGGTCAAACGGATTGGAAAAGGTGAAAAAACTTTACTATACGAAATTAAACAATTAGGGATCATTCAATAGTACCGAAACATCATCAACGCAACGTCTTCAATAGATTGTAAAAGCTTTCTCATCCAGGTATTAAGGGGAACATCAAGCCCATAAAAGAACGATTTCGCTGGCCTGGTATGAATAAATATGTGAGGGAATGGGCACGCTTCTGTGTAAGCTGCCAGAAATTTAAGGTGATTATACACAGCAAATAAGCCCTCCGTTTTTTTCAAAACTCCCAATGCTCGTTCATCTTGTTTAAGTAAGACTGTTACCGCATCTAAACTGGTATTCTTACCCCACAACGTAAGTAAACCGTTCCACAAAACGGTCTGAAGCATTATCTGTCAAGGGCATCACTACTGAAACAGAGGCTCTTATCTTCGCCAGTTCGAATTCTTACTCTTCCGTGTTCAACATACTCTACGACAAAGTGCAAACGTCTTTGTATATCGTGATTAATTACAACGACGTCTCGAAATGTCTTACGAAGGACTTTTCAAAGTCCTTCATCTGCAACCCGAATACTATGTCACTGACTAAAACGGAACTAACAATAACGTCACGATTGACCACATTAAAGCCACGTATGTGGAAGGGAATCCCAATAATTTTCATTTTTCTTCCATGATTGTATATCACCAACGTAGATGGTCTATTTCGTATAACTGGGAGGCTACTCCAGTAAAGCGGGAATGATGAGACCAACAGATAACATCGAAGTCACAACTTGCTGTCAGCAGCAAACATGGATTACTATGATAATTAGAAGTATTTGAATTGTAGTATGAACTTGTAATCCCAGGAATAACGCAATTTATTCAAGAAGTATCAGATGAACTCGAACGAATGTATTGTATTTGGAATTCAAAATTACAAGTCATCAATACTAAGAAGTCATTGATTTATTTAAACATCACATCCGCCACAGCTCGAATTGAATTGTAGGTGTATCTGTCCGATGGTGTATTGAATGTACACTCTGTATTATCTAGAATGCACTCATTAGTATTAGAATTAACAACGGAAATTGGAACAGACTCACCTGGGTTCTAGAATTGCATACAATCAGCATGTCGGTTGTGTAGTGAAACTACTGATATTTAGAATTTGCATCATATACTTTTCAACAATATCCTCCCCCACGAAATAATGTTGGGTCCTTGATTCGCAATGTTTTAGCCAATATGACGTTCCCAATTCTCATTATCTCAAATCTTACGCACCGACTACTGTATGTAAGTATTTGGGAATAAACACTGATATATAATTTGAGGTATTCCATCATGTGACTTTGACTTGAATAAAAATCATGATACATATTCTTTTTGTTATTCATATTAGAATACACAGATGGATATACATTGATATATGTAATTAACACACGTGATTCAATTAGGCTTGATTTACCTGAGAAACAATCGGATAGAAAACATTCATCTGCCTCATATTCATTAGGATAATCTTGGACTTGATTTGGATTCTCTGTCTGTGCAAGCTTCACTTCTGGGCAAGCTGGTTCTCTGGTTGCTTCGGAAAATTTTGCTATCCCCTCTGTATCATTATACCCCTGACTAGGGATTCTATTCAACATGCATTGTTCGTGAGAGTATCCAACATATGACACAATAACATCAGAAATATGACTAGAATTCAACTCATAAGAAACATATTTTTCACATTCATGAGGAATATCATTAGAGATAAATTCATTATGAGGACCACTGACACTTGATATGATATCAGAATTCGATTCTTCTGAAATATTTTCCTCAAATTGATTAAGAGTTTCATTAGGTAATGGATCATCAGGGAATTCAACATCTACCATGACTGAATTTGGTTTTTGATCATGATTTGACTTATTTAACATTCTATTCTCAGAGTTGTAAGAAATTACATCAGAAGTATGTGAATTATTACGACAAACCATATCTGGCACAATAACATGAGAAATCTGATAAGTTGATTGGTTGAGAATTTTCGCCTCCCAATGACTCTGGGTTTCATTCAACTCTGGACTGTTATATAACGTTATACCTCTTCTAGATAAAGATAACTGATCATTAGAAGCATCCATCTTAGCATTACTTTCAGCGAAATGAACCATGGTATTACAAACTGACTGAATATGTCCAGTTATACCACATTTAAAGCATTTAGAAGTACGAAATATACATGAATTACATGGGTGAAACTTGCCGCAGAACATGCATTTACTAAACTTGTGCTCATCATCATGGACTGTTTCACAACTCAATGAAGTATTATCTGAATAAATTTGATTACGCATCGAACTACGACGACTGTTTGAATAAGTGGAATTCCTGATGTTCTGACGAGTCATTTTATCGGATTTTCCTTTCTTACCGCATTCGGAATTTGTATACTTTACATGATCCAACAGAAGTTGCTTGAGAGTTGCATAGGGGAGTGAAATCGGTTTGTCTGGAAGTGCCAAAATCTTTATAAGGCTGTATGCTTCATTCCCGATGAATGTAAGGAAATGGGCCACAATATTAAAATCCTCATCATCTTCCTTGGTCATAGCCCAGATTTCGAACCTTTCCATGTACTCCTCAAAAGCATTAAAATCTGAATTTATATTTAACCGTTCCATCACAGGCTCAATCGCGACGCCAATATGATAATTAGAAGTATTTGAATTGTAGTATGAACTTGTAATCCCAGGAATAACGCAATTTATTCAAGAAGTATCAGATGAACTCGAACGAATGTATTGTATTTGGAATTCAAAATTACAAGTCATCAATACTAAGAAGTCATTGATTTATTTAAACATCACAATTACCCTTTCGGAGAATCCAGGTACTGTGACCGCTTTGATGATCGTATTACACGAAGGATGTTGTTACAGAAATGTCAGTTAGATTAGGTGAGAGTAAAGCACAACCATAGCAACATGGGTCAGTCCATATTGTACGATTATTTGATGCGTAATGGTTGTCCTTGACCTTGTCGGAGATTGGTGAACTGTTCAATATTTTGTGACCCAACTGTCGAAAGTCATCATCCAGAAGATACAAGTGTTTATTAACAATCGTCAACGAAAAATATATCGGATCCGTTGGTCGGAAAATATCAGCAACATTCTACTGTTGAAGAGAACAAACCAGATTTCAGAGGAGGAAAAAATCAGGAAGAAGCTCTGGAAGTGGATAGGACATACACTGAGGAAAGCACTAAACTGAGTCACAAGGCAAGCCCTTACTTGGGATCTTGAAGGCCAAAGGAGAGGCGGAAGACCAAAAACACATTACGCTGAGAAATGGAGATTGACATGAGAAGAATGAACGAAAGTTGGATAGAACTAGAAAGGAGGGCTCAGGATAGAGTGGACTGGCGAATGCTGCTCGTCAGTGACATTTCACTGTCTCTACACATTCCAATAACACGAGCCCACAATTATGATACCTTCTCTGATAATTAACGGTCACGATGAAACTTCGCTAGTATCCGAAAACCGGACCAAAATCAACGCGCTTTGGAAGAACGGTAAGGTTTCCAGAACACTTCAACGACTGCTGGGCATAGGAAACTGCGTAAGATTTTGTTTTACCTAGTTTGCTCGCATTGATATATCAAGTGAAAAAACATGTTTTTTGTCTTGCACGCTGGTATATTTGTACATTTTTTTCTAAAAATTCAAAGAAAAACTATTGTGCAAAAGTGTTTTATTACGCTACTAGCTTAGGCAGTTGTCTGAGCTCAAGGGCAAACATCAAGGTTTGTGGTGAACTAGGTGCCTTAGCAGCTGTCGTCGTTACATCTTAGTGTCATGGTAAGTCGTTGTAGTTTAGGTATAAATTTTTGAGTTGTTTGATCTCGAAAGATGATATACTACTCATCAGAATGAACAAGTAGAATAAAACCGTATCCAACATCTAGACTGTGGTTGAAAAAATCATCCCGAGTTCGTGGAAATTTTGAAGAAGTCTTACTTGAGACCTGTTATAGGCTCTTATGAAATGCGATTGAAAACTTGTATGTTTACTACTCCGGATTTTATCCCTCAAATTGACATTTTAGAAAAGTCCCTACGGGTGAAAATAGGACTTTTACAAAGTAAAACTCAGGATTTCCACTGCTTTTGTAAAGATTCCCAAGTTGTTCTGTTAAATCACTATTAATTGAGGGGGGCATATTAAACATACAAGGCAAATACTCCATATTTTCAGTGATATTGGGGTAGTCTCCGAAAGTTCATAAGGAAACTCCCCTTCCTAAGTCCCTGAAATCTAGATCATAATGACGTCTTTTTCCCCCATTTGTGCCTTTATAAGGCTGGTCGTCTAGTAGCTCTTCAAGGAGCTGACTTTCGCTTATATCACACCACGTCATGTATACCTGATATTACAAATTACATCATAATAGGCAACCATGTAGACGGTTCTGACCAGATGGCATATTATCTCTATATAAGAAACAATAGTTAACGTTTATCTATGTCATTAAAGTAGTCTTTCAGTCAACACCAGAAGTACCAGACATTTTATTTTTGTAAGGCTGTACCAAAGAGTATTGTATCATAAATGTCGATAGACCTAAATAAATCGGGCACATGCAAAACATTTTACGTAAACCCCCCTTACGTTGTATTATCAAAATAAGTTAGAATAATTTTGGCGTCACTTCTAACTTAGGTCGAAAGCACTCTGGAAAGGAAGAAAATATTGGTCAGTGATACCACGAAATTATCAATATTTATATTTCTTTAGTTATAAGTATCTGAAAGAATACGCTAGTCAATGGAATAAGTGAAAAGTAAAGGAAAATACTTCATATGTTAATAAATGTTATAAAGCCTCATCCTCAGACTTTGTTGACGGGATACATGTAGCAAGGGTGCATACGGACACTAAAAAATATTGTTTTCTAAGATAGATTGTACGGAACAGTATATGCAACATAAGCAACTTGCTGTAAATCCAATTAGTAATTTGGAAGCCTGGTAAAAATCAAGTGCATATTAATTTACAAATTTTACGTAGATCTACGAACTATAAATATTAACATGAAAGTATTTAGCATATAAAAATACAATAAACCGTCTTGATTGGTTTACACTTACGGTTTCCTTCGATCTTAGCCCACGCTTATATACTTTATCTATCACTTCGTGTGTTAAGCTCTAGCTAGCGAAATGTTTAACCTGTCAGATGTCTCAGACAAGAAACAACTTTGAAATCTAGAACATAAAACGCCTGACCAATAGTGTTTGCTGTGATTATGACTTACTGTAAATCTCTGGGGAAAAATCTGTTATCATTAATACCCAACTTACTTTCTGTCCCGTAGAAAGTATGAATAGTTTCAAGTTCTGGTGGCATTACGTAGGCAAAAGTTTTTTTTTGCTGACTTACAAAAATCATTTTCAGTGAGTACCGACAATTTTGTTACATTATTTGCAAAAAACATTTTCAACTCACAAACTGATTGGGGAGTTTTGATCATTTAGGGCAGTTTCTATCGTACTTAGTTTTTCTGATGTCTGAAGTGGGACTTCCGAAGCAAGTGATCCATGCTAAATGTGTTTTTTTGAATTTTGATGGGTGAGTTTCAATGTAAGCGGTCAACTTATTTATCTGATTAGATAAATCACTGATGATTGATATTATTATATCAGTGGTGGTATGACAATCCTGACACTTGTAGGCACAAAAATAAGTCTCAATACAATTTACTCGGTTACCAGATTCTGTGATGTACATCCTATCGACGATATCAAAATATCAGTTTTGGTATAACTGACTTGTAAGAATACACCAAATAAATGCTTTGTGACTGGTGAAAAGTGACGTATATGACCCAAACGGCGATTCAGAGAACAAATCCAAGCTCTTTTTGTCGATCATCAATAATGGACTTTAAACTATTTTCATTGCAGTCTATGCCCTCGATCTCATAGCACTTTTCATATCCTATCAAGAATTATCCAAGTTTCTACCCACAATTCGTAAACACAGTGTGTGTCTTAATGCGAGACAAGTAAATTAATAGCGACAAGAGATAAAAATTGTTTATAAAGTCCTGATGGTAATCGAACTACAGGTCCTAAGTATAATGAAAATAGTCGGCTTTCCGTTGCCTCTCAGATAGTGACTACATCCATAGAACGCCTTTTCTGTTGGAAAACAAAAGCAGTATGCTGGCTACACAAAATTCCTTGAATTATAGATACTAAAGTAAAAGTAACCATTTGTTTCAGTCACATGACAGCTTAAGCGTATTGACAAAACACGGATGACTGAATCGATCGTTGCTGGTTTGTTTAAATTTCCTCCAGTATTAATATCTCCGTGCTAGCAGTTCAAGGGGGTGACGATGTATGACTTGAGGTTGCTTAAAAATTCTAGGGACGGTTTGTGGGATAGACTGACTGACAGCACAAGATTATGTTCAGTAAGAGTTCCAGTAAGCGCTTATATTAAATTAAGGATACATTTCTCAGTCTACTTACCATATATTCTCCTTTGTAGCTATCACATCCAAACGATCAAAGTTTCGGTGCTTGTCGTCCACGACGTTTCAGTTCGATATGACATAAAATTAAAGCATGGTATAGCTTGATCACTTTCCCTAAAAAAAACAGGATTAGAAGGTTATTTTATCAACTAGAGGTTTTTCATGTCTCAATTCTTATCACAAGCTAGTGTGGGTGCAATCATTGTTATTTTCCCGTTTTAAAGATAGCATTCTTTCCTACTTCCAATTCACTTTTCGCTTTTTCCCCCTAGCGTTTTCCTTCCTGTGCCTGTGAGGTTTGAAAAGTAAAAAATATGTTTGCGCCATGTCATTAATTTACCCGAATCACCTAGTCCACTAATCTGAAGTGATTTTATTTGACTTTCAAATAGATTTCGAATACAACTGTATTTGTGTCTATTTAGACAGTCAGTTCATTTTTGAATCTTTTCATCTTGTTACCTTTTTTTCATTTCAGGGAAATAAGTTAAAATCATATATCTCACTTGGATTTATATTGTTTATTGTTAAAGTCATTTTGATAGCACTATTACATATCACATTTTCAGTCGCTTCAGAGGAATATGATGAGATGGTAATTATGTATTCATTAACTGAAACTTTTCAGGCGTATGCTGTCCCTACAGAAAATATTGATATTGATCTGTTTCTGAAATCACATTCATCATATAATAAATACACTACTTCCCAAAAGAATTTGAACGCAACTGTTTTAGCATATGTAACACCTGTAAGTGACATTATTCTGTATCGACATCCAGATATATAGTGGAATAAATTAGGATATGAAGTAGCAAAAATATTTGGTGGTAAATTCAACCTTATTGCCCCTGTGTGGTTTGAAGTCCAAGGTGAAAAAAAAGCATATACAGTTACTGGGATCCCTGAAATTAACACTGGTTTGATTGACACCTTTTCCAGATTATTATATTTTCTCAGCATGGCTTGGTGAAATTCGCACTGTAAATCCCGGTGTAAAGATAGTACCTCGGTTTTCCTTCAGTCCATGGGAAAACCGAGATTTTGCCGCAACATTAAAAGATGTTTCTAAAACAGATAAATGTATTCAAAATGTGATCAATATTTTAAAGGTTAGTTTTTGCTCATTATTGGTTGATTCCTTTTTTCCCTGGAAGATGTGCTTGGCTTGTTCTGTTGTCAGAATGTAGTGTACAATATTTTATTTTCATAATAGTGGAAGAATTTTTGTTAATGAATGAAGTTCCCATCAGCATTCATATGTCATCAGATAGCATGTGATCCCATGACCTATTGAAATGCAGTATTCGCCTTGTGAATCATTAATGAGTGCTGCACATGACCGAGTTTGGTGACCATAGAAAATGCTAGTTTCTTATTGACAATTACAATTAAGTAAAGGGTAGTGGGGCATGTCAGAAGCAGCTCACTATGAGTAATAGTAATGTCCATTTATCCCTTCGTCTTGTGATTATTCTCGTAACTTATCCTTTTTGTGAGACAACCTCAGTTACATTATCAATTACATGTTCTTCATTACACTGTGGTTATTCCGTTGGCATTTTTAACACTAATATTTGTATGCATTTGATTGAGTGTTAAATTTTCGCTTGGTCAGAATGGTGATGACAAATAGGATATGTTCCTCTACTTTTATATATATCGTTAAGGTCAGTCCACTTTATGTATATAACAATTATCGGAGTATGTTTGCCACCAGTTCTTTTATTTACTATTTATTTAAACACATAAATATTGGTACAAGGAAGCACCAGATAAATATGCGCCTCACAAATCTCATTTGATTTGTGTGAGGGCTGTGATACTGCCCAGATGCCCAAACTGAAGCAGGTGGTTTTCTTAGGGGGCCACACCCGGAGCCTTTGACCGAAAGATCTGATCCACAAGGCAGTGGAGCATTGTAAGGAGATGCAGTCCCATGGTAGCCGGTGACCAACAATAGGTTCATACACCATTCGTTCCTTCAGGATACTGGAGCCCATGTGCACCATTGGTTTGTTGTCAGGGTTTTCCAACTCCCCTAGGTAAATGCTCCACATCCACCAACCCGGTTAAAGCGCCAGACATTCGCATTTCGTCCTCTCACTTTTGTGAACAACACCGCCGCCACGAGAAGGCAGTGATTAGGACTTCCCTGACAGAGGCTATATATTCGCGTGACCATATGAGAGCATTTGGAGAGGGAGAGCGGACTCTCCTCACTCTCGGCCGTACCAGGGCATTTGGGGGCCACCAGTTGAGCAAAAGATGATTACTTTTAAACCGGAAATAGCACCCATGGAATGTGGTACGATTATTCCACAATGAAAATATTATGATAACGTTTATTGAAAATTCGAATGAGGTGTTATCAATTACGTAATTCCATACTGGATGTGATTTGCTGTGTGACTTGAGAATTTTTAGCACCGCATTTGAAAGTATGATGCGCGTTCTTTTCTTTTGGCTCACCAAATTGTCACCTGCATTTCTCGTCGATTGAGTCAGCCCTGTTGAGTGCGTTGGCCAAATCTATAGGGTAAGGAAGGTTTTTCGTCGATGTGGTTATCTAGGTTATCTAGGGCTTACCAGTTTGTAGAGGTTATTCTCAACTTTTGACTCTGAAATCTGATGACCCGTTAACTGTATATTTCTTAGCAGGCTAATTCTCTTTGTATCGCTATTGAATTCATTTAGTAATATTCAGACGCTGAAACACCAGTTATATTTGAAAAGCGTGTGTTGTTAATATCTAATTAAATTCACAAGCACACTGGGTAATGAGTGAGGAATGTATCTGTTTTTTATGAGTGCCAGTCAATACATGACTAAAGTTACTGTTTGTCTATGTTTGCCACCATTGGGAGAATAGATAAGGATTAGGATTCAGACATGCTTTTAATCAAACTGACACATTCTTGTACATAGTTGATCATATGTCTGATATATAGTAAGTAGGTAATTGAAATACAGCAGCTTTTTCTTGGCCTCTCTTGTGACCTGGAAAAATCGGTCATACGAATGAGTTGGTGAAGAGCTACTACGGCTGTTGTTGGACGAAGCAAATAGTAATTATCGCTTAAAACTGAATCTACAGGAGCAGGTTAGTTTATTTCAGGTCATAGATACGCTGTCCACTTTTCCAATCTTTGTTTAGGGCTTAAATACTGCCACTCATTCACAATAGATCACTGGAATCTTAAATTTAGGTTCTCCAAATACCGAACATATTAGCAGCGTAGTTTTACAGTATCTTAGATTTGCTTGCTGTTTTATTTTTATTGTGATGCAAAGGTTGGACCTGGAAATTTTAAATTTCACCATCAACATAAAATTTGGGACACAACCACGTAATTGCCTGGTTTTCAAGATGAAAATAATTTTAATTTTTACCTCTCTAGGATAGATGTTTTCACACGGCTTTGTCGGTAATAATATGAACTCGTCAAGCAATTTTGTGCTCTAATTGAAAAAGTCTGGTTTCGATTAACCTGTGGTGAATCATCTAATGAATACGTTGTAGACTCATCTGGATATATTGTACCAGAAGTCTAGGACTCTACCTAAAACCGAGGAATTCTCATGAAGCTCTGAATGAGATGCTATGACTGAGCTTGAATTGGGATTTTGTTCATAAGTGTCTATCTACTTTGTTTTATCATTGCTCGTAACCACTGCACTGTCTCATCTATAATACATTCTTTGTAAATTTCGTTTGATTTTGAGCTTAATGGTAAGTGGTCTACAAATGTTGATTCACTTTAAAGCGTTTTAGTAACTTCTGTTTTTCCTTACGTCAACTGATCTCATGATGAATTCCACTCATCCAGTGGAACTGACATTCCAACAATGTTTTTATTCCCATTGCCACTTTGATGGGGAAGTATTTTATGATTTATAACAAATGACCTTTGGGGATTGATGAAGTGGGTTCATATAATACTTGTCAAAGATGCAATCATACAATATGGCTGATGGATAACTGCTCACGAAACTGAATCATTCACTTAAAACTCCGACCAAACTGATCAAAATCACTAGCTGGCAGAATAGATCTTTTATTTAATAAAATAACACGCTTACATATTGAATATAAAAGAAATAAAAAAGAACCTGAAATTTGTCGGAAAATAAATCGTTGGGAGATACAGATTATGTACGTCATTCTAATAAAGTTAAGACCTGACTTTCAGGCTTAATTCTTATCCAATTTATCAAACTCAACTGTATGAATCTTCTGTTTCTGTGGATTCTGTTTAACAGAGAACATAAATAAAGCACTGAGATGATTAGATGATCTTGGAAAATCGAAGCTAGCAAGCTAATTTTGGTGGATTCTCAATACTCAGAAGTTTTCAGTTTACTAACTTTATAGTATTTGCATTATTATTTTGAACATGACTAGCTTAATTTTTTGCTATCTAATTAAGATATTAAAAGAATTCAGATTGATATAAAACAAATCATAGATACTAGGCTAAAGAGATGATTTGTAATCATTTCTTGTTTTAAAGTCTAAAAGCAGTTTTTTTAAGCATGATAGCTTCAAGTAACTATTTACTTCTAATCCCAAATCCATTACCGGTTGTCACCCACGATTTCACTTACTTTCCAATTCATGGTTCATATTTTCTAGTCAATTTATGGCAACTATTCACTATCATCTCTAATCATCCACCTCACCTCTATTTTTACTTAAATGCCATATTTTCAGATAACCTTTTAACTCTTCACTCTTTAAACGAATCGTTTTTGAGGAATATCCCTTCTTCTGTTCCTAATTTTTCCTCCCTAGAAATATAATTTTGATGGCGCAGTCATAGAAATGTGGGCACAGTTCTCCGGCGTAGAATTGCAATCACTAATAGATTTTACAGTACGACTTTCTGACAATTTACATTCAAACGGCAAGCTTTTTGTACTCGTTATTCCACCTCCTGTTTACTATGAGTAAGACATTTTATTTTTGCAAATACATACATTAACCTAATTAATTTGGAATTGTTAGAGGCATAGAAGGAAGATTTAAAGAAGAGGATTTTAAATTATTGGCCGATTATGTTGATTATTTTAGCTTAATGACATACGACTATTCTTCACCTCATAGGTGAGTTTATTCAAAAAGTAAATTCGTATATTTTTTATCTTCTAAAGTCTGTTGAAGTATAATTAGTTATTCCTAATTTTGAAGTTTTTTTCTTCCTGGAAAATGAATCTTGGTAGGTTTCATATGAAATTTAACATTCCGAAAAAAATAAAAAGGTTAAAGGTATTTCTAATCACTAATGTTTTCGAAGCATCGCTTTTGTACAATTACTATGGGTTTCATGAGTTTACTGCACAGCAGTTCGTTCCGTCCTACTCTATGGCAGTGCAACATGGCCGATAAGAGTAGAGCATATTCGTAGGCTACTAGTTTTCGCTCACTTATTTATTATTTATTTAAACTCATAAATATTGGTACAAGGAAGCACCCTTATAAATATGCGCCTCACAAATCTCATTTGATTTGTGTGAGGGCTGTGATACTGCCCAGATGCCCAAACTGAAGCAGGTGGTTTTCTTAGGGGGCCACACCCGGAGCCTTTGACCGAAAGATCTGATCTACAAGGCAGTGGAGCATTGTAAGGAGATGCAGTCCCATGGTAGCCGGTGACCAACAATAGGTTCATACACCATTCGTTCCTTCAGGATACTGGAGCCCATGTGCACCATTGGTTTGTTGTCAGGGTTTTCCAACTCCCCTAGGTGAATGCTCCACATCCACCAACCCGGTTAAAGCGCCAGACATTCGCATTTCGTCCTCTCACTTTTGTGAACAACACCGCCGCCACGAGAAGGCAGTGATTAGGACTTCCCTGACAGAGGCTATATATTCGCGTGACCATATGAGAGCATTTGGAGAGGGAGAGCGGACTCTCCTCACTCTCGGCCGTACCAGGGCATTTGGGGGCACCGGGTAAGTAATGCAGTTGTTAGGAAACGGGCATTAGGCAAGGATGGCAAATCGATTGATGAAGTAATGAAACTTCATCAGTTGAGATGGCTGGGACACATGTTACGTATGCCCAGCCGTCGACTTCCCCGACGTGCAATGTTTTATTGTATAGGAGTAGTTTGGAAGAAAGCTAGGGGGCGGCGAGACCAAAACGTGGCACAAATCCATGAAGTCACTGACAAGTGGACTGAGTCATGCTGGTAGGTGTAGACTACCTGGTTGGGATCCGCGAGGTCGTAGCGATCGATGATTAGAGACCTTGAATGGCATGGCTTGAAATCGTTTGCAATGGCGAAGGTGCGTCCACTCTTTGTGTTCTCCCAAATTCTAATCTTCTGGATTCTTCATGTGTTTTTTTCTGGTTCCAAACATATTTCACTGGATTACACTTCTTTAAAAATATCTTCAAACCCTAATCCTTCGAATTACTGCTTATACTCTAACTACTTCTACAACTATGGGATTTGAATCGACAACTGCATCTGTGTGTTAATGTGGTATGGCAACTCGAACTGATGTACGTACATACGAAGTTCTACTTTATGACTAATTGACTGACTTATGGAACGTCGCCTCACCAACATGTATGACAAGGAATTCATATCACCACAAAAGAAACAAAAAAATTGAGCATGTATTTCTCCTTTCTCCATATGAATAAATTCTAACAACTTAAGTATGAATAAATATCGATCCGGTTTAGCAACTCTTCAACTGATAACGACTGCAGTTTTTCGAAAAATTATTTAAATACTTCTAGATTTATCAGGTTGCTATAACTTGTGGCCGAGTGGATACCCTAATAATACCGCCAATTAGCGAGCAGCAAATTATCGATTGGAACAGTGACACACGAAACCTGTACGAGCAGTCTAGAGTACTTATTGGTCCTGCTTCTGCCTAGTCCAGCCAGTTAAGTCCAGAACAGCCTCTGTGTTATGAATCATTACATTTCAAACATACTGAGTTTATATACCAATCAAACTGACCGCATCGTACCATAAAATAGGACATAACATGTGTACAAGATTTAGCCAAACGTGGCTGTGAATGTGGGAAGCAGTAATTAATAGACTAGGGATAACTCAAGAATTGTAAATTGTATAATAATAGTCTATAGGTCAAAATAAAGCTTAGAATAAGGGAAACATGAATATGAAGTCTAGTTACTTAGCAATTTTACGATAAAAATATATGCACAGTATTAGTTCATAAATAGATCCCAAAGTTACCATTCATTATCCTTATCGGGACATAACACAAGCATAATTTTATGACTGACCCACGGAAATAATGCTTGTCTTCTTAAACTTATCCCGTCGATCTCGCTTGTAATTTGGGCTTCAAAATCGAGCATTTCAATCATTCATCAATCGTTAATCACTGGTACATGCTTCAGTAATCTGAAACTTAATTCTGTTTTTTATTGGTTAGTGTCGAGTTACCCAACCTCCAAAACGTATATAGGTCTTCCAAGTAAGTAATTGACCCAATACCGAGCAACCTCCATTTTTACTTGTGTCCTTACTTCTTTCTTTCGGGTAAACACATGCCCGTATATCCTATCGATTCTTTACAAATGCAATGTCTTTTCAGTCATTGACATTTTGCCATCAATAGGGCAACTTCTATAAAAACACAAAAATCTCATAGTTTGTGTTATCATTTACTTGGAAAATGAATAACTTTCCAGTATCCGTCATTATATGAGTCAGAAGTTTCAAATGAAATCATTGATATAATGTCCTTATAATGCAGCATCACTGTTTTTTCAGTCTAATCAAAGTAGCCGATGTGTTGATACCATCTGACTATTCTTTTCGCTCAGTTGATATATATATATATATATATATATATATATATATATATATAACGTGTATAATAATTTTGTTTCACTTCTTGTTAGCAAGTTGTACGTTTAATAATAATTTTTAAACTCTAGTGTACACGACTATATTTTTATTGTATAATTATTATTGCGCTTTTCTCTGGAACCATATAACAGGCCTGGGCCTAATAGTCCTTTGCGTTGGGTAGAAGAATGCATTAATCGTTTGGTTCCAAAGAATTCTTTAAACCAAGCAAAATTGCGTAGACAAATTTTGGTTGGTTTAAACTTTTATGGAATGGATTACTTACCTAAAAAATTAACTGGTGAACCTATTAGAGGCAATGAGTAAGTGTTTTATTTTCCTCTGAGGCATTTCCTTTTCGCTTCATTTTGTTGAAATTTTTTTATTGATTTTATTGCTATCCAGGAATGTTTGTCTTATACAAAGCGCATAATATATATATATATATATATATATATATATATATAACCTTGTTGTTTTCCATATCATATTCATCAATGGAACTGCGGTTCGTTGGTCTAAGCGCTTTACTTCTAACTATTTAATTTAAAGATTCGATCCTTAACCTATCCACTCTGACTCAATAAATTGAACCAACCAACCGTTACGTATTATGAGTATTTTAAAGTCTCGTGCGTCGACTGTGGATTTATTTTGAAGAGAGCGTAAACATGGATTTAAGCAGAATAATATAAATTCATTTTATTTAGCTAGGTTTTTATCAGCTACCTACAAAGCACAAATTATACACAGTAGTTAGCGTACTTATGGAAGTGAACTGTGAATTTTTCATTTCTCTCGGTGTGTTTTAATAGTGCCTAGTGTCCTTTGGACAGAATTATTAACTTCAGTGTCGGTCAGTGTTATGCTTGAAACTAAATCAGTCAGCTACAATGTAGGACCAGGCACACATATGCATCAGTCCAAGTTTGATGATATTGGCCTCCTTAATAGTTGGTATCGTTAACTAATACATAACATCAGCCGTACTGAAGTTAGTAATTCTTTCCAAAGAATACTAGGTACCATTAAAACACACCGAGAGAAATGATACATTCACGGTTAACCTCCATAGGTACGTTAATTACTGTGTATAATTTTTGTTTTAAAACATTCTAGGTTGTAGGTAACTGATTACAACCTAGCTAAATAAAATGAATTTGTGTCGTTCTACTTAGATCCTTGTTTTTGCTTTCGTCAAGTTAATAGGGAGAACTTTCAAATCTCGATTTACTGCTCAGTCTTATCAGTAGTTTGATACATATTTATTATTCTATCTACTAATTTGACGATAGCTAACCAAATAATTATCAGCATATTATACTTTTCTTAGTAGCTCGGTTAAAGTTTATCGTTAAGATGTTTTCAATCTAGGTTTAGCATATTTTTTAACACTTATCATCTAGACTTTTAGACTAAAAAAATGTATACGATCTATAATATGAGTTCCAATGATAACTAAAAGTAATCCATTCTAATTAAACACGGGCTATTGGGCTTTGCTTCAAACATGTTTACACGTAAGGATTGGTGACAATACCTAACTACCCGAACCAAATTAGATATCACAATCCAGAAGTTCGGAGTCGAGTTATGTTAGCAATAATGGATTGCTCTACAGGTCCTTGCTGGCCAGACTATTTCAAATGTACTGCCAAGCTCTTTATAAATAAAATATTCATCACATGAATATTTAACAGTATACTAATACTATGGTTTAACTGAACTAAGATCACTAATACGGTTGTGCATACTAAGTGCTAAACACAAAAGTACAAATATACAAGTAACTGATTATTTCAAGCGATGGGTAGCGTATTTTAGTGTCAGTTTATCTTATTTTGACAGTTGAATAGTTTCACCAGCCCTCGCCTGAAAAGTATAAATAGAAAATAAGTAGAAAGGGTTTTGTGGAGATTTCAGTATTTTTCGTAGTTGAAATCATGAGTCAATTGAAGCTAGACCACCATAGAAAACCTGGAAGCACTGGACGGCCGTTTCGTCCTATTATGAAACTCCTTAGCAGTGCGCATACACGATCCTGCACTCGTAAGATTCGAATCCAGGGCCTACCAGTCTCGCGCCAGAGCACTTAACCGATAAACCACTGAGTCGGCATCCAACGATGTTAATGTCTAACTTCAACCAATCCACAAAGTTTGAAAATAAGTACATAATCCTATACTTGGTAAATGAATTAGATTATCGTAATGTAGTTATTATGTTTGCAAATATAAGTCTCAGTCAATTTTATAAGCTTCTGTGTCTCAGTTTTTCAGGATTTAAAATTATCAAAAACGTTTTCCTCTTAGAGGTTAACATCAAGAATATATATATATATTGAATAGATACTTGTGAGCTTATTACTGGCTAGCTCCAAAATGAATTCTTGGTGTGAAAGCGTGATCTATAGGGACAATCAAAACTGTGACATTAGATAAGAACCGTGGTGTATCATAAAAGTGACTGAAATTGAAAATACGGACCGTTGGCTTCCCACCCAATGGTCCTAAGAAGTCGTTTTCGTCCCGAGATCTATATGTCTTAAGTTTGATTCAGTTTTGGCTGATGGGTACTCACTTAGAAAGTCTTAAACTTAAGACAAGCAGTTTTTAGTTGTCTTTGGCATTATGTGAGTCTTCAGCTGATGCCTGCTTATATTGACAATCACTTTTCATATATACATACATCCGTTTTGTCCGATTATGTTAAGTTATAGATCAATAATGTTGGGGACGTAATTAGGGGAACTCATTCTGACAACTCTTTAACGTCTTTGCAAAGATATTTTTCAATCAAATATTGTCTCAAGTGACTTCAGTGTAGCTAACGTTTAAAGCAATCATTTCACAAATTGATATTTTCTTTTCTTTATTCTGTTATTTAGGGTTATTGAAATAGCTAAGAGTTACCAACCGAACTTTAAATGGGATAAAAAATGGGCTGAACATAGCTTTTCGTACAAGTAAGACTACTTTTCTCTTTGCTCAATAAATACAGTGAAACAATTACCATAGGATAGTCATTCTGAAAGTACTATAAATTTTTCATTACGATATTCTATGATTTCAAGCTTTTTTAAACATTGCATCATTATTTGTGGAAAACCTAATGATAGTAAAATAATCTTAAAAGGGAGTCTGCGACTTCGAATTCAGTAGTCAATGTCATCTTCACTTGGACTATGACTTTTTATCTAATGTATTTTTGCTATTGTCTTTTATCTATCTTAATTTCTATATATGCTTTGAATCGGTCTTTAAAATGTTACTGTTTAGTACACTCATTTTCTTTCTTCACCAGAGTTGTCCTTTTTTCATAGGATTTCTTTCAATGCTTAAAGTTTCTGTCACTCCTTTCTATTCTAAGTCACAGTTCGAGGTATGGTATTCATTCTCTTATTCGTTGATTTTTAGTTTAATACAGTTGGGAAGGTTCAACCTTCTAGATAAGGTTCATTAAGAGAAGAAAACTGTTAATAATTTGAAATATTTAACCTTGTGCTTCGGCTTTTATTTAATGTCAATAAAAAATATGTCTTTACGTAACACTTGAAGCTATCTAGTCAATATTTTCCCTTGTTCTTTTGCAAACATGTTTATTTCATTGCAACCTGTTCGTTTTCCGTTTAATTTATTTCAGAGTATTGTAACTTAAATTTATCCCCCTGTATTTTCCATCACATGCCAGTTTCCGTTGTTTTTGTTGTAGGGACAAAAAGTCGCAAGACCACTTGGCTTTCTATCCTACCTTGATGTCGATAGCTCAACGTCTGCAAACTATACTATCCAGAGGTACGGGTGTTTCTATCTGGGAGATAGGACAAGGACTAAATAGTTTTTATTCACTGTTCTAATGCCAAAACTTTACATATCGTCATGATATTTATGTGCATATTTTTTATCTTTTGGAAATATATTTTCATACGTCGAATTACAGTCACATTTATGTTATATAATGTATAAACATATACTTTCGACTGTACAGTGCTGTTTTTTAGACTAAACTTCCATTCATTTTGTTTCCTGTTCTGCGAGATCGCATATGTAGTTAGATTTTACTCGCTTCATAACAAACCGTTTAATATCTGATTTCTTAGTCACAAAAAATGATATTTCCACACTTGGACAAGACTATGGGAATCGGTTTGAAACTATTGTGGCAAAAGAATATGTATACGGAGCAGTAACGAATATTTCAATTTGCACCGAATATCTCCCATATCTGGAATGCTTATCTTTTGACAATAAAGATCAATTCCTTAAAATGTTTTGTTTTGAGCTCTATTGAGTAGTTTAGTTATAACTTCAGAGTATAAGGACTAAGACAGATATGGAAGCAAGTCACTTATTCAAATATTTCGAACAGAAGGATAACGTCAGAGAATGCGATTATGGCCTCAAACTGGTGCTGAGAGTTGAGTACTGCTTGTAGTAAAATAAGGATTTCTGTGCGGAAGGTAGACTCGGTATTTTGTGAGGTCTTAATATATCTTGTACAGTAATTAACAAATTACACTTAGTTTGAACATAAGTTTCGCAGGTTTACTGAAATTCCTGAAGATTATTAAATGTATACTTACAAAATATTCTAATATAGCAGGTGGTTACTGTTCAAATCCAGTGTAAACAACAATTTCTTATTGCATTTAGTTAGTTTCCAAGTGCTAGGCTAATATGCTGTTCAATTAAATAGATGCATGGTACATAATTTCCTCGTACATTCCCTAATACCATACGTTCACGCGTCCCAGTCTTTTACCATCCCTACTCTCATGGTATCCTTACGATTAATCTTGGTGTTACAACGCTGTCCACAGAGTTACAGTTCGGTCAAGTATCACAGATACTATTGTGCAAGGTTCGGACATAGCTAGATTGTTAATGTAGAGGAAGCGAAGGGCGATAAATTTATTACAGGTTTCTGCATGCCCGTGGAGTCAGCTGGTACTTGTTTTTAATGCCATAAGGCAATAATGGGCGGCTGCAGTCCTCGATTATCAGGAAAAATGTACTGAAAAATAACTTACGCCTGTTACCCCCGATGGCCGCCGACCAGCATTCTCCAACCCACACTGTCCTGGATCTTCCGCGCCTAACACCGGTCTTTACCCGAATGAGTCGGTGAGTTGTCCTTCATGCACTATTTTTCAGTTTAATCCATCAGGAACTCTGTGTGGTATTGACTGCCTTCTCAGGCACTCCGTAATGTCGAAGAAGACTCGTTAGTGTTGTCCTGTCCATGTTATCAAATGCTTTCTCGTAGTCAATGAAGTTGATGTAGGGTGATGAATTCCATCCTATTGATTGTTCCACAATGATCCGTAGAGTAGTGATTTTGTCTGTACACTATCTATCCTCACGGAATCTAGACTTTTTGGCGTCCACGGAGTCCTTCATTCTTTTTAAAAATACCCTGTTGAAGACTTTTCCTAGTGTTAAGGGAAGAGTGATGCCTCTGTATTTATCACACTTGCTGAGATCGCCTTTCTTTGATATCTTGATCAGAAGTCCTTCCCAGTCTGTTGGTACTTGTTCTTCCCAAATCTTACTGAAGTGAATGTGGAGTATCTTTGTAGTTCCTGCTACATCTACTTTCAGTGCCTTTGTTGGAATGTTGTCTGGTCTCGCTGTCTGATGGTCATGCTGATCTTTTCAATCGTTGGTGGGCCAACATCGAGTGGGAGGTCCGTGGGTGCTACTTCGATGTTGAGCGGGTTCAATGTAGCTGGTCGATTCAAGAGTTCTCTAAAGTGTTCTACCCATCTGTCACGCTGTTCTTCATTGATGGTGATTGCCTTGCTTTTCACTGGCTGTTCTGGTTTACGATAATTCTAAACGAGCTTATTTGTTGTATCATACAATTGTCTTATGTTTCCTCCTTTTGCAGCGTTTTCTATCGTCATTGCTAAGTCTTCCACATATTTACGTTTGTCAGTTCTTATGCTCCTCTTCACTCGCTTGTTTACTTCGGTGTATTCGGCTTGTACCTTGACTTTAACTGCTCTTGTTCGGCTGGTATTGGTTGCTGTCTTCTTGTTCTTCCTTTCCCTAATCTTATCCAGTGTATCAACAGCGACCCATTCCCTGTGGCTGTGATTTTTGTGGCCCTCTTGTTGCCTCTTTTATATCTTCCCAGTTGTACTCCATAGTAGTTCCCTTTCCATTAAGTCGGTCATGAAAGATCTGGAACCTGTTGCTGAGGGCTATCTTGAATTTGTTCAATTTGTCAGTATGCCGATGAGATGCCGTATTAAACTTTTGTGATGCTGTCCACCCCGTTGTCCGGTGTAGTAAACATACGAATGGACTTAATTCCTGTACATAATGTAGGTTCGTTGTCTGACTATCTGATCAGACTATTTTAACAAAATATCTCACTTAGCCTCGTACATATTTATCGTGTTAATTCGCGTTGATTAGGTGGGGAATAAAATAAGTCTAATGTAAGGGTGACGTTTAGATACATATTTCGTATATCGATTACCGCAAACATAAAAAAGAGGAACGAGCTGAGTAAGCAACATAGGGCTCACATGAAAGCAACAAAGGCTACGAGCGAATTGCTGACAAGGTCAAATATGTATGGGTAATAACCTAAAAAAAAGTAGAATAGTTGGACTGTCAATAGTCACCATGTATCAGCTTTATTCATAAAATTTATTGTGAGATGAGGGAATTTCCGAAGTCAAGAATGTATTTATTCGTATAATGTATCCGTTGTGCTGCAAACATTTAGGAAATCTTAGTCCCACGAAGCAGTACCTCAGCAATCAAAAGAGAGAGTACTAGAAACTAAACACTTCCCTTATGAAATGCAGTGATCGACATATTTTAAAATAAGGATTATTAAGCTAGATAAATTAACGTAAGGGGACATTACTAATTGATAAATAAGCATTATATGGAGCATTATTAAGTGAGTTGAAAGCCAGATTTTCAAAGTAATAATCCATAGATCATTACAAAGTTAAGTGGGCTTCAAAACATTAGCTCACTTAGATGTTTTGAGAAGCGGGACTACAGTTTATTGTCAAATAACGCAGGCCAGAAAGCTGTAAGCTTATAAGCAAATATCAGCGAGCGAAGCATAAATCACACGCATTGGAGATGGCGTGTAAACCAACTCACTTTAATCAAACGTTAATCAATATTTATACTCATATAAAAATAAATGACACAAAAGTGATAAATAGAATAAGATGTGTACACACACATACGCTAATATAAAAAACAGTCAGAGTTAACAAGTGAATAATTAAAAAGGTTAAAACATGACTCATGATAGATCGGCGAATTGGTTTATCCAGAAGCTAGAATAAAGTATATGACCTCAAAATATCAACCGATACTACAAGAGTATCAGTTTGAATGCAGTAAGGGTCTTAGCAAACCAAGATGAACATGGTCGAAACGAGTGTTTGAAGTTTTGAGAAAACTCCAGAAATGATAGAATAACACTCACCTTTTAGTGTTTTTGGTAATTTTCATATATTTCTTACCACTTTGCTATTCATTGTAATTTAGATAAAATATTTTGGTATCAAATGTCGGTTGAATAACTGGGTGGCAATATTTGTTTAGGTAAATTTGCACATTTGTATATATGGTGAAATTTAGAACCTTTATTACCCAAACCACTTTGTTCTGATTTTGATTGGGTCACGAGTCTATAAACCTATTCCCCCGTTATTCGGCCACATTCAGACCTATTGGAATCTAGGTTTGGATCTTACATCCACTTCCTCACATAATTACTCATATCAGGTCAACATAACTGTTCTCATATGAGCCAGATGGTTCTCTTACACCTGGATGAAAAAGCATTTGCAGGATATTAAAGACGTTTCTCTCCAATTCGATAAGCTTAATCCGTCATGCAGGGTCTCTTCGACAAGCCAAAACCAGTTAATCTCAACTGCTTAGTCCGAATGGCTAGACCAACAACGACGGTGTATCCATTGACCTTCTGGAAGAACAGTACTCTCGGACATTGCAACCGACCCAAACAAACTATTTTGATGAAAGCTTCACCTGCAACCCCACAGATTTTTTGGAATTGAACCTGAGAGCTAACTTGATGTACTGGAACCTGCAGCACCTAAAAAGACAATCCTCCTGGTTCGAATATGGTACATTCTGCCATATTGAGAGAAGCAGCTTCAATCTTGGTACCACCGCTTGGCGGGATGTTCTCACATTCACTAAGCCGAGGCACATTACCAGAAGGTTGGAAGCTGGCTCACGTCACACTAGTTTTCGAAGAAGTTAGACTCAGCGAACCTTCAAGCTACCGACTGGTAGAACTTCTCTCAATACCTTCAGAAATTATGGAGTCCCTGATATGAGACGGTATACGCGACTATTTATTACCCATAAACTTCTGTCCACCCCGACAGCACGGTTTCAGAAAAGTTCACTTTGTTCAACCAACCTGTTGACTGCGATGTACAATGGACAACCATTTTTGATCACAAGGGGAAGGTCGGCGTCATTTACCCTGACTTCTCATAGTCTTTTGATAGGGCCAACCATATACTTCTCATCAATAATCTCAAAGGGTTAGGTGTCAAATCACCTTCAATTGGTTGGCCCACCTTATATCTAAAAAACGGCATTTTGAAGTCAGGGTTATCTTAACATCCTCCCAGGTTATGTAATGTTCCAGTGGGGATCCTTAGTGTTCAGCACTGGGAACTCTTATTTTCTTTGTTTTCTTAACTGACCTTCCAAAGCAGGTGTCGTTAGAATTTTAATGTGAAACACTGAAGAGTTGTACGTAACCAAGAGGTTAAACTGGCACTTCAGGAGGATCTGACTCGACTTCAAAGTTAGGCAGATGACAACGAGCTTACCTTTAACATGTCAAAGTGTAAAGCAGTCCATCTGAGACATGTTGCAGACTACAACTACGATTTAGACTAATCCCTTCTAGAGGTACTCCAAGTAGGAAAAGATCTAGGATTGTTGGTACCCTATGATTTGAAGCCTTACGCTGCTACAAAAATGCCTTCCGCGCAAATCTTGCACTGGTAACACTGAAGCACAGCAGAGTGCCAAAACAAAAAGTTTTTTCCTCACTTCAAAAGGGCAAGGACCATCTGAAACATATCCAACGGCTAGCCACGAAATCAGTTCGGGGACTCAAATTCAAGCTTTATGAAGAGCGCCTCCGATCAATGAACCTTTATTCACTAGAATATAGGCAGTTTAGAGTTGACCCAATATCTTACAACATCCTAAACACTTTTATAATCCTCCTAAACACCTACCTAGTCCTAATTCCAACACAAACCATAGATGTAACACCCAGAAACTGGATACATAATACAACAGAACGAATTGTAGACACACCTTCTTCCTAAAAGCAGTCACATGCTGGAATTCACTGTCGGCTGAGGTAGTTCAATCGACTTCTCAGAAGTTATTTAAGAGAAAACTTGACATATTCTTGAGAACTAAGGACAGTATCTCAGAAAGATCTACCAACTTTTTATTTTTCTTCTTTTATTGACTATATACATAGGTACTTTCTTGGAGGTGTCGAGGATTCACTGCTTCCAGATACAGAAGTCTGATAAGCGGAAGCTTCTTCCATTACGTCCAGAACTATTTGCATCATTTAAATCCAGTTGCCGCTGGATTTGAGGTTTGTTGTTACTGTTGTCTATGTATTGATTTTTACCTTGTTGATTTGATTATTACCATTTCTGATTCAATTTCACGGACTCATTTCGTATTCCGAATTCCTCATTGCATGATATATTTAGTCTTATTCATGTTTTACACATATTTGCTCGCTGTTTTTCAAAGTTTTGCTTAAAATGCGATTTTGGGAGCAGATGTGTTCAGTATGCATGTGGCTCATGTTAAGCCTGTGCAACAATTGGCTATCTGTAGGAATGTTCACTATGGCGCACTCCTGAATGCCTAATGTGTTAGCTCTCCAGACATTTGGGCGAAGCTTACCAGTAGCTCTAAACGCGTTTAGAGCTACTGGTAAGCTTCGCCTGGTGGAAATAAAGAATACGTGAAATGCCTGGTCCGTGACAATGACAATTACATATGGAGCATTGATACTCTACCATCTGCCATTACTCATTACTTTATTGAAAACAATTTGCAAAATTTAAATTTTGCAAATTATACCATATTTTACGTACTTTACATAATTCGTGTGCTGTGTTGTGGGAATGAAAGCGAACACAGGAGGTGGTTGCGGTAAATGCATTAGTGTGTATGTAGTGGTAAAGCAGTGAATGTAGCGGATGTTGAAGGTATAAGTCGGCTATTCGTCGGATATTTAGGGGAAAAGTCGGCTATTCGTCGGATATTTAGGGGAAAAGTCGGCTATTCGTCGGATATTTAGGGGAGAAGTCGGCTATTCGTCGGATATTTAGGGGAAAAGTCGGTTATTCGTCGGATATTTAGGGGAAAAGTCGGTTATTCGTCGGATATTTAGGGGAAAAGTCGGTTATTCGTCGGATATTTAGGGGAAAAGTCGGCTATTCGTCATATATTTAGGGGAAAAGTCGGCTATTCGTCGGATATTTAGGGGAAAAGTCGGTTATTCGTCGGATATTTAGGGGAGAAATCGGTAATTTAGCGACATTTGAAAAACAGAGCGACAGAAAGGGGAAATTACGCTTTATTTCCCCCGGATAGGCGAAAAAGCAGACATTTCGATGCATTTCCCCTTTATTTACGACTTATTTTCCAATGCATTTTCCGCTTTATTTCCCCTTTGTTCGCCTTTATTTCCCCTTTATTGGTTGTTTGGGCGAGAGTGACAACACGTGTTGTCACTCTCGCTGTACAGCGTGATCGCTATTCGCCAACGGTGGAAGGATATCTAGATTGGCGATATCCTCATTCGCATGAGTGATCACCAAGTCTAATGAAGAAGAACCTTAGTTTGAACAAAAACGTGTGAGTTTGGATACATTATGTACTAATACATACTCCATTACCGTTATCAGGAACCTACTATCAAAGGAGTTTATAGATCCAACAATGGTCATCTCAATCCAACTAATATCAAGTGCATTGAAACGTCCTAATATCAAGCATCTTTTATTTGCACTGCATAGCTGAATGTGCCCTAAAATAAAGTCGTCAGCTAAGCAGATTGGGCTGCGATGACACTATAAATGTACAGCATCAGACAGTGAGCTCACAGCTAATGACTTCACAATTTCCACTATCATAGGATTTGCAAACAAAGGGGCGGATGCTTGTATTATTGGCTATGCATAAAAGAACACCACCAAATGCCCTGGTACGGCCGAGAGTGGGGAGAGTTCGCTCTCCTTCTCGAAATGCTCTCATATGGCCACGCGAATATCTAGCCTCTGCCGGGGAAGTCCTAATCACTGCCTTCTCGTGGCGGCGGTGTTGTTCACAAAAGTGAGAGGACGAAATGCGAATGTCTGGCGCTTTAACCGGGTTGGTGGATGTGGAGCATTCACCTAGGGGAGTTGGAAAACCCTGACAACAAACCAATGGTGCACATGGGCTCCAGTATCCTGAAGGAACGAATGGTGTATGAACCTATTGTTGGTCACCGGCTACCATGGGACTGCATCTCCTTACAATGCTCCACTGCCTTGTGGATCAGATCTTTCGGTCAAAGGCTCCGGGTGTGGCCCCCTAAGAAAACCACCTGCTTCAGTTTGGGCATCTGGGCAGTATCACAGCCCTCACACAAATCAAATGAGATTTGTGAGGCGTATATTTATGTGGTGCTTCCTTGTACCAATATTTATGTGTTTAAATAAAAAAATCACTTCTTAGGTAATGGTATTCGGATAGTTCTGGAGTAATATTAAAGTCATAGAGTAACCGCGTTTTTTGTCACAGCTGTAATGAGTGGCGTTAATTCGTCCACCAATGCTCTTAGCTCATGGGATTTGTTTCTTAAACTACGAGCATTTGCATATAAAAACTCCTAGGGAGAACGATCTATCCACATAGGCCTTGGTAGTATGCGCCTCGAAGACCTGACTATTCAAAAACCCACTAAGCGGAAATTTTCCTCACCATTTCGTCATTGGGTTTCTAGTTCAGCTAGTGCCGTCTTCCTTTTTTCCGTCTTCTAGAGATATATCAGATCTTACTCAAATGTCGGTATTGTGATTACGAGAGCTACTTAACGGGTCACGTTGCTTCTCCAGCCCTAGGATTACCTTAAGGAGTCTACATGATCAGATTTCAACACCGTTGTCGGTCCTTTTACCTATTCTTGCAATTTTTAACATGGACTTTTTTAGAGTTATCTGGTAAGATGCCACGGATAAATTCTCTGAGCTGTCCCGAACCATGAGCGTGTCTAATTTTAGGATCAGGGTCGTTTGATTTTAATAAATTACTTACGATAATATTCGAGGAAATTAACTTTTTCCCAGTTGTGCTAGGGTGGAGTTCTGTCTTACTTTCAGATTTCGGTGATGTATCTTGTGACTCAAAATGCAAGTTCACCAATGACTTGCCAACCAAATGGGTACCGCTTATAATTTTTTTTCACTTCTTTCTCTCCGTACTGTCGTCCATTTTTTATCACTCGGGACGACCACACCGGGACTATTAGGATTGATGATGGTTTTATCTTGATCTTCAATTTCTACTGTAGAAGCATGACTATCCAATATCAAGCGGCACTCCACTCCGCATCAGTTCCAATGGAGATTTTACTTTTCCGTCAATCACAGTCGAGTGTTTAACACGTACCGTAACAGCAAGTACCACACTGAAACATTCTTTATCGTCAATACTCATGTTACCAACACAACTACCATCTTTCTTCTTACAGGCCAAAGGTGGGAGGCTTATAGCCTCCTGGATCAGTAACGTCTTATCTGTACAGAAAAACATACAAAGCCAATGCGAGTCAGGCTTCGAGCTCTTTTGTATGCGATGGTACTTAAACGAGTACAAATCTTATGGAACCACTTTTCACACTCATTACATTACATTCCTTCCTCCAAGTAGGACAAACAATTTGGCTGTCCACATTTATAAGTACTGCCAATCATTGTAATCAGATTAAGAAGGTTTAAAACACAGTATGAACACAAGTGTCAGAACCAACAAGAAAGCACCACAAGACAAAGTTAAGCGAAATTCCAAACCTTAACCGAAATACTTCAAGTTGAAGTAGACCAAAAGTGCTTTTCGATGCGACAAGTACACAAAAACAAAGTTAATCACAACGAGTACTAAATCACTGCCCTTTTTGAAACATGCATTTTTTCAATTTATGGCCGTAACTACAGTTGAACTTACATTAAGAAGGTTGAGGTAATGTAAAAGAATTCGCCCTAGCACTTTCAGCTAAAATTTTTAATTCAGTGGAAAGCACTTTAACGAAATTTCCTTGTCCAATTACAGTGTGTTGTGTTATTCTTAAGTGTAAACCTAATTACATCTTACAAACTACTAGTCACATTATGTTATTAAAAACAGTACATTGTTTGTGATTTGACAAAAAAACATGATTATAATCTAACCGGATCAAGTACTGTTTGTTACGTTTTAACTGCACTTTAATTTTTGTGTGTGGATATAACATACAGTATCTAAGTCTCAAGTATGCATGTATTCTCCATAGACCTTTCATCTCGACTACTTCGTCTCGGTTTCTAAGACTCCTCTGGTTATACTTCATCTAAATTCCAACATTTCATCTTCTTACACGGCCTTCCCCTCCTAAGACAGATAAAGATCTGTCTTCATGATGGATATTCAAACTCAATAACAAGATTATTATTATTAGTTTCCTTAATTGAAATAACATTTTCATGCCTTTATATATATTTTACTCCACTGCTATCATGCTTAGCGAAACTTTACTACCACTATTATTATTTTGAAAAATCAGTATATGTTTGCAATTGTACAGCTTCTGAAATGAATTTACCGAAACGAGAAATCTTCGCTAGATCAATGTTACAGCTTTAAAGAGCATAAGCCATCATAATTTCTTCCATATTGTCACTCCCATTCACGTACCTTTCTAGATATATAGTTAGCCTATCCTTTAGTAATTAAATCACTTGGTTTCCAACCCTTGGGTCGTTTGTAGGAATTTTGTTTGCCATGATAATGCTCAAACAAGTATTGATTGTTGCATATGCATCTTAGTAACGAGTTATCCAACATAAGTATTTTTTGTGTCCTTGCAGTAGCTACCACTGATGAAGATTATTATGATCACCTTTTATTTTATTTATTTATTTAAACACATAAATATTGGTACAAGGGAGAACCAGATACATATGCGCCTCACAAATCTCATTTGATTTGTGTGAGGGCTATGATACTGCCTAGGTGCCCAAACTGAAGCAGGTGGTTTTCTTAGGGGGCCACACCCGGAGCCTTTGACCTGAAGGTCTGATCTACAAGGCAGTGGAGCATCGTGAGGAGATGCAGTCCCATGGTAGCCGGTGACCAACGATTGATTTATACGCCATTCGTTCCTTCAGGATACTGGAGCCCATGTGCACCATTGGTTTGAAATCAGGGTTTTCCAACTCCCCCAGGTGGACTTTCCGTGTCCACTAACCCGGTTAAAGCGCTGGACATTCGCTTTTCGCCCTCTCAATTTTGTAAACAACAGTAATGCCACTGTGAGAAGGTAGTGATTAGGACTTCCCTGGTAGAGGCTATATGCGCGTGTCCATGTGAGAGCATTTGGAGAGTGAGAGCGGACTCTCCCCACTCTCGGCCGTACCAGGGCATTTGGGGCACCTATAAGTCACCAATTAATCCTATAATAAAAAGCATGTATGCTTTCATTAAATATCAGTATAGTCGGTTTTTGGTTTATCATGTATGAAAAGTAAGTCTTAGGAAATTGATCAAAATCAATCTCTACAACATATGTGCTGATATTACACTGAATTCTCAGTTTCTATTTTGTCACTGGTCGTTGTATTGTGTATTTCACAATGCTTAATAGTAATGCCTGTTTCTGTGTTTATGTTTTATTGCATTTCTCGGTATTACGAAATATTATTATTTCACAAACTCCACTATTGTGCAATATCCTCTTCTAAATTATTTCGAATTATATTTTAGTCAGTTTATTTTATGTGTATTTTATGTGCATCAGTCATCAATTTTTTAATTCCTTTTAGAATTATTTTTTGAACTATTAACTGTTCCTCTAATAATGGCTCCTGTTACCCTTCAAATGTACCTGCAAGATGTGAGTTGTCCAGCAGTGAATTAATTAAAAACTGTTCCAGGTTACTAATTGTATCAACAGTCGAAACGGTAGAGGATTGAGTGTAAGTTTTTTAAGTGGGAATTTATTATTTTTTGCACATGTAAACTAGCACTACCTTATGTGTAGTGATCCTCATGTATATAATTCCCGTCTAGCAGTACCAGACCCAGAAAATATAGCTGTGTCGTACCTTGTATCACCTTGGGATGAGATAGTTTCTGCTCATGTGAGGTAAAATAACTAACCGCATAACTTTTAAACTAACCATTTTCAGATGTATATGGGCGATGCGTAACCGTGATTTCGAAGAAGCTTATGCTTGTCAAATAGTATTAGTAAAATATCCTTTAAAAAATTATTCACCAACCAGTAGCTTAACAATCTTGATAATTAAAATTAAAACAGTAGATCACAGCCTCAAATCCTATTTATTATACTTTTTTGAATATCTAGGAACTAATGTGATAAATGCGTATCCGATAACCTATTTCACTAAACTACATGTGTTTAGTAAGTTTCAAATTTTTTCGTACTCAATTCTATCATATACATAACAGATGTTTACACTCAATGTGCACCAATCGTTGGGTTGTGTTATAATTCACTGAGAACTGTGGAAGCTGAGCTTATTGATTTGACTATTTGACCTTTAAGCAGTCACTCTTCGGCGTGGAATAAAATTCACCCGATGAAGTTTATGTAGGGTAGTTTTATCACCAGCTTTCATGTATTTATTATATAGTCTAGTTTGTTTGTCTTTAAATGTCTTAGAAGTGATTCCTAACAAAATAGCTTCACATGTTTGGCGAATAATATGAGCTAGCTTATTTATCCTTTTCTATTAGTAAGTGATTAATCTTTCAACACTGAATAACTTTAAAATTACATGTGCAATTATTATCTAAACTCGTATGTTTCTCCATCTACACTCAGTGTTGTTCTTCAGTGCATTTCCTCCAGATTAATTTTTGTTGCCAATTACGTAAGAAGGATTTGAAATGGATCTGTTTGGGTCCGAGAGAAAGTGCAATTAAGTGGCCTGAGACGTTATCAAACATGGCTCGGAATAGAAGCCAGTGTAGATCGTTCTGTAATATTTTACTGTTTTTGCAAAGTGAAAAGAACTTCCGCAATTAAAAGAGCCCTTTCCGGTTGTATTTTTATTTACGAAACTGGTTTTTTTCACTATATACCACTCTCGACTTATTTTTATCCATTCTCCTGATAATACTCACCCTCCTTCCTCTATCGCTTCAGAACCTCACTGTCTTGTTGTATGATCCATATTTGTTTCGCTTTTCGCGTGCACCAATATTTCCCTACTTAGATCAGTCATTGTAATAAACAATCATGGACAAATTTTGAATAAATTGAGCATTGGGTGGATTGTTATATAATATATTATTTAGTCATGGACAAAGGAAAATACAACACCATGATTGTTTCATTCCTACTGTTTGAAATAAGGCTGTGAAATTATATTAACTATTTTTCTCCAAAGAGAAGTTAGCTCTAATGTAGGACAATAATGTCATTTCCTTACTTGGAAATAAGTTAACAAGTGGATAAAATAGTTTCAAACTTAGGCGATAATGAATTACAAGATAAACAACCGATCTTATCCAGTTCTTTCAACGAACTGCTTTCGCCTTAACTTTTGATATTTATATCATTTTGTGAACCGCTGAATGAACGACTGTAGCCAAGGCACTCTCTGAATTAAAAGACGACAACTGGATTCTACCTGTTGTACATGTAGCTGCTATTGATTTAAGAAGGTTCGCTCACGGTTTGGACTCAAAATTCACACCACAGTCGGATAGTTTTCGAAATCAAGGAAGAAGGATGGAAAATGCTGCTCAACTTATTTTAAGGCTATTTCAAATATGTGCAAGCGATAGGTAAGTATTTTACCCATATTCACTATAATTTAGTTTAAATGGGTTTTCATAGTATGAGGAGAAATTTTCAAGTCCTCTCCTCGATGATTGGTTTTATTTCATATTAATAATGGTAAAAAAATTCAAATCTATATTTTTAAAACGAATGTTAAATTTAGTAGGACTATTGGATCGAACATAAACAACTCAAAGATAGAATATAGTACCAATTGAAAACCGTATATAAATGGATTTCTCCAAGTTAAACGGAAGATGGATATGGATAGGCGACTTTAGTTGATAATCGTAACATGTCTCCGTTGAGAAATATAATATTCCGGAGAAATTCGGCCCGGATTATAAACTTTTTAAAATCCCTGTTTTAAATTTTATCAACTGAGCGTTAAATGTCGAATATGATGTCGCGAAAATCGCAACTCCAGTGATTGATTCTCAAACGTTTCGCAAAATACCCGTAGATTTTACACTGTATCGTTGTGGGGTCGGAATTTAAAATTGTATGAATTCGTAATACACTGTCTTTTTAAGCTTTTAGTTGCAATGTATTTATGAAGAAACTATTATTCTTTTCCGAAACTACTTAGTTATTTTGAGTATATAATAAATTTGCATCGTAATCCACATTAGTTCTTAATCCAGAACCTGATACACGTAGTTACGTACTACTTCAGTGAACTGTAAATATTATATTTTTCAGTAGTAATTATTGGGTATTGGTTAGCAACTGATACTGTATCGTCTAGGTTCTAGTTCTGGTCGTAAACTGCTTTGTGGCCACTAATTTAAGTGATTCGATATCTTGTGCACTGTCTAGATACTAGGTGGCTATAGTCAGTCGGTAGGATGCTCCGGAATTAGGCTTTATCCACTCTTATCCATAGTTTGTTCAAAGGACTGATCCCTCTTTTGGGAGTTTAATCCACGTTACCAAATATCAGAGATGCATCTTGCTGATAAACGTCTACTCTAAGTCCAGGGTTTCCTGCTAATCGCTTCCAACTACTTAACGTCTTAATTAAGTTCACTTTCTCTTTCTTTACTTTCTGTAACACCATGTTGCTGCTATATACACGACTCTCGTTGAATTCTTATTTTAGTCGTGCACAAGTTGAAGATTCGAAAAAACTGGGCATGATGGGTTTAGCCAATCAACTGTTTAAAATTTACTTCCAGGTATGCATAATATTTGACAAATAAAACGCGAGAACACTATTTTATTCCTATCAATTATTATTTAGATTAACAAACTGAATTTATGCAAATCTATGATCCGTGCAATCGATAATTTAAGTATAAATGATCATTTTAGTCTGGCACAACGTGTAACGTATTGTTATTATGTTGGAAGAAAAGCAATGTTCGACGGTGATTTTGTGTCCGGTAAGTTGTATGGGAATTTATTCGAGTTTTCAATATGTATAAATTACACCTACTTTCTTTAAAAAAATCTGCTTAAGTTAATGTTGTTATCGACATTCTAATACAAATCATAGCCTAACAATAGTCATAATGATTTTTTTCGAACCATCTATATGCTCTTTGAAAATATTCCTAGTTATCCTTAATAACAGATAAAGCAATCAGAAGCATACCTGCATTTACAACTTTATAGCAAACGAATTCAATAAATCTTACTAAACGTAGTTATTTGATTCATAACCTGCGTATTAAAGTTAGGTGACAGTCACATTGGGAAATATTAACATAAAATCTATTTCTATTCAGATCATCATGAACATGTTATAGTCTAAATAGTATACAATTATAGTACAATATAAAATATTTCAAAAGAAACAGTGAACATGTATCTTATCTTGATATAAGTACACAAACTACAATTGAGTTACCGAGTTGCATTGACATTAAATCTTATTACACAACAAGTTTGCCTTAATGTACTTATGTCATGTCGGCTCCATGTTTGTCAGTATTATAAATTATTACGTGATTATTTTATTAGTCTTTTCTAATGTTTGTTTATGCTTTCGTTTAAATTTTAGCCGATAAATCACTAACTTTTGCTTTTGAGCGTTGTTTAACGACGAAATGGAATAACAAACGTTTAATATTGATTTATTTAATTCCTGTAAAAATGTTACTGGTAAGTAAATTTATTTTTACTGTTTACTACTTTTTTCTTACCCAAATATCTATCCTCATAATTACCGAAAATTAACGTTCAGTCTGAAATCTGAAAGAGTATCCCCTTTACTAGGTGAAGTTTTGTGCAATTGTTTTCAATTTACACTATATGAGTGAGGGCTAATGATAATATTTGGTTGCGTAAAACGAAATAGATTTAGTAGGGTTTGAACCCTCAACTTAGTGGCTATAAGTAGTATGATTCAACGATTAAGCCACTGACACATTCCATCGTTCAATGCTGATGTTAAAAAATTAATTAATTACGTGGTCGATTGACCTTCAAGTGGTTTCTTTTCGGGCTAGATTAATTGTGTTGGAGGTCTAGCATTAAAAACTTATTTATAGAGCAAATACACTAAAGGACCACATCACCTAGTTTAAAGGTTCTGTTGAAACCAATAATCGATGGTTTTTAACGTTTTAAACTACAGTGCTACCACTATTTTTATTTATTTATTTAAACACATGAATATTGGTTCAAAGGGGAGGAGATGCAATCCCATGGTAGCCAGTGTCCAACGATTAATTCACACGCCATTTGTTCCTTCAGGATACTGGAGCCCATGTGGGTCATTGGTTTGGAATCAGAGTTTTCCAACTCCCCTAAATGGACTTTCCGTGTCCACTAACCCGGTTAAAGCGCTGGACATTCGCTTTTCGCCCTCTCAATTTTGTAAACAACAGTAATGCCACTGTGAGAAGGTAGTGATTAGGACTTCCCTGGTAGGGGCTATATACGCGTGTCCATGTGAGAGCATTTGGAGAGTGAGAGCGGACTCTCCCCACTCTCGGCCGTATCAGGGCCTTTGGGGCGATACCACTATTCAGTGATTAATTTCTTGTGTGGACACGGAGGGTCCACCTAGGGGAGTTGGAAAACCCTGATTCCAAACCAATGGTGCACATGGGCTCCAGTATCCTGATGGAACGAATGGCGGAAGAACCTGTCATTGGTCAACGGCAACCATGGGACTGCATCTCCTCACTATGCTCCACTGCCTTGTGGATCAGACCTTTAGATCAAAGGCTCGGGGTGTGGTCCCCTAAGAAAACCACCTGCTTCGGTTTGGGCACCCGGGCAGTATCACAGCCCACACACAAATGAATGAAATGATGAACTCTATTGACGATAATATCCCTGCTCATACTAAAAGCAAGACAATTAACATTATTATTATTATTACCTTTATTATTATTATTATTATTATTATTATTATTATTATTTACCATATCTCTAACTCACCCCCTTTTATCCCCAATTTGTGTAACCTTACTTTTCAACTTATGCAGCAGCTCTCCCATGGTGGAAAATCTGTCCTATCTAAACTATCTCCAGTCACTGTCTGGTTGAAAGTGAATGCTTCCACCGATAGTGAATACTGAAGCAGTCTTTCTGAAACCACGTACGCCGTTCAAGCTGGCTTCCTTCAACGTTCGCACACTAATGCATATCAGACAACAGATAGGGCTGGCTATGTCTTTGGAAGGTCTTAATGTTGATGTTTGTTGTCTATCCGAGACCCGTATTCAAGACTCTAGTGAAGTACTACAAATCCGCTCTCCATCTGTCGCCTCGAAAAGCTTGTTCCACGTGCGCTTATCCGGGGACCCTGTGGCATCTTCGTCTGGTCTTGCTGGCGTTGGTGTCGCACTAAGCGCTAGAGCTGAGGCAGCACTAATCGATTGGATCCCCATTAACAGTCGGTTATGTGCTGTTTGATTAGAAAGTTCCATCAAAGTGAGAAGAAATCGGCGTGAGAAACGGTGTCTTTTCGTCATCTCCGCCTATGCCCCGACAGATTGCAGCCCGGATGCAATCAAGGATGAGTTTTACCATCAGTTAACAGTTCTTCTCCAGAAAGAGCGTTTGACAGATATTGTAGTACTAGCCGGAGACTTGAATGCACAGGTCGGGCGTCTAGGCACAGAAGAGAGTCGTCTAGGTGGCCGATGGGGACTTGTTGGTCGCAGGACAGATAACGGGGACCGTTTGCTGCAACTGTGCACAGACCACAACCTGTTTCTGGCCGGCACTAACTTCCGGCACAGTCATCTCCGGTGTGCCACCTGGCGTCCTCCCTCTTCATCCCAAGCCTGTACTCAGATTGACCACATCGCGATCAGCTACCGCTGGCGTGGTTGTGTACAAGACTGCCGCTCCTTTTGGAGTACCTATCTGGAGTCTGATCCTGCCCTGGTCTGCGCCAATCTCACCTTACTTTTCAGTGGCCGAAGGATTGACCACCACCAACGGATTGATGTTAGTAAACTGGCTGCAACTTCTGTTGCAAGTAAGTATCGAGCGGAGCTAGCCTCTAGGCTAGCTACCACCCCACCGAAAAGTATAGATGAGCATTGGTTGCTTCTTCACGACGCCATGAAAATGGCGAGTAAAGCCGCTTGCGGCTTCGCGAAACGTCCCGCTTACAAGCACTGGGTTTCTTCTGGCTCCTTACAACTGATGGAAGCCCGTCGGTCTACTCCGGGTGACCGTGAGTTTCACCACAAACGAAGGCTGTTACGTAATGAAATCGGGCAAAGCTTGCGTAAGGACCGGTAAGCCTGGTGGTCGGAGTGTGCTAATGAGATGGAAGCAGCAGCTGCATCTGGTAACTGCCGGAAGCTCTTCCAACTCATCCGAGCCACTGGCAGCAAGAAGTCTGGTGTGAGTGAAACAATCTACGAGGATGACGGGATGCCAATCACTAATATCTCTCGACGTCTTGAACGATGGGCGGAATTTTTCGAAGGGCAATTCAACTGGCCTGCTGCTCCGGTAACATCAACCAGTTTGTCCTGCCCCCCATGGCCGGTGACGACTGATCCACCAAACGAGGCGGAAGTCCTCAAGGAACTCCAACTCTTGAAACGTTATAAATCACCTGGCCCAGATGACTTACCTCCGGCTCTTTTTAAAGATGGTGGTGACTTTCTGGCTAAGGAACTGACTGCGTTGTTTGGAAAGGTTTGGGAGCAAGAAAGTGTTCCAACATCTTGGAATGAGTCAATAGTCGTCCCTATCTTTAAAAATGGTTCACGTTGTTCCTGCAATAACTACCGGGGGATAAGTCTACTTTCGATTGCGTCCAAACTATTGGCTTCTATCATTCTTCGGAGGTTGTTTAAAACCCGAGAACGATTGACTCGCGAGGAGCAGGCTGGTTTTCGTTCTGGTCGAGGATGCATTGATCACATCTTCACCCTCCACCAAATGTTAGAACACCGTCATACTTATCACAGGCCAACAATCGTAGTGTTTCTTGATATCAGGGCGGCCTTCGATTCGTTGGATAGGACTGTTCTCTGGGATTGTCTATTGAATAAGGGTGTGCCTGAGAAGTTCATTAACATCTTAAAGGCCCTGTATACGAACACCTCAGACAGAGTGAAGGCATACAACCACCTTTCTCCCTTGTTCCATTCGAGCAGTGGGGTCAGGCAGGGTTGCCCAATCTCACCATTCCTCTTCAACTTTGCCATCGATGACATCCTGGAAACAGCTCTGATGGATGTAAGTAATGGCGGTGTGGATATGTTGCCTGGAGAACGACTTCTCGACCTTGAGTATGCGGATGATATTGTCTTACTGTGCGATAATGCCCAAGGCATGCAATCAGCACTTAATCAGTTGGCAATCAGTGTCCGCAGGTACGGCATGTGCTTTGCACCCTCCAAGTGCAAGGTACTCCTACAAGACTGGCAGGATTCTCATCCTGTACTCACCCTGGATGGTGAGGAGATCGAAGTAGTTGAGAAGTTCGTGTATCTAGGTAGCTATACAAGTGCTGGTGGTGGCGTGAGTGATGAGATTGATGCACGTATAATGAAAGCCAGAGCGGCTTATGCCAATCTGGGCCATCTTTGGCGCCTTCGTGATGTTAGTCTGGCTGTAAAAGGTCGGATCTACAACGCGTCGGTGAGGGCAGTTTTGCTCTATGCTTGTGAAACCTGGACTCTCCGAGTTGAGGATGTTAGACGTCTCTCTGTGTTCGATCATCGTTGTCTCCGAAGGATTGCTGACATACAGTGGCAACACCATGTTAGTAATGCAGAGGTTCGGCATCGTGTGTTCGGGCGCAGAGACGATAATTCAATTGGTGTCACCATCTTGAAACACCGACTTCGGTGGCTTGGACATGTTTTACGAATGTCGTCCCAGAGACTTCCACGTCGTGCATTATTTACCGACCCTGGGACCGGTTGGAAAAAGCGGAGAGGAGGTCAGTGTATGACATGGTGTCGTGGCATGAAAGAAAGCTGCAAAGGGCTAGCTTCTGTTGGTCCTTCACGAATCCCTGGCTGGGGTCCGAAAGATGGTGCAACACAGTGGCTAGAGACGTTATCAGATATGGCTCAGAATAGAAGCCAGTGGCGATCCTGCTGCAACCTTCTTTTACTTTCTACATAAAGAATGGTTCTAACTTTCTTAACTGAAAGAGTCTTCTGGTTGTACATTTCAGTCCGCCTTATCTTTTCATCCCTTCTCTTCCTACTTTCATTATTTTGTGTGGCGCATATGTACCTGGTGCCCTTTTGTACCAATATATATGTGTTTAAATAAATAAATTCTTGTGTGTAATAATCAAAGTATTCATAGTATTGCTATTTTGTTACTCATATGACTGAATTTTTTAAAATATTTTTCTCTTCTCTGTATAGGGAGTACTACCCAAAGAAAGTCTTTTATGTAAATATAATTTGAGACAATTCCAAGACATTGCTGATTCAGTCAAGTAGATTTGGACAAAAAAGCTGGTGTATTAATGTTTTATTTTATTTCTCTATAGAACAGGAAATTTACGTAAAATGGACTCTGCCTTAGAAGAGCACGAAGCCTTTTTCCTATCGTGTGGTGTATACCTGATATTGGAAAAGCTCAAGTTGACTGTTTATCGAAGTTTATTTAAACGGGTGTAAGTTTTTTTTCGTTTTTCTTCTTTTTTGTTTTTATCATGAATTTTTCAGTTTCCATCTTTTCTATTGTTTTCTCTCATTCAATTGTATAGTTGTCATATTATGAAGACACATCTATTACCGATTGAAGTATTTACTGCTGCACTACATTTAATGGGAGTAAGTTTCTTTTTTCTACTGCCTGTAACCTATGTATTTTTGATTGTTGTCCATAGTTTTTCTTGAGGAAAAGGTATTGATATAACCGAACGGATTAATCTAGTAATATGGATAAATTTCACTAAAAATATACAAATAAACAGCCAATATGATAACTCGCTTGAATATTTTTTCTTATTGAACCGTGAGAATATCAAAAGACAACAACTGGTCTGTAACTGTGAAGAAGAATTATCCAGTTAAACTACTACTTTTTATGTACATTTTTTTATCAATCTAAAATTACAGTGGCAGCATGATTAAAATGATTTAATATTGATTAGTACGACGTCAAATTGTGTTTCAGTGTAAATAAAATCTAGGGTGGATCAACCTAGCCAGTTCTTGTTGTAAATCTAGCTATGTCGAAGACTATTTTCACTATACAAAGGTATCCATTAGAGAAGTATTGAATTGTGTTTCGTTCTGATTTCCAGTTTATTCATAAAATATATTTACTGAATGGTTTCTGAAATAGACCCATCTTCAGAGCAAATAAACTTAATTTAAATCAGTCGGTAGATATCGATTACCAATACTTTCCTACTACTTATCTGTATAATACATGCATACATCTCTTAAGTTATCATCTGTGATTATTCTTCGTTCATATTACCCTATTGGTAATTCAAGTAAATAAGGCCTCTAAAATAATTCACTAATAAGCACTTACTATTGATTACTCAGTTTACTCTAAAACTAAAGGTATATTATTTGTTAGGTTTTAGTCGTGTAGCGATTACGTTTCTCTTAAAAATGAAGAGTAATGTGTTTCCTCCTGGAAGTGATCAAAAAGCGTATCGTACTGGCTAATCTGATACTAGCATATTTATCGAGTGCCGTTTTTATCCATATCAGCTGGTAGAAATTTTTTTCCCAATCTTTTTGGTTTCGATGCTAATACAACTATGTTTGGTGCTAAAGTTCTCAATCATAATTACTTGATCCATTGAAGATATCCTTTTTTCTCAAATGATAACCAAAGAAAAACTAGTTAATTTCACTGACGTGATTTATTCTTTTCTGTTAATTAGTATTTAGTATGTCAGTAGCTATATTTCAACTTACATTATACCATACACAATGAACATGTTCCTAATTGATATGATATCAAACTAGACGTTTACTTAACATTTGTTCAGAAACTTTCAAATAAGTGTAGAATATATTTAGTACGATTGTTACATCTTCTATGAAAAAGTTAATTTTAAAGTCGAAACTACTCACTTGATAAGTGAACGGCATTATTGTACAACAAAAAGTCGAATTCAGGGATTCAACTTGACATACTAATATTATTATTCACTGAAAATTAAGTGGGTTTATTTCAGAAAATCTTTTCATTGTTATAGACACAAGTGAACAGTCATTAGTTAATATATAACTTGTATTTTTATCCGTGTTTAATCATTCATTGTTCTATGAGTAACTTAGTCGACAGACTATCGTGATTAAATATATTAAGCATAAGTGTCAGTTTAAATTCTTTTAATATATACTCATACATTCTCAGTCAGTTCTATCATTTGAAATCTTTTCCGATAGGATCCAGGGATCGGTTCTGTCACTTTAGTTATGCTATTGAATCTATTAAACTGTCATGATCTTTTTTAGAAGTCTGACCAGTTCAAATCTATTTACTATGTAACAATTTCTTATTTGAACAGGTTGAAGATATAGATCCAGACGAAACAGAATGTATTCTGGCCAATCTCATTCATGAAGTAAGTAGCATCTAATACCAGAATTTGACCTTTTTTCGATGTTGTTTGATATATAATCACTTCCAAGGAACTTTTCGAAGCAAAATCCATCAGTGTAATTAAGAACTGTGTTTGCCGATAAGAATGCTTCATTTCATCTGCATCCATGGAGTCAATATAAGTGGGAACTCAACTCTCATCTACTCTAAACCTTACATGTGACGAAATCATATGACAGTATTTAAATGATGATAATGATCTTTTGCTAGTATATTTCAATCGTCCAGCACTGAAATCTTCATCTTCGGAATAATTTCTTACTACTTTTGCAGTTATTAGATAAATAATTATGTTCTGATCTGTTAGGTGTTAGGAGGTAGTCGACAGGGAATCCTAAACCAAAGTTTCGTGCTATTTAGCACTTGTCACCAAGGTGTACCCGTAATCTTCAGAAAACTGATGCTTCCCAATGGGCTCGATCATGTGTCATCCAGCTTCTTAATCTCAGACATTACCACTGAGTTATTCAGGCTTCGACTGACCTCCTGTAGGGCTGAGTTATTTATGACTGGATGGTCACTGACTAGTGGCCAATGCCATATTTGTTTAGTCCTTTTAGCGCTGATCGAATTTTATCGATTGGGTTATAATATGGGTGACACTGGATCAAATCTGCCAGAAAGAGTCAGCCCCTTCGATATTACAGATATACCTTACTAATGAGTGTTAAATAACACAAAGCCTAGGTCGGGGTTTCCTACTTCCGATTTTAATTGTTAATTTGTAATTTAATCATTAAGAATGAAAAGTGAGTTTAGAACTACCTTCCAAATAGCCTTGATTAGTTAATGCTAAAACACACCATTTTGATATATTATTTTTTTGTTTGTAGGGAAAAATCAAAGGTTATCTGGCACATCAACAACATAAATTAGTTGTTAGTAAACTGCAACCATTTCCCCCGCTGACAAGTAGTATGGCTAGTTTAAAATGAAATTCTATCCATTATACTGGATTATGTAGTCAATGTTACTATTTTATACAAACAAATATTTTGTACAAAGTTTACCCTATATATATATATATATTTAAAGTGTATAAATACTTTTTTTCTCATGATTAGTGTACTCTGTTATTGTTTGTTACTATAGTTTAGTTGATATCAAAGAAGTTGAATTTAGATTGGTAATTCATGAATTTAAAACCACTTCATAGTTCACATCTATACAATATGTATAAATCAAGGAATCAATCAACTTTTACATGAGTATCATTTAGTATTCTATTAATATTACTAAAATTTTTCAAGAACCGGAACATTGTGTTTACTTTAGATTCAGTGAGAAAAATATCTATATAGTTTTAATGAATTTCGATGACGTTATTTATGTGCTATAAACACATGTAACCCCACATATATAGGAGTTTAAGAACTCAACATTTTCATATAAATATTCATGTATATTAGAGTAAAGCCTGATGACGATCTAATTGAAAACAATTGTTCGCTTACATATGTTGTTCTAAAACTATTATATCCTAGTGAAGATTAAACTATGGGTAACTTCTGAGATCTATTAATGGACTAATATTATATATATTACTATTGTATAACTTCAGTAACTAGATTATGTATATCTATATTCTTAAGCTGTGTTCAGTTTACTGATTACAGTCTCCCACGTTCACAGCCACTTTTTGGCTTGATCTTGTATAAATGCTACTTCCTATTTTATGGTGCGATATGATCTGTTTGGCTGGTATATGAACCAAGTATGTTTGAAATAAATGATTCGCATGGTGGGAGCTGTTATTAGGGTTCTAGACTCAACTGGACTGCTCATACCGGTCGGACGTCATTGGTTTAGCATAGTACTAAGATTTAATAGGTCTTATTTCGGTTGGCGAATAAATCACGTGATAACTAACCGAGCTTTAAGCCACAACAATGATATACTACTCTGACAAGTTAAAGTATCTTATTATTACCATCATCATTGTATTTCACTTTACTTACATGAGTGCAACGATCTCGATTTAATTATTTCAGACAACCAGTATCATTTACCTGTACATATTAATAAGTGTGCAGAGGTATAGCTTTGGTGGTGTTAGAACTTGATTCTGAACTAATTGAAATCATAATCTCAGTAGACTTCATCTATTTTGGTTTAGACAACACAGTTTTGTATGTAACTACAAAATACATACTGATCTAAGCGCAATGTTTGTTCGTTTGTACTTGGTTACATAACACTTAAAATTTATCTTCAAACTTGAAACACACATGATTATCAAGCTGAATATTGAACAAAACCATGTAAATATTTATGTAAGTATATAATATCCTTTATATTAAACATAAGCAATAATAATTAATTAACTGTACATGGATATTCTGTGGATAGTGCATTCAAATATAATAATAAAGTGATTTATGCACTGTTCTTAGAAAATTTTCGAATTTCAGTCTATTGTAGGAAATTTTAAAATATGCACCACGCATTTTCAAACAAGGTTTAAAACGAAATCAGTCATAATGACTGTCCTTGCATTACGAACAATAGGAAAGGAAGACAATAGTCGTGTATCTATGTTCATTAGAGTGAAATCAGAGAAGTGTGTAATTAAGTACTCAAAAAAACAACAGAAAAACACTGTGCACAGCTATATTATAAAAAATAATGGGATATAGTTACTAGATAATATGAAATAACTTTTTTTTATGTACTATGTGTGGATATTCACAAATGTATTATGAAAAAGTAAAAATGGATTAAATAAATGATGTACACAGAATATGTTATTCCTAATATAAATCACAAATCTCTGTATTGCAGTAGAACTTTCGGTTTCCTAGGCGAGTCTGAAGAAGATTCTAAAGACTGATGTTGTTGCGTTTGTTGATTACGATCAGCGTCACCTATCATAGAACTGAAGAATTGTTCTCGTAATAAAGCGGATTTACTCATATTCGATGTTTTATGATGGTCGAATATTGGGATGGACTCAGTACAATTAGTAGCCATACTATTTATATTATAACTACTGTTCTTTGATGATGGCATAGATTTTTGATTATTTTCAGATTTGGAACTTGTATTTGACCTGAAAGCAATAAAAATGGTTTAATAAGATACTTTCATTCGAATCGAATTAGTCTTAGTATAATAATCATTGTTAAATTTCTTAATCCCTACTGCTCGACGAAGCCTATCGATAAGATGAAATTCGATCAACACTAAACATCAGGTTGTGATTTAGGAATAACCCATGTGTACTTGATCTGCTGCAAAGCTTAGTTAGCTTCAATCTATTTAGCTCAGAAGTATCATGTTTGGTCGCATCATTGGTCGACACAGGTTAAAATCGCCATGGAAACGGAAGTGCCCTCGAGACTTCATGTGTATATTTTTTTTGATAAATACCAAATAGTATGTGATTTGTGTCCAAGATTCTATTCATTTAAAAATAGATACAGTGAATTATAATATTAAGCCACCCAGCTTATCGACAAAATTTGATCTCGGCACCAAATAACCTTATGGCGTAAACAGACAAAGTATTACGTTTCTGAGATAATAAAGAAAAAAAGGTGTTTCAGACTAGATTGACTGACATCAATCAAAGTACATAATTTTAACAGGAAATAATATTCACATATGCAATTAACTCCAAAATTTTTCTATCATCTGATTCTACAATATGCAAAATAAAGGATTTTTAGTTTTGGAGTTTGTAGAAATTGTTGGATTCGGTAGCTTGACGTCACCTGTTAACCTTGGACAAGCAGTCAAAGCCAGGAACCGTGGACAGCTTTTTTGTTCTAGCACAACACTCCTCATTGCACATCCACGGTCTCACAACACATCGAACCTAGGACTATCAAACCTCGAGGCAATTTGTTTACCTCCAAACAATTGGGGTTACATAATAGGACGAAAAATTTGTCTAATAATCCTTGATTTTTTTTTAGTTAAGTTCAATCCGTGATATGAAACTACCAACGAAAATTTATTTGGCTATTCATTTCTCACTAAATTTCCCTTAATCAAAAAGTAAATTTGAGGAATACAGATTCATTCTCCACAAAAAATGCTAACAGTTAAGGATAAAAAGATATACTGCTCAAATGTCCCACCCATACTATTTTCCAGTTAAATGGCCTAACAGACTGCTATCTGAATATGACCAAATAAAATATATTTTAGCCAAATATTTGACCATCACTTAGCTAGTTCCATTATACTTTAACGGATCACTTACTCGTAAGATTTCCCTGTATGTTGGATATAAGTAGGGTTGTTGAAATATTTGGAATTATTCAGTCCAGCGGTACCACTATTGGTAGGATTATTATCACATCCATTTGTCAATGAATTGTTTATTATTTGAGTAGATTGACAACTATTACTAGCCATACTATTCAAAGCACGTTGCACGTATATTGGATCATTGAGTTTATTATAACACAACGATGAGGATCTGGATAGACTCGGTTTCGGTGACCTTGTATTGATATTAGTTGGTGCTAAACAAGACAAAAAACACGAATTAGATTTTCCAAATTATATGAATTATCCAGAGAGTAAGATACACTATTGAAAAATCAGTATTTTTAGGAGTCATGAATACTGTACAAAAAATCTAGCAAGTCGAATTAGAATACCTTTTGGCGCTGCATAGTTTACTAGCAGTTGGTTTTAGCATAACCAGAATAATAAACAGTTTAAGACAAATGAAATCATTACTCAGTGTACAGTTCACTTTTGAGTTAGCTATTAAAAGCCGATGATGATAATAATAATAGTTAAATATGATTGTCCAACTCATTCATTCCAGTAGTAGATTTTATTTATCTACTTCAATTTCATTAAAAAAATCTAAAAGTTTCGGTTAGATAAATCATGGTTAGTTGAATCTAACATTTCAACTGATATGCATCTCTATACTAAGTTATATAATCTCTGTCATATAGTAAGGAGCTGATATTAAGTTTTTTATTTGTTTATATTTCAAAATAGTAAACGATGTAATGGAAATAAAAAATGGTAACTTACTGTCTGATATAATGTTCTTATGAATTACAATATTTGATTCATCAGTAGTTGCTTTTATTTGTACAATTTCACTAATTTGTTTTTCACATCTTTCTGTTGATGGAAGATTTTGACTATTCATACCGTTACTACTACTATTACTGCTACATACTGAACGATCATGTGAATCATCGTTACCTAGATAGGATTTCAAATAGAAGACAAACGAATAATAATGTGCATATCGTTAGCAGTAAATTAACAGATGTCATATATATATATATATATATATATATTCTTGGTGGTAGATGAACTTCACTCACTTAGCCTTCAAACTACCATTTCAATGCTGTACTATCTAGACTGGAAAGATGTTAGCTATTGGCTAAATGTACTCTTTATTCCATATATAAACAGTTGTCAGATGAATAAGGAATACATGAGCCATTACAACTATCTATCCAACCTAATCTTCATTTATTGTTATGACCAAAATCTACTGAAATGAGACAATATAAAGGTAACTAGTTGGGGATATAAAGTCAAACTAATTGAGCATGAAGTGAATATCATAGACCAGATAACTTTCTTTTATATATGACCTTTGTTTAAGGTTCGATTTCAAGTCGTTTCATTACTCTTACGTAAAGTTAAGACAATGTTAGCAGATACATACTGATAAGACAGATAAACATGGGTTATTTCAGTCGATTATCATAAATTAACTCGGTAAACTCCTTAAATAATCATGAGAATAATTAGAACTCAATGAATTGATGTCGAAACGAAAGTGTGTCAAGACCTTCATTTATTATCCTACCTGACAATGCGATTAGTAATTATTATCTTCGGGGTCAAAAATTGAGATAGAATCTTGTTGATAATGGGCCGGCACACAACTTGATACAGTGAAATCTCAGTTTTATGTATTGAACTACGAACTGATTTTAGTTAA